TCGTGCTGGCACACCGCCACGATCTGGACAAGCGCCTGCCGCGCCTGCTCGCCGTCGAACCCGGGCAGCTCGATGCGCGGCAGCAGGGCCGCCAGCAGCACGAATTCGGGTTCCTTCGCATCTGTTCGATTGATCGACCGTCATTTACCTCCCCGTGTGTGTGTGTGTGTCGTGTGTGTCGTGTGTGTCGTGTGTGTCGTGTGTGTCGTGTGTGTCGTGTGTGTCGTGTGTGTCGTGTGTGCCGTGTGTCGTGTGTGTCGCGTGTGTTACCTGGTGGGTGCAGGAAGAGGGTGCCGAGGCCGCCACCGACCTTCTCTTTGCTGATGTTGACCACGACGGCGTGAGCCTGCCAGCGATAGAAAAAGAAAAAAAAAGTCAGTCTTGAGCGTGTTTTAGGAGGAGGAGGAGCGGCTGAGAGCAGTTTACCAGCGAGATGACCTCCGCGTGATCGTTGGAGGTGGCGGCGGTAGCGAGCAGGCGACGGATGGGTTCGTGCACGTGCATGTTGAACAGCAGCCCGCCGGGCATGTTTCGCACCACCGTGCTCACACCCACCAGCACGTATCCGCGCATCCCGGGTGGTCGCTACACGACACACCACACGACACACGCGACACACGCGACACGCACACGACACGCACACGACACGCACACGACACACACGACACACACACGTGAGCTCCTGCCCGTGTAGAGGCGTGATGGCGAACAGTGCGTACGTCGGTCTCGCCCAGATGGCACAGGATGGGCAATATGCGCTCCTGCAGGAAGAACTCCAGGCACGGGCCGGTCCCTCGCCGCCCGCCGTCCATCGCGTCGGCCTCCTCCAGCAGGATCTGGATCATGTGGTTGAGGTGCTCCGGTATGCCCTCGCCCTCCACGTCATCTGGAGACGGCGCGCCAAGCTTGCCGCTCAGCACTCAACGCTATCCGCAAGACGCGCAACGAGCGACGTGGATGGATGGATGGAGAAAGAGGAAGGGAGAGAGCAAGGCAAACCTTTGTCGTCGATGTAGAAGTGCTTGATGGCGCGCCAGTGCAGTCGAAAATCTTCGAGAGGCGTCTGGAGGGTGGGGGCCAGCACCTCCCCGATAGCACTGAAGAAACGGCTCACCATGTCTGTCTCTGCTCGGATCTCTGAATTTTTAGGAATCTATGAGCACAGTTGTGAAGACAATGATTCGAGCGCAATGCGATTGAAGCGGTGACGCTGTTCTTCCATCACGAGCGATTCCCTCAATTTGCACTCCAGAGCGTTCCATCTTTTACCTGTTGTCTGTACACCAAGATTGCCACAGGCGTGTCCTTCTTCTTTCACCTGGTTCACACTGACTTTGATGTCGTTGCTCCTGATTGATCCTGATCGATTTTTGAATTGATTGTTGGACTTCCAAAGAAAACCAAAAGAAAATGCGAGGGAAATTGCCTTTCTTTTGTTGCACCTGCGAAGGATCACCCCGTGTGAAGTCAGCACGTTCCAGCGCAACTTGTTTGTTTGCTGCAAACAAACAAGATGGAGAGCCGGGCGCAAGTGGTCAAGTGGGTTGAGGTGGGCGATGATGGACTGGGCAAGACGTCCTTACTTCTCGCCTACGACGGAGCAGGGCGAGCAGCTGGCCAAAGAGATCGGGACAGTGTCACTGTTGCTGTTTTTATGGGCCGAGTTTAGCGCCACTCGAATGGCCTCGTGGAACAGGTTCTTCATGCCCCCCTGCGTCTTCGCCGCACACTCCAGGTTGTCAGAGCTTTTGGGTGTTGGGCATTTCGTCTTCGCTCTCTTCGCTGTCGCTCGTGCTGCCATCGTTTTCGTTCTCTCGGTCTTGCGTGAGGTACTTCAGACGCTCCAGCGATTCCTGTGTTGTCTCTCAAAAGTGAGTGGTGTGCGTTCCCGCAGCATCAAGGTACACTTGCGTGCGGTGCGTGCGGTGTGTGCGGTCGGATCAGGCACCTGCACGGCATAGGCCGGGAATTCCTGCAGCTCGTCGTGGATCTCCTTGGCGTGGGCTTGCACGAACTGGTACATCACAGTGAGCGCCTTCCGCTTGAACTGGCGCGGCACGATCGACGTCGGCGGATCTCCGAAGGTGGGATCGTCCGTAGGCGCGCACAGCTGGTCGAAGAACGCTTCCAACTAGACGTGTAGCACCGAGTCGATCGTTCAGTTCGTTCCATGTTCCACCGCACACTCAGCTCACACGCAACACCGCACACGCACCTTGCAGACGTTGCGCTTGATGAATCCGTTCATGGCTTCCATGAACACCTCCTTGTCGCTGAATTCGTTCTTGCTGGCCAGGTTCTGGAGCACCTTGGTGATGAGGATGAGTGTGCGGTGCGTCTGCGGGTGGGTCTGTTCCTTGACCAGACCGTACGTCTGCGGCACCAACAGGGCTGGACACTGCGCACATGTTGATGTCATTACCGAAGGCGTGCGTGTCGCGCGTGTCGTGTTGTTTCAGAGTCGTGTGTCGTGTGTGTCGTACGATGAATCGGAGGAAGATGAGGTTGCCAAGGACGCGATGAATGTAGTCGGGGTGGTCGTAGCGCATGTCCTCGTACAACATGCGGCACAGCTGTCGCATGTACAACGGGAATTGATGCAGCGAATCCAGAATTCGAGTGAACAGCTTCTGCACCAGGAGCTCCAGCTGGAGGCGTCCCACAAAGTTGTCCTGGCCCTCCTCCATCATCTTGGGATTGATCTGTGTTGTGATGTGGAACAAGATGAGTGACAGTTGGTCAAATAATAATAATAATAATAATAATAATAATAATAATAACTCGGGCATGGTGGCGAATGCAAACCTCAACCGCAGTTGCGAGGGAGAAGATGCTGCCAAACGGGGCGGGGTCGCTGTCGGTCAAGTTCGATCGAGGCGACTTGGCGTCCACCTGTGTGTGCGTGTGCGGTGTGCGGTGTGCGTGTGCGGTGTGCGTGTGCGGTGGTGCCATGTGCGTGTGTGTTACATGCATGTGTGCGATTTCGGGCAGGCAGGAGGGTGATGATACGTTGTTGGCAATCTCGAGTTCGGCGATGGGGTAGGCGAAGGTGTGCCAGAGGAAAGGCAGGCCCACCATGCGGCTGAACACGGAGAAGGCCTTCACGCCGGGCGTCTCCTCTCGGAAGAGGACCTGCTCGTCGTCCTGCGACAGCAATTCGTTCTTCAGCAGAAGCCTGATCAGCTCCGTGCCCTTGTCCGCCGACTGATGCACCAACACCTGCACACGCGCATCATCAACCGCCATCCTACCCACAGAACGTGTGGAATGCATGTACGTCGTACCATGGCTGCTGCCACTTCGTCAATGCTGGACGGGTTGGCGTGGGCGACGCTGCCGATGGCCTGAGCGACGTGCTGGTCCATCAGGAACTGATTGATTGAACAGGAGTGAGTGAGCGAGCGAGCGAGCAGCAAGATTGTTGATTGAAAAGGCAGCAGCTGGGGGAAGGGAAGTACCTCGATGAGCACGCTCTGGACCTTGAGGTTGAGTCGCCGCATGGGGAGCATCTTCATGCCCTCATTGCTCTCCATCGAATCCCTGCGCCAAACCAACAGCTGGTAGTTGGGCTCCTGTTGTTCATGTGGTCATCATTGAGAATGCGCGGTGGTGTGTGCGTGCGTGCGTGCGTGCGTGCGTGCGTGCGTGCGTGCGTGCGCGTGCACAGCCAAGAGAATGTGAGGAATGTTGAGTACCTTGAGGATCACCTTGGGCCGCTTGTACCGCATGTACCCGAGCAGGAGCACGGCGAAGAGTATGGCCAGCACCACCAGCAGGAGCGTGATCGGCAGGATGACGCCCAGCACGATCGCCAACGTGGAATCGGAACCCGACGAGGTCTGCACCGTACAAAAGTCCCCTGGAAGTGGACACACGTCAGCACCAGGTGGACATGCACACACGCGCACACGCACACGCACGCACCTGAGGTGTCGGGCGCGGTGCATTGGCATACACCAGCGAGGCACGCGCCGTTGTCGTTGCAAGAGAGCGTGCCCCCGGGTGGAATACACGTGCGCCGCGTCGCCGCAGAGGCCACGATGCGCCCCGTTTCGGTGAGCGTGACCGAGCCGCTGCTCAACCCGCCCAAGATCACCTGTAAACAGCGCACACGACACACGACACGACACACGGCGCATTCAGATGTGAAGCTTGTGACGAGAAGGCGTGGAGATTGGGTACCGAGTCGGCGGTGAGGCCGGGGGTCTGGAGATCGAGCGCGTTGTCGCTGAGCGAGGAGTAGCCGTCGAGGCCCGAGGACAGGAACGAGATGGTGGTGGCGGTGTAGACGCGCTCGGGCTCGACCAGCTCCCACTGCTTGGTCGTGCGGTACAGTTCGTCCTGCCGCTTCGCCGCGAGAGCCGGGTCGGTAGGAACTTTGGGCGATGCCGCCACTCGCACCCAGGCGTTGACGATGCGCATGCCCACCTCCTCCCTCGGGTTCCAGGTGAACTTGACGCCCGATATCTGATCGCATAGAATTCGTGAGTGCGTGTGTGTGCGTGTGTGCGCGCGTGTGCGTGTGTGTGTGAGTGTGTGTGTGCGCGCGCGCGCGTGTGCGCGCGTGCGTGCGTGCGTGCGTTGCTGCGTGCGGTGTGTGGGAGTACCTGAAGGAAGCGACCGACACCCTGGCTGATGTCATAGGTGGTCTCGTTGGCCAGGGAGACCGAGTGTTCCAGTGCGAGGAGGAGGTGCTTCCCGAGCAGGCCGAAGGTCGTGATCACGTCGGCGGGGTAGGGGAAAGCCCGCGTGTAGTCCTCCACCGTGATATTGCCCTCCGCGATCGCCCTCCTACGACACAACACGCGCGACACACAACGTTATGGCAAAAGAGTCTGGGGCTGAAGGAATGAGAAGAATGTACGCCAAGGCGCCTCCGTTGATGAAGGCCATGTCGGTCTTGCCAGCCGCAAGAAACTGGTCGGCAGCCCAGCTTCCGATTCCGCACTCGCCAAACCAGCATTTGTGCTGCGCGTACCCATTAGCGGCTGAGTTGACACTTTATGGCCTCAAAGGGTGTGTTGCGTGGAGCGGACAACATGCACGTACGTTGAGATCGAGATTGACAGAGGCATGGCCGATGACGCGCTTCACGCCGGCCAAGGACATGTTGTAGTCGGCAATGACTTCATTCTGTGTGGCACGTGGGTGGCACTCACGCCTGGGTCAGGAGGTGGCTCTGGCATTGCATTCCAACGACAAAGCAACAAGTACCTGGAGCGTGGCGTTCGGGGTAATGGCGTCGGAGAGAGGGATGGCGTTACCGCTGCACGACTGGATCACGCCGTACTGGTCGAACTCGAGATCGAGCTGGCCCAGGTGCGCGCCCCACACGCCTGCGCCGGCGATGCACACCACCTGGTTCCACCTCATCTGCTTTACCACGGGATAGGGTCCCACCGCGGTGCCGGTCTCTGCGCAAGCCGGGTTGGTTGGCGATCTTTAGCGCTAGAGTTAGCTCTAAATGAAGGTGTGGTTGTAGTAGTTACCGTTGTTGTTGGCGTAGTACTGTCGCTGAACCAACACGACGTCGATACCGCTGACCCGCTCAAGAAGCGGGTCGACGAACTTGATGTTGCTCACCGCCACAATCACCTTGTTTACTGTGCAGTATGTTGATGTCAGGCGACCACGGCGTGGCGTGATGGCTGTTGTTGTACAGTGAGTGGTGGACGGCGAACGAACCTCCCTGGTTCTGCAAGATGGCGACGGCAACCTGCAAGGCGTCGACCTCGTCCGTCGAGTCCTGAATGACAAAAAAGAAGAAGTATTATGTGATTTCGTTGGCGCGGAGTCAAGCGACCGACGCGAGCATACCATAGTACCAAGGTCGTTGGCCAGTACTTGCAAGTTCACTGGCATGGTGCCTGCGAACCCCACCTGCCATTGGAGGTTGATCGTTAGACGATGACCAATGTTCAACATTCGCAACGATGGCGCGAACACACCTTTTCGCCATCGTCGTAGGAGATGATTGTTTGGGTTTGGATGTCGAGTGCGGCCGTCACCGGATCGTCCTGCAGTCCAACCAGGTTGGAGCTCACGATCCGGGTGTTGTTTCCCGTGAACTGCGGCACGAACTTCGTGAACTGTATCGCAGTAAAGAGATGTGGTCAGTGTATGGGATGAGAGCACGACTCATCACTTTCTGAGTACCCTGTCCGCTCCGACGAGCATGTCATAGAGGTCGAGCTTGATGATGTCGTAGCCAATTTTTAGCGTATATTTGAGCACCGTGTCGTACGAGAACAAGAAGTACTGCCCGCCTGCGGACACGAAAAAAGTAAGTAATGAGCTCACACAACACATTTAAATGCAGAATGGCCCCGAAGAAGAGACCCCGGCATTACCTGAGAAGACGTTGCCGATGTCCACCACCAACAGGTTCGTGCTTGCGTTGCTCCGGAGTTGCGCGATGGCTGCCTCGCGTCGGGCGTTGCCGCCGAGGCACCCGCCCAGGCCTTCGCCCCCGGCGTAGGAGAGGCCCACGGGGGCGCACGGGTTGTTGGCGCCGTCGACCGCCACCACTGCGCCATAGCTGTCCTGCGAATGTACGAGGGTCAACGACCACGAACCTGTTGGGGGAGGTTGATCTTAGTTCCAAAAGAACGAAGAGAAGAAGAGCGAAAGAGAAAGAGAAAGAGGGAGGGGGATGGTGTACCGGCGGGACGAACTCCGACCACGCAGAGAACGAGGAAGAGCAGAAGTAGCGCCAACGGGACTGAACGCGAGTCCATTGCGAGAGGTGGTTTGTCTTCGTTCTTCTCCGTGCGTTCAACACTGTCAGATGTGCCAACTGGGATTGGTTGATGCCAATTAGGTACATCTCTCGGTACAGAGCGATGGTGGTACACATCCGGAAATGTTCCTGATATACTGGAATGTCAGGACAGCTTTGTTGCACAACACCAGCAGTTTTCCACAAGGAAAAGAGAAAGAGCGAGGAAGGAAAGAAATCGCCGGGAAAGGAAGGACTTCAGATTTGCCGGCGAAATCAAATCAGCCGCTTCGGCAATCAATCAATCGGGACTGCAGTTATTGGAGGTAGCTAGCGGCTTGGAGATTAGCACATCTTTTTAAGATAAGAAGGAGGAGAGAGAAGATGCCGAAGAGAGGAGGAAAGAGTCATGGAGAGCTGGGTCGTGCCATGGTGCGCGACAAGGATAGGAAGCGGAGGGCCGCCCCCACCACACACGACAAGATCAACGTACGGTGCATCACATCGTGTTGTATGATTGATTCTTTCTCATTGTCATCATTTCTCGATCTCGTCTCATTTTCATCATCTCTCTTCATTCTGTCCCATCTCTAGTTCTATCCGACAGACATCGAAGAGACCCAGAAGAAGAATGAGCTCAACAAGCTCAACTCCCTCACGCAAACCAGCGATTTGGGCGATTTCCTTCTGCAAGCCGATCTCGCGGAGAAGGAGTTCTTTGCCGAGAAGCAGAACGTGGTCATTCTCACCACGCAATCGTACACAGGTTCGTTCATTCGTGCACGATCTTCTCCACCGCATCTATCTCTACAGCTCTTCTACATCTTTCGCGATTTATTCTCGTTTTATTTTAATTAATTTGTGTTTGATCTCATCGCGTCGCTGCCCACAGTACGCACGCAGGCCACGGCCAAGCAGCTCGAACTGCAGCTCAAGCACGCCAACGACCTCAAAATCCCGCGGAGGTGCGTGCAGGATAGCTCTCCCCGTCGCGTGTGTCTGTGTGCGAGACTCTAACCCGAGGGTCCTCTTTCATATATGTTGGCAGACCTGCCTGGGATGCCACGATGACGCCTCTGGAGCTGGATCACAACGAAAAGCAGTGCTTCCTCGAGTGGCGCAAAACGCTAGCCACGTACGTTCATTCATGCGCATCACCATCTGCGAGTCTCTTTTGCTGCATTTGGTGTTGATGATGTTTGGGTCTTCTCCTTCTTCTTCATTCATGCAGGCTGGAGCAGCAGGAGGACCTGGTGCTCACCCCCTTCGAGAAGAACCTCGAGGTGTGGCGTCAGCTGTGGCGCGTGGTGGAGCGGTCCAACGTCATCGTTCAGGTACCGCTACTACCGCTACAGCTACAGCTACAGCTACACCTTCAACTGCAACTGCAACTTTTCTTCGGACAAAGGCGGCTTGCTAAACGCGTAAACGTGTACACCTGAGCGCGCAACAGATCGTGGACGCGCGTAATCCGATGGTGATGTGTACAGATTTGGACAAGTACGTACAGGAGGTCGACCCCGCCAAGAAGAGCCTGCTCCTGGTCAACAAGGCCGACTTGCTCACCACGAAACAGAGGTATAAAAAAAGCAATAATTACTGTGTTCTTTATTTAGTATTCTCTTTATTTATGTATTTAATGATTCATTTTTTCGGGGGGTGCAGGCTCATGTGGACGAGGTATTTCCACTCGAAGGGGCTCCACTTCCTGTTCTGGTCGGCCAACTACGAGAAGCTGAGGCAGGAGGAGCGCGAGGCCGAGCTGAAGAGGCTGGAGCTGGAGGAGGCCGGCATCATCGACGCCGAGTCGAAGCCCGCGGTCAGGCACCGACAGCCGCGACAGCCGCAACCGGAGGAGGAGAGCTCGGAGGAGGATGACAACGAAGAGGCCGAGACCGAGGCCGAGGAGGGCCCTCTATCCAATGACGAGGGAGGCAACGCCGACGCCGACGCTGCCGCCAACACGGCCGATGGCGAAGAAGAGGGAGAAGAGGAGGAGGGAGAGCAGCATGAGGAGGTGCAGTTGACCACCAACGAAACTGTCGAGGCAACGACCACCACTACGACGACCACGTCGGCCGAGGCTAACGTCGAAGCTGACGTCGAAGCTGAGAAGAAGGCGGAGGCGGAAGCGGAGGAGGACGGTCTGTCCGAGGAGGAGGTGGAGAAGCTCGCCAAAGTCCACGGCATCGACGAGCTCTTGGAACACATCTTGAGCTACTGCCCGCCCAAGGAGAGTACGTTACCTTCTTCATTCTTCTTCGTTCTTTGTTCTTTTTCTGATCCGCCTTCTTCTTCTTTCTTCGTTCTTTCTCTTTTTCTCCTTGCGCAGAGGGAGGCGGAATCACGGTGGGTATGGTGGGCTACCCCAACGTGGGTAAGTCGTCGACCATCAACGTGCTCTGCGGCGAGAAGAAGGTCAACGTGTCGATGACCCCCGGTAAGACGAAGCATCTGCAGACGATCAAGCTGAGCGACCAGATCATGCTGTGCGATTGCCCGGGTCTCGTCTTCCCGTCGTTCCTCACCACCAAGGCCGACATGATCTGCAGCGGTCTGCTCCCCATCGACCACATGCGCGACCCCAGGCCGCCCACCGCTCTCGTACGCAACCCCTTTCACTCACCACACGCACCACGCACCACGCACCACGCACCACGCACCACGCACCACGCACCACGCACCACGCACCACGCACCACGCACCACGCACCACGCACCACGCACCACGCACCACGCACCACGCACCACGCACCACGCACCACGCACCACGCACCACGCACCACGCACCACGCACCACGCACCACGCACCACGCACCACGCACCACGCACCACGCACCACGCACCACGCACCACGCACCACGCACCACGCACCACGCACCACGCACCACGCACCACGCACCACGCACCACGCACCACGCACCACGCACAGCTGCAGCCTGAACACTTACGGTTTGCGTGCGTGTAGGTGTGCGAGCGGATACCACGCAGCATTTTGGAGGGTACCTACGGTATCATGCTGCCCAAGCCAACCGAAGAGGAGGTACGCGTGCTGTGCCTGGCATGGCATGTCCTTGCTATGTCGTCGGGGCTGACCCCCAATCTCTCTCTCTGTGTGCCGCCTCGTTAAGGATCCGAACCGCGTGCCGACGCCGAGCGAGCTGCTCAAGGCCTACGGTCGCATCCGAGGCTTCATGACCGTTCACGGTTCTCCCGACGAGTCTCGCGCTGCACGAATCATCCTCAAGGACTATGTCTCTGTACGCCCCCCCCCCCGCGCCTTTGCCGTGTGTGTCGTGTGTGCCGTGTGCCGTGTGCGTCGTGTGTTTCGTCGACTCATGGATGACTGCGCACGCAACCAACGATGAGCACAGGGCAAGCTCCTGTACTGCCACCCCGTGCCCGGCAAGGAGAAGGAGTACACGCAGTGGTGGGACGAGGAGAACGCGCGCGAGCAGTACAAGTCCTTCGGCTGGGACGTCAAGGAGACCCTCAGGCTGCCCACCGAAGAGGACACCGAAGCCGTCAAGCTTCGCCGGGAGCGACTCGCCGAGAGGGCACGTCCACCATCACATCAATTATTATATTTATTATTATTGTTTGTTTGTTATTTGCTTATTTTTTTTTCTTGGCCATGTGCAGAAGAGCGGCCATGTGTCGTATGATGAGAGGCAGAACCAGGTGCTGGCCCACTCGGCGGGCCGGCGGAAGGGCAAGAAGGGCTTCACGCGCGTCCAGAACACGTACCACTCGGTGGTGCCGGTGCGAAAAATCGCCCAGGCCCAGATCCACGCCATCCAGCAGCGCCACAAGGCCGCCCAAGCTGCCGCCCAGGCCCAGGCCCAGGCCGCCGCCAACCAGCCACCCCAGTAGTGTGATTATGTGTGGTGGGACGTCGCACATGTATGGGAGTGTTATGTGTGCTTGCCAACTCCGTACACGTGCTCAACATGTCAAACTTATCAGTGGCGACAAAAAAGAACAATTTATTTTCTATTTCTCTTTTTCTTTTTTGAGATTCTCAATTTAATTAACCTCCTCGGGCGTGTCTCTTTGTGTTTGTTGGGCGCTACGAAGAGAAAAGAGAAAGATGAAAGGACCAAGAAGCCAAGTAGCCTTGGCGGCGCTGCTCTTCGTGGCGGTGTCGCTCGTCGCGCTGACGAGGGCGGCCGCACCGTCGCCTCCCCTGGGTATCCCCGCAGATTGGGTCGGGCCGTGGAAGCAGGGCGACCTCCTCTTCGGCACCGACGAACCCCAGCAGACCTATCGCCAGGTACCCACCTCATCTCGCACTGCGATCTCGCGAGAAAACGAAACCATCAATCAAATCCAACACGAGGGATCCTCTTCCGCCTTTTCCACCCCAATGGTGGTTTTTTGTGTTGGTGTGGTGAAACTCCGGCCCGATTGCTGACGTGTGCCGTGTGCGGTGGCTGGGTTGCGTGTGCGCGTGTGCGTAGGCGGTGGTGGGCAACGGCTACATGGCCACTGTGGTCGGCAGCCCGGACATCTACGTCTCTGGTACCTCTACTTTCTCTACTATTGCCATGGCATTGTTTGGTCTCACCGCAAAAGCTTGTGTGGCTCGTTGGCGCCCCAGGTGTTTTCAACGGCGAGGAGTCGCTTTCGAAGCGAGCCCGCCTTCCGGCCACCAACGCCATCACCGTCACCAACGCCCTGCACACCGGTTCCGCACTCAACATTCGAGAGGGTACCCGCGCATTTGCACTTTGCCTGTGACCAACGCGATCAATGACTAACCCACACACACGCACGCACACACGCACACACACCACACACACACACACACACAACCGCAGGCGTCTTTTACAGGAGGTCTTACTTCAAGCCGTGCATCGCTTGCGCCGAGGCCGATATCGAACAGCGCTGGTACCACTCACACCGCACACCACACATCGCACACGCCGCGCGCGACACACACTCGCACGCACCGCATCGCACGACGCACACCGCACACCGCACACGCCGCGCACGACTCACTTCTCCTCCCCGCCAGGTATGCGCACCGTTTCTATCCGTCGCTGCTCGTGCACGAGATCCAGGTGCGCACGACGGTGAGCCCCACCAACGAGTCGATCACGCTCACGCTGGCTAACAACAACGGCACGGCCACGACCGACCTCGACCTGAGCCCGTACGGCGCGCCGCCGGGCCTCGCGGTCATCGCCGGCCCCACGCGCCTGCTCGAGACGCCCAAGCAGCAGCCGACCTTCGTCGCCGTCGCCACCAACAACGTGCCCGACAGCATCACCGTCAACGCCACCGGCAGCTCCACCACCTTCTACTTCATCACCGCCATCAGGTTAGACTATTTTGATTTATTTACATTCTTTATTTATTTTTACTTGAATTATATTTATTTTTCTTTTAGATTCTTTTTCTTTTTCTTGCTGACGTGGCAAAATGTGTCACAGGACCAACCACGACAGCGAGTACCCGATCGACGCCGCGCTCACCGATTTGCAGAACGCGCAGTTCATGCAGGGCTCCCTCCGGAAGCACCATATCGAGGTAACGCCCCGCTTCACTCGATCTTCACTCAGTTGCAGTTGGACCAACCCGTGTTGTCGCGTGTGTCGTGTCGTGTCGTGTCGTGTGTGTCGTGTCGTGAACAGGAATGGGAAAAGATTTGGGAGGCCGGTATTGAGGTGGGCGCTCGATTCGAGCTCGGCCAGGCCGTCAACTCGTCGATCTACTACCTCCTCAGCTCCATCCGCGCGGGCGACTACGAGACCAACTCCAGCCGCTTCGGCTCCGCTTTCCGCGTCAAGTCCTACAGGTAGACCGCACACGCACACCCACGCGCACCACCGTACCACCGCACACGCACCACCGCACACACTGCAAACGTAGTTAATTCTTCGCGGTGGCGGTGTGTGTCAGTGTGTCGCCCGGGTCGTTGGCCACCACGGGCTACAGCGGCCACTCGTTCTGGGACGGCGAGACGTGGATGTACCCCACGATGGCCCTCTTCTACCCCGAGGTGGCCCGCAACCTCCTCCAGTACCGTTCCGACCGCATCCCCGAAGCCTCGGCCAACGCCGCCCTCAACGGATTCAAGGTGGTGCACCTTTACCACCTTATTTATTTATTTCTATTTATTTATTCATTTTAACAAATATACACATTATATTAATTTTTCTATTTTTTTGCAGGGCCTCAAGTTCCCGTGGGAGAGCGGCTACACCGGCTCCGAGGTGTGCCCCTGGCCGCCGGGTCTGTTCGAGCACCACCTCATGGGCGACATCGGTACGCCAAGCACACGCTCGGAGTGACGTTTGTGGTGCGAGCGTTTCATTGTGGACTGACCTGTATTGTCGTGTGTGCCGCGTGTGCAGCGCTGGCGGTCCAGCAGTACTGGCGCCTCACGCGGGACAAGCAGTGGCTGAAGGAGGAGGGCATCAACCTCGCCGTGGGCATCGCCGCCTTCTGGATCTCGCACGTCGAGTGGAACTCCACCACCCAGGTTCGCCCATTGCCCTCCATCCGCGTGTGCGTTGTGCGTGTGCGTGTGCGGTCCGTAGAGGGTTGACCCTAACCCCTGCCGCTCAAATGGTGGCCACACAGAAATATTCCATCAATCATGTGCTCGGCCCGGACGAGTACGCCACGGGACCCGACAACAAGGGCATCAACGACAACGCCTACACCAACACCATCGCCCGCATCAGCATCGAGTTCGCCGCCGAGGCCATGCAGGTACATTCCTTGCATTCTTTTACTATTGTCTTGTACCCACACTATATATCGAATATATGTCTATCTATATATTCTAAAAAACGTGTAAATGAACAGATATTGGGCCTTAAGGTGGACCCGGTCTGGCTCAACATCTCGAGCAACATCTACGTGCCCTTCAACGCCACCGGCAACTTCCACCCCGAGTACGTGGGCTACGAGTACGGCCAGGTCGTCAAGCAGGTACTTACTTCCCTTCAATTTTATAAAATAGACTTATTTATCTTTCTTTTTTTTTAAAAAAAGAATTATAATAAAATAATATTGGTATTTTTATGTAAGAAAATTTAAATAACTTGTGAGTAATGTGTGGAATGCAGGCCGACACGATCTTGATGGGCTATCCGGCGCTCGACCAGCTGCCGGAGCAGGTGCGAAGGAACGACCTGGAGTACTACGAGGAGGTGACCGACATCAACGGCCCGGCCATGTCCTGGGGCATGTTCGCCATCGGCTGGCTCGAGGTCGGCGAGTACCAGCTCGCCGCCAAGTACTTCAACCAGAGCTACCAGTACGGCGACCCCTTCGCCTATCTCGATCATGATTCCTTTCTCATCGTGGCACACAACACGACACGCGCGACACACGACACGACACACGCACAACACGACTCGCACGACATACGCGCAGGCTCAACTTGAACTTGCCGTTCAACGCCTGGCAGGAGACGGTCAACGGAGGCTGCCCCCACTTCATCACCGGCGCGGGCGGTTTCCTGCAGGGCCTGTGGGCCGGCTTCGGCGGCGTACGCATCCTCAACGACCGCGTCGTGTTCAAGCCCGTCCTCCCCGAGCACACCACCTACCTCAAGTACCGCCAGGTGCGCCGCCTCCTTAAGCCACACCAGCACCACCTTAATGTTCGCCGACCTCCTTAATGATGCCCTAACAACAACAACAACAACAACAACAACCAGTTCCACTACCTGGGCAGCCAGATCGACATTGCGTTCGATGACAAGCAGATCACGTTCGGCCTCACCAGCCAGGGTGCGCAGGCGCTGGCCGTCACGTCGAGCAAGGGCGACAAGCAGATCCTCGGCGCCAAGTCCCCCGTCATTCTGCCCACCGCCTCCGCGCCCTTCTACCTCTCGGCCTACCCGCAGTAGTGCACACCCCACGCTTTCTTTGTTTTATTTGTTTTATTTGAAATATAGCTTTTCCCACTCTCAATTGGAAGGAAAACGCGAATGAAAAGATTTTCTTTGTTAATTTTACTTTTAAGAGATGGTTGCGCACCTGCTGGTGCCCACGTCGGGCACGACGGTGGTGGCCCTTTTGTGGCTCAAGGCCATGGAAACGCTTCGCGACCGGGGCGTCCTCTCGGCCAATGCGTGCCGCAAATGGATTCACGTCGGCACCGGGCCACTGTACACTGCCTCCCCGCCTTTCCGACGATTTATTTATCTATTTATTTAACTTATGTTCCCTCTATGACTTTGTTTTGATTTTCTCAATATTTATTTATTTGTTTGTTTTATTCATTTCTTCATTTGTTCAGATTTATCCTGTGCTGGTTGGCGTTCCCGCAAGACGCTCAGGCGCGGTACTGGGCCGCGGTGGTGCCCGGCCTCATCACCCTCCGCTTCGCCCTCCTCGGCTTGGTACTTGCACACCGCACGCAGCGCACAACACGCAACACGCGCCCTGCTAAGCACGTTCCCTCGTGTGGTGCGTGCGTGCTGGCAGGGAGTGCTCAAGGACGAGAAGACGGTCAGATCGCTGTCGCGAACGGGCGATCGCACCGAACTACTCAAGGGTCCCTTGATCTACGGTACTGCGCCGAGACCGGTGGCCCACGCGAGGCTTCTGAACCACAAACTTAACGATACGTGCGTGTCGTGCGTGTGTCGTGTTGTGTCGTGTCGTGTCGTGTCGTGTAGGAATCATATTTGTGGTCTGTACGTGCGTGTACTGGCGAGACTCCTCCGTCGGCATCTCCATCCTCCTCATCCTATGCGCCGGCGATGGTACCGCTTCTCTTGCCTAACCGGCGCGTGCAACCGTCTTGCTCACAGCACGACACGCACCGCACACAACCTACGATACACACGCACACACAGGGTTTGCTGATCTGGCCGGACGCAAGTACGGTGGTGCGGCGCGACTGCCGCACAACCGGTCGAAGTCGTGGGCCGGCTCGTGCGCCTTCTTCGTCGCGTCGCTGGCCTTCCAGTGCGCCTACGCCCACCTGTTCCACGCCCAGGGCTGGCTGCGCGTCGGCCTGGCCCAGAGCCTGCCCACCATCGTCGCCGTGACGCTCGTGTCGACGGTGGTCGAGTCCCTCCCGGTCAGCGACTGGGACAACCTCACGGTGTCCCTCGCCGCCTGGGGCTGCCACAAACTCCTGGGCAGCGTGTAGTAAGACCAGCCAAACCTGAGTTGCATTGCAACGACGAACCAGTGCGTGTGTGTTGTGGATCAGGCGATCTCGCGGAGGAAGGCGGAGATGGGCTCGGCCAGCGGCAGCACGGCGAAGGGTTTGGTGTCCTGCAGCGTCGCGGCGACGGAGGGGCACGAGTCGGTGATGTAGAAGTTTTTGAAGGGCTTCTCGTCGGTCGGGTCTGTGTTTTGATGCGAGTTGCTCAACGTTAGTTTAGTAGGACAGTAGAGAAACAAAGAACGAAGAGCGAAGAGCGAAGAAGAGAGGAGAAACAAACCAGTGAAGCGCTTCCAGCTGTCGCCAGGGAAGATGGCGTGAGTCACATAGGCCGACACGTCCTTGGCGCCCTGCTTGATCAGTGCGTTCTTGCACTCAATGAGTGTTCCGCCTGACACGCGACACGCACCCAACGTTGAAGTCAATGTTGTGCTGTCTCAGCAGGTGTTGCAAGTCGCAGTACCGGTCTGCACGAGGTCGTCGATGATGAACACGTGGCGGCCAGCGGCGTCGCCTTCCTTGACGGTGACGATCCGTTTGTTGCCCTCCCCTCTCACCTTGGAGCAGAGGATGGTGTCGAACTCGTGGAATTGACCGCCGAATCGTTTGATCGCTCCCTCGTCCGGGAATGCAATCGCCACGTTCTGGAGCACGCGTGGGTTACTCCAATGGCCATCACACACACGCACACGCACACGCGCACGAGATGTGGCATGAGACATGGTACCTCGTCTCGGTGGGCAGTCTTGATCTTGTCGATGATCAGCGGGATGGCTGTTTCGAACATGGGGATGATGTTGTCCCCAAAGTAGAAGCTGTGATTCACGGTAAGTCGGAGAGGGCAACGGTCAGTGCATTGGACACGGCCTACGCGGTGATGAAGGCTAACGGTACCGTTCCCCGAGGGCGTGAATGTCGTAGATCAACACCTTGGCGGGACCCTCTCCAAGCGGTGGGATGGACGACAACAGCCGGGCGAGCGACATGGCCGTGGCGATCTGTCCCTCTGCAAGACCCACATAAAGTTGAACAACCGTAAGCAACCGCGTGTGGGTGGTGCGCGAATGTGTGTATACCTTCGTCAACTCTCTCCATGGTGCCTGTGGGGAAGTAGGGAAGCACAACGACCAACGATCGGGCACAGTAGCGTGGCAGGTGGAAGAGCACTAGGGTAGTAGTGGAAAGTCACCACAAACCAAAGCAGCAGCAAACAATACTGCGTGTGTGAGCCACCCAAGACCTATGCAGGTGAGCGCCTGCAGGTGCCGAGCTCAGGGTACCTGACAGCTGGGCGAACATGCTCTCGGGATGGAAGAAGGAGGCGAAGAAGACGAGATGCTTCCCGCGCACGGTCTGATGGGGCTTGTCGATGAACAGGTTGGGAAACGAGTCTGGGAATCGGCCCCACTTGATGTCTCCCCTCCTGGCCACCACCAGCGGCCCTTCCTCGTTCTGTTTGTGTAATACGTATCTTTACATCTTTCCACGTTGCAGAGATGCACACATAGGCCATGCATACGTACATCGTCGGCGAGGTCGAGGGCCTGGCGCACGCCGTCGGCCATGGACTGCATCTCTGGGTAGGCAAAGATCCACAGGTCCTGGCCGTGCGGCTTCGACGATGGCGACGATGACACGTGGCGGTGGGTTCTCGGCTCCGCGCGAGTGTGGTGTTTGTGTGGGTCCATCTCCTTGCTCGAGTAGCAGTAGGATCTAGCACTGTCCAATTGATGGTCCACCTGTGGTGCTGGCGAGATTCGGTGGAGTGGGTGGAGAGGGCGAAGTAGGCCGGTGGCTGAAGCGGGTCGAGTCGTCAAGGCTCGAGGAGCTGTAGGAGGAGCGGCGCGAGCGGTGCAGACGCGAGATTGAAGTAAAAATCGTGTGCGGGTAGCGGCTCTAATCTTCGTATCGAAAAGGAAAAGGTGAAGCAATCAAGCAGTGTGTCCAGTAGGTGTGGCGATCGTCGGTGAGGCCTGAAAGCACTACCTCGCGAGGCAGCACCATGGTGCTGTGGTCTGTTCGCTTTCGTCGTCTTGGCGTCGGAATACCTGCGAATATTGCCGAAAAAATATTCGTCTTGTTTTATTTCCTTTTCTTTTATTTTGTAATTTATTGGATTTGCAAAGATGAAGCATTTCTGGAGCCGCCTCGGGGGCGGCCCCAAAGTCTCATCAACAACACGAGAAGGCGAAGACCACGTGGACCCATTGATTGGCGCCCATCATGCTTCCCAGCCAGCCACAAGTGTACCGCTTTTTTATTTATTATTTTATGGCCTATTTATTGTACATTTTATAAAATAATTAAATAAATAACCACAACATTGCAGGCACAGCAGCAGCAAGAGGGGCAGAGGCGCTTCCCGCAGGCGGCCAGGCTGGAAGCCCTCCGTGAGCGGGTGCTGACCCTGGACGCGGCCTCGCTGCCGCGACCCAACCTCTCGCTGTCGGCCATCACCACGCCCACCAACTCCGAAGAAGAGCTGTCTGAGCGCAGCGAACGCGCGCAGAGCAAGGCGGACACAGCCACCAGCGTGGACTATGCGGAGTACAACAGCCGACACGACACCACCAAAGACACAGGCAACCTTCTAAGAGTGATTGCGTGTGTGGTGTGTGGTGTGTGTGTCGTGTGCAGGTGTGATGGAGCGTATGCCGGCGAGGGATCTGACAGCTTTTACCAAGGTGCCCGCGTGTGTCGAATTACCGCCTGCGCAGTCACGACTAACCTCTTTTTGGTGCGTGTGCGTGTGTGCGTGTGTGCGTGCGGTGGTTTAGACACGGACGACACGGGTGGGTATGTGTCGTCGGCCTACGAGGACGTCGAGGGAGCGCCACCACCTCCGCAGACAGACGCGAAGCCGCCGCCGCCGCCAGTGCCTCAGCAGGGCCAAGAGGACGACAACAACTACCTCGTCACCTTCACCGCGGACTCTACCCACGTCAGCAAAGTCGACACCAGATCCGATGACATCTATATGTACCACGACGTGGAGCACGACGGCGACGAGACAAGCCAATTCCACATCGACGACGACGGCGGAAGCGGCCGTGACAGTGGTGAAAACGGCAGGGAGAAGAAAGCGCAGGAAACGAACGACGTGATGCAGAAGAATGAGAATGCGAGTTCGATCATCAGCGACGAGGACGTTGCGCGTGCGCTGGTGTACAGCGTAAACACCGACCCTGGGTCCACTACCACCCACACCATCACCACCACCAGCAGGGAGGGCGAGAATGAAGACGAAGACGAAGACGAAGACGGTATGCAAACCTTATGTGGCATTCCTGGAATTCCTCATATTGATGAGGGTAGTGGGCGCGGTCGACGTTGAACAGGGGCTCCTGGATCGCCGGCGTCGGCATACTGGGCGGAGTCGACGCGCGGCTGGACCGAGCGGTTTCGAGAGGCCACCGAGACGCTGCGCATGATGAGCTCCAACGCGCCCTTCGCGCAGCGCGTTGCGGCCACCAACAGACTGACCCAACTCTCTCGGTACATCATCCATTCGCACTGGTATCCGACAGTCGCGCTGCTGATGTGGCAAGCCACACGCCATCACACCACCCTCAGAGATTTCCTGCTGTCGGCGCGCACGTACGGGAAGATCATCATCTCGGAGGCGTTCATGCCCGCACACCTCAAGACCATCCAACCCGTCGCCATCGGCGGCATTGCGGGCGGAACCAAATGTACGTCGCCGCACACCGCACACGCACACGCCCGTGCACACGCTCATTGTGACGCGACACACAGATCTGGTGCGGGACATCTTGTTCAAGTTCAGCATGGACTCGCGAGGCCTGTACCAGAGCGATGACGCGGCTGCCAAGCTCGCCGGTACTCGCTGCTCAGTCACCTCCTCGTTCGGTGCAGATGATTCTAATCCTTGCGTGACATCACAACACGCGCAACACGCGCACGACACGCACGACACGACATGCGACACGCATGCAGGGCACGAGCTGAAGGGGGTGATGGCCTACTACAACTGCCACATCCCCAGCCTGCACACGCCCATGACTGCAGTGATCGATTTTCGAGGTATGTTCCCCCTTTTCTTTTTTCCTTTTTTCTTTCCCATTTTCTAATGTTCGTGTGGTACGCCGTCCAGGGTTTCGACTGTTGGCTGTTTCGCTGCTGCCCATCAGCCCCGGCACCCTCTGCTACGGTTCGCCCAACGCCGGCCACACAGTAGTCAACACCAACCCCGTCCTTGATGCCAAGATGAGGTGCCTTCCCTGAACCATGCGTTTGTGTCGTGCGTTGCGTTGCGTACGACGTTCGTGTGCGTGCAGCTCAACGTTGCGTTGGTGCGTGGCTGCAGGGAAGCGGCACAGAAGCTGAACATCAAGGAGCACATGGTGTATCCGCACCCCCTATCCGGCATTCCGCCCCAGCGACTCGCCACCGCCGCCGACGTCGAGGGCCACCACATCGTAGGCCCCGCTCCCTCCTCGCCGCCCCCGTTGCGTGGCATGGTCATTCACCCGTGTATGCGCGCGCGTATGCGTGTGTGCGTGTGCGTGTGCGTGTGTGCGACTACAAGAATGGCCAATTCTACCTGGTGGACCTGTCGCGAGTCTTCCCGCCCGAGGCCCCCGATGCGAGGTGCGCCCCCCCGGATCTCGCGCTCGACTTCCGGACCTTAAAAAAAGGTGTAGCTCCGATCGCGCCTCACTCTTCATTGCTCCCCATCGACCAATTGCAGCAGCGCGCGAATGGGCCACCTCTATCGCCTCCTCCGGCCAGGTACTCTCTCCCCCCCGCCACCAGCGCGCAAGGCGAACTGACGCCTGCCTCGAATTCCAGAGCTGGTGAAGCGTTTCCCGACCCCGCTTTGCAGCGACGCGTTCAGGTGCGTCTTTTCATTCTAGGGCGCAAGGCGCTGGTTGGGTGGGTGGGTGGTGCTTAGCCGCCCGATCGGGCGCACGTGACTCACTGTACCTCCTGTCCAGTGGCTTCGTGTCGGCCTCCAAGCAGGACCTCGCAGAACACAACAAAGAGGTGCGACACGACACGACACACATCACATGACACACACACACCACACGACACACGACACGCACAAACGACATGAATCGCACGCGCTGACGCGTGCGTGCGTGGATTTAAACGGATAGGTGCGAGCGGCGACGGATTACTTGCACCTGGAGGTGATCCCCAAGTTCGCCCGCAAGCTCACAGCCCGGGTGGCCTACGAATGGACCACCTTCGCCCGTAAATCGTACACCTTCCCGCAACGCGAGACCAAAACGTGCAACGCACACCGCACACGCACACGCACACACGTCACAAGTGGTACCAAACGACCAATTGTCGATGGATGCACAGGGAGCACAACGCGGATCAGGAAAAGGAGAAGCCCAGTCGCACCGTGTTCTTGGCCATGTTCCCGCTCAAGCAACTCCTCCACGCAAAGGTGCGCGTGCGTGTCATGCGCGTGCGGTGGTGTTTGTGCGTGTGCGGTGGTGTTCGTGCGGGCTGATTGGGAGGGAGTTGCTGCGTCTCGGGCTGCTCGACAGGGAATCAATTTGAGGAATTTGGGTCGCGTGCGGCACATGGTGGGCCAGCTCGTGCCGCCCAACACCCCGGGCCTCACCGACACCCGTCAGCTGCTCTTCCTCGAGATGTGCGCCCGCACGATACGGTACAATAACGCAACGCGCCTTCGTGCCTTTGTGCGTGCGGTGCGTCCGACTTGACACGCACACGCACACGCACACGCACACGCACACGCACACGCACACGCACACGCACACGCACACGCACACGCACACGACACGACACGACACATGGTACAGGAAGATCGTGTTCGCGAAGCTGAGGCAGCGGATGAAGAAGCTGCGCGTGCCGCTCGAGGAGCCCTATCGCGAGGTCTACCTGTACTACCTCAACAAGCTCTTCGTGCCCCTGGCCGACCGAGACGTACGCAACACAACACACGTCGACTTCACCGCGCTAAGCTCAGCGTCGTGTGTGCGGTGGCGTGTGTCGTGCGTGTGCGTGTGCGTGTGCGTGTGCGTGTGCGGTCCCAGATTCGATATTTTAATGGGCCGCTCAAGAGCGCGATTATGAAGAAGTTCGGACCCGACGCGCTCGACGCCCACGAGAAGCGCGACGACTTCAACCTGCTGGGCCTCCTCGTGCCTCAGCGCACCGCGAGAGAGAGGCTCGAAGGCCTCGGCGAGAAGAAGGGAAACACGAAGGCCAAGCACGCGAAGCGCTCCGGCAGCACCGGAGAAAAGAAGACACAGAAATCGGCGGCGATGGCGGCGGTGCCGTCGGGCGACGAGGCGCACCTGGCGGACGGGCGGCCGCTGCTTCTGCTTCGGCTGCTTGCTCTCCTGCAAGTCAAGCTCACCAAAGACACCGTTGAGAGTACGCTGCATAACGAGACACACACCGACACACACACCGACACACACGCAACTGAAAACGTGAGTGTGGCAGATTTTTTGACAGAGGTGAGCGAGAAGGAATTCGCCTTGACGCGGTTCGACAGCATTGATCTGGCCGCCATTCACGAGCGGGTCAAGCACTTGGGCATCATTGGCCACTCACGCGGCTACATCTATAAGGTAACGCTCACACGAAACGCGACACAGCGCCACGCCACCACACGCGACACTATAGTCAGAGTGTCTGACTGATGGTTGGCGACGCAGATGAAGGCACTGCAGCGGAGAGACAACAAGAGATGCAAAAAGCTCCTTCACAAAGCGCTCAAATGTTTTGAAGGTGTTGTTGCCACGCCATCTGATACATGAAACCTTGCACGACGTGCGCGCTCACGCAGGCTTTCCTGTTCGTTGTTGTTGTTGTTGTTGTTGTTGTTGTTGTTGTTGTGCGTGCGCGCTCCACAGAGGTGCTCGAATCCAACCCGGCCAACAAAATCACTCTACGCAATGCGGGACAGATCTGCATGCACCTGGACATGATTGACCAAGACGGCCAGTACGTGCTTGCATCACGACACATGACACGCAACGCGACACGCAACACGGCACACACTCAAGGTTGTCTTAAACGCAGCAGTGCAACGGCCTGGGGATCGGTGCCCAAGAGTAAGCCACATTCGGCTGACTTGGAGCGCCCGTTGATGCGGCGAGCGCGGGACTACTTTGCGCAGTCGGTGCGGGCCGACCCGCAGGACACCTACTCCCTCTACCAGTACGCCTGTTTCCTCAAGCGCTGCGGCGACCAAGCCAAGGCGGTCGACTACCTCCTACGGGCAGTAGAAGCCGGTGCGCAATCGAGTCTTTACTTGTGTGTGTGTGTGTGTGTGTTGTGTGTTGTGTGTTGTGTTGTATGTTGTGTGTGTGGCTGACCACACGCCATCAGATCCCACGCATATGGCGGCAATGAGTGAGGTCTACCGATACCTCAAGGACAACGGCTACTACCGTGATGCCGAGGTGGTGCTGGAACTGAGTGAGACTGTTGACAAAGTGGTGATGGCAGCCCAAAGTACAGCCAAGTAAGCTTTCATCATGTAAGCGGGCAAAAGGAAGTTCACGATTGGTGCAGCAGAGTGACCCGGAAGGTGCCACCTTCGCTTCTTAGGGCACCCACCACAAAGCGATTAAATTTTTGATTCGGGTTGTGAAAAAGAATTCCGGCTGCCCGGACTCGAACCAGGAACCGATAGATGACTACCGAGGTGAGCATCAAGACTACAGTCTACCGCGCTACCAATTGCGCCACAGCCGGTTTTGCTGGTGAGCACACTCACCCTGCCTTCACAGCTCAGACTGAGCTGAACAAGAAGGAACAGTCCCTGGTTCAGACTCCAGCTAAGTGGAACACTGAGCATGTCATCTGGGTGCATGCTGGAGTGGATCTGTGGTGTTGTCAGGTGGCCTCATGTTTGTAAACAAAGGCCCCTTCAACATACATTTGGTGGCATGATTGTTTTTGTGTGAGGGTGGTGGGCACATGGGTGGGGATGTGGGTCCATATTGAATTGGGATTGGAAGTACATGAAGGTGTATCCATCTGAAAGGAGTAAGGTAGGAAGGAATAAGGAAAAACTAAATAAAGAATTAGGGACTGAAAGTCCAACAGTGGCCACAAAAAGACACTCAAAAAAACAAAAAAGGACAAATGCAAAAGCAACCAGGCCCACATGTGGGCAAAAAGGGGCTGGTTATCACGCTCGGCGAGACTCGAACTCGCAATCTTCTGATCCGGAGTCAGACGCCTTTCCATTAGGCCACGAGCGTATTGTTGCTCAGTTTCCTGTGCGCCAGGCAAAAAATTTAGTGAAAATGTCATGGGACCTGTGAATTTACCACAAAATAAAAAATTGAGGTAAGATTTCTACTGAGAGTATTCTTCTTTTTCTACACTTATTATTATTTCTTTTATCCAAGTTCCCACCTCAGTTTTTGTCTTCTTTTGCCTGATATTGGCTTTTTGTGTTACATTTTTGTTGCAAAGGTTTAACAAAGCCACCACAGGGTGTGTTTTTTTCTGATCATGCAGCACTCAAGAGGCACCCTCCACCTCTGGCAGGTGGGTTGCATACCATAACTTGCACCCTTGTACCTCACATTTCATACAGCTGCATGTTCAATCACTCAATACCAACTGTGAGTACAAACAAGCTCATAAAAGTTGAAAACAAAGTTGAACAACGATGACTGCAATGGGGTTCTGCGGAATAACTCCACAACCAAGATTCCAAGTTAGGGCGTACATTCTCACTTCTCGCTGGCGAAGTTTGATGACGTCAGCGCGTTCGTTACCAGGGCGGGGTTCGAACTGCGGATCCTGCCGACAGCCACGGCAAGAAAGTGCGGAAGCGCGAGCCTTCTCTTTGTGCTCTCGCTTTGCCACACACGCATCACACAAACAGCGACACCACCCCACAGTGATTTGACCATCTGTCCCTGTGTCGAATCACCTTAGATCTACACACGCCGTTCTCGTTGTACGTAGATCTCGCTCCTCATCGCACTCAATTGACACTTCGGAGTGAAAAGATTTGATTCTCAGATATGATCTTTGATGGGAACCTGATGACGTTACTTTATCCTTCCTTCCTCTAATCTACTTTTACCTCCTACGTTTTCTTGTACAGCACTTCTTTCAAGATTTCGACCGCTACGCGCCCAGCATCGGCCAAGATGGTCCTCACAACCCCGGCCCTCAACCTGAAGAAGGAACGAACGTCGTTCACCCAGGAGGAGCTTTCCAAGCTCTGGGTCCTTCACGGCCAGGTGTACGATTTCACCGACTTTGTCAAGTACCACCCGGCCGGCAGCAGGGCCATCCTGCTCGGCCGTGGCCGTGATTGTACCGTGCTCTTCGAGTCCTACCACACAGTCCTGCCTTCCGATGCTCTTCTCGAGAAGTACCGCGTCTCTGCTCCCAACGTATGTACTACACTCAGTCTTCCCCTCCCCAATTCATCTTTTGCACAAGATTACTTTCGAATCTCAGGGGACGTTGGATTACACAAGCGTTCTCTCCAACTCCTCTCGTTTTGCGTAATACTCGAGGCCCACACATCTTACTATTTTGTTTCCACGTGGCCACGTATAATCAAGAAATTTTGCCCTTGGTCAGTTTGGTTTGTTTGCTTTGCCACTTTCCGGTTAATTTCGTGCCACTACCAACACGCGCCCATTATCCCCTTAATTCCGGAAGTGGACGCGAACCACCTCGCCGGTGTCCGGTTGTCTTCTTCGTCGCGGTTGCGTGTGGCTTACTCTCCGCCACTTTGCACTCAGTTTGCGCCTCGCTTACTCACCACCTTGCGTCGCATGGGCGCGTTTCTCCTCTGTGCAGGCCAAGCTCGAGGAGAGCCGGTCAGCCAAGCTGTTCTCGTTCGAGGAGGGTGGCTTCTACCGAACCCTCAAGCAGCGGTTCGCACAACCTTCAAAGCTGCTCTCGTGCTATCGTGAGTGTCAAGTGCTCACCTCTCTCCCTCGCTCCCCAATGCGTGTCTCGTTGTTGGCTGGCTGGCTACAGAACGCGCGAGTACTTCAAGACCAACAACCTGAGCACCAAGGCCACCACGATGGAGGTCATCTACTTCGTGGCCACCATCCTCAGCATCTACTTCTGCACGTGGGCCGCCTTCGTGCAGGGTTCCCTCATCGCCGCTGTCCTTCACGTACGTATCTCGAGGGATTACGCTTCTCCCATTCTGCAGTCCTGTTTCTTCAAACTCCACTCCGAGCGCTCACTCTGGGCCGACACACCACACACCACAGGGAGTGGGCCGTGCGATCTGTATCATACAACCGACTCATGCGACTTCGCACTACGCCATGTTCCGCTCAGTGTGGCTCAACCAGTGGGCCTACAGGATCTCCATGGCCGTCAGCGGATCGTCGCCGGCCCAGTGGACCACCAAGCACATCATCAACCATCACGTCGAGACCAACCTGTGCCCCACCGATGACGACACCATGTACCCCATCAAGGTAGCTATTCAGCTATTACCATCTACTCTCTCTCTCTCTCGATGATGATGATGATGATCTCTTACCTCCGTCTTCGCGTGTCATGTGTGCAGCGCATCCTGCACGAGTTCCCTCGTCTGTTCTTCCACAAGTACCAGCACATCTACATCTGGCTGGTGTACCCCTACACCACCATCTTGTGGCACTTCTCCAACCTGGCCAAGCTCGCCCTCGGCGCCGCTCGCGGTCAGATGTACGAGGGTATCGCCAAGGTAACGCTTACTCCATTTTCTTCGCTCGTTCTTCTTCATTCTTCGTTCTTCATTCTCATTCGTTCTTTCATTGTCGTAGGTGAGCCAAGAGACCTCGGGTGACTGGGTGGAGACGGCCATGACGCTGTTCTTCTTCACGTTCTTCCGTCTGCTGCTGCCCTTCCTGTGCCTGCCCTTCACCACGGCCGCCGCGGTGTTCCTGCTCTCCGAGTGGACCTGCTCGACCTGGTTCGCGCTGCAGTTCGCCGTGAGCCACGAGGTCGACGAGTGCGTCGAGCACGAGAAGTCGGTCCTCGACACCCTCAAGGCCAACGAGGCCAAGGGCATCGTCAACCAGGGCGGCCTCGTCGACTGGGGCGCGCACCAGGTTCGGGCCTCGCACAACTACTCTGCCGACTCCCTGCTGTCGCTCCACTTCAGCGGTGGCCTCAACCTTCAGATCGAGCACCACCTCTTCCCCTCCGTCCACTACACTCACTACCCTGGTACGCTTTTGTGCGTCGTGTGCGGCGTTGCGTTGTCGTTGTGCTGATCGAGTGTGGGTGTTTCTCGCGGCATGAATGCAGCCCTGTCCAAGATTGTGCAGCAGACGTGCAAGGAGTTCAACTTGCCCTACACTCTGTCGCCGTCGATGATGGGTGCCGTGACCAAGCACTACCACCAGCTCAAGAAGATGGGTGCTGAGAACTAACCCAGTCGCGGGGAGGAGACCATCTTTCCACCTTCTTGGCCCCACCGCCGCACCTGTGGCAAGCGCGGACTTTGGCTTCGCTTTCGACATCAACTCTTCCACGCGACGTTTCAGCGGCCGACGCTGGCGCTTCTTCTCCTTTTCCCTATGCGCGAAGGTCAAGCCCGCACTTCCACACGCGTGCTCCCTTTTTGTCCTACTGTCCCACCAGAGAGTAAATGCGTTCACACCACTTGGCATAAGTCCAGCACACGCACACGCACACGCACACGCAAGAGAATCATGTATGTACGGGCGGGTGATTGCGATGGCGGTGCAAAACAGTTTGTGTATTGGGGAAAGGGGCGACAAGGCCCAAATGGGCAGGGTGAACAGCAAAACCGGCTGTGGCGCAATTGGTAGCGCGGTAGACTGTAGTCTTGATGCTCACCTCGGTAGTCATCTATCGGTTCCTGGTTCGAGTCCGGGCAGCCGGAATTCTTTTTCCCCCCACCAACACCGTTTTTGTTTAGCAGTACGGAGGACCATGCATTGTAACTTCATGGGAGCATGTACACCACCTTGTTCCTTCCCGCCATCTCCAGCTGCGGATGGAAGAGAACGTGGTGTCAGTCAGAATTAAAGGAATCATGAACCTCCGCGGCAGCGACGTACGTAGTCCACCTTGATGCGCGCGTCCTTCTCCATCAAGTAGCGAATGAACTCCTCGGGCACAACAACGCGCCGTCCGTCCTTTAGTCGCCTGCATTTGCGTACATCAAGCATGCTCACGAGTCAGGACAGCTGTTCAAGCAAGAAGTGGCCATGTTTGTTGTGCGACGCACCGGTCGGGGAACTGGGAGGGGAAGACACAACAAGGCACCACCGCGAAGCATTTGTTGTGGGCCAGGGCAAAGTCCACGATCTGTCATAGCACACACACACGCACACACACACACACATGGTGAAGAGGGCACTTCAGCTTAAAGAAGACGTTCATCATCGAGGAAGTAGACTGTACCGGCTCGGTGGCCTGGTCCGAGTGGAGACCCACCACGGCGGAGCAATCACGTAGGATGGTGCGGGCCGTCTCCGCCTCCAATCGCTCTACGCGCAGGTTGAGCTGGGATGTAGTAGAAGAAGAGGAAGCCTCGGAAGGCGCTGTTTGATGATCGTCGCCTTCTTCTTCTTCGTCTCGCCTTGTTGCTCGCGCTGTACCGTCAGCCTCTGCGTGTCGTGGGCTGACTTCTTCGCTGTCGGTCTCGCTCCACAACTTGGGCTCGAACCAGGCGCATACCTGGCGAAAGGCCGGCTTCTTCTGTTTCTTCAACAACCTGACGTTGTTGTTTGATTGCATGTTGTTGTGGTTAACACGCACACGCACACGCACACGCACACGGCACACACGGCACACACGGCACACATGGACACGGACTTGACTTGCTTGCGGTGTAGCTTGGCGGGACGAGGCTCGATGAGGGTGGTCGGGACGTCGTGGCCGGCGCACTGCAGCTGGAACGAGAGGTAGCCCTTGCCCCCCGCCACGTCCACCACTCCGCTCCCCTGGCGCAGCCGCTCCGCTCCAAACGTCTTCACCAGCCACTCGCCGAACCTACAGAGGAGGAAGAAAAGATGAAGAAGAAGAAGATGATGACGACGATGACGATGATAAGCTGCAGACGAGCATGAGCGCGTACACGAGCGCGCGAGTGGAGCGAGGGAGCTTGTCTTCGAACGGGTCGAGAGGGTCGTGCTGCCGCTGCTTCAGCTCCTCCTTGTGTCGCCGCAGCTCCGCCGAGTGCTGCCGCTCGGCCTCGTCGAGGAATGCATGGCGGAAGCGACAGCCGCCTCCCTTGTGATATATTTAATGTAATAAGAGAGAAATATATATATAAATAAATAAATACAAAAATAAATAAATAAATAGAGGGTGGTCAGTAAGTACCTTGCACTTGGCGTTGGCCCAAAATTTGCACAACGCGGTTGCATTCTCGCCTTCCCCTGCGGCACCGGTACTTGTCTGCATCAAGAAAGCCAAGGAAATGCGCAGAGCTGGATCTCTTCTCTATCTCCGTTGGGCCTCTTTTTTAAGTTTTTATATTTGTATTTAGGATTTAGGATTTCTTTTTTAAAAAGGAAAGGAAAAAGAGGATGGGACGAACGGTGGTGGTGGATGAGACGGGGGTCGAGGCCCACACGCAACAGCGGCTCTTTGCTGCTGGTGCGGCGCGCGAGCAGGTTGGCCTTCTTGTGGGGCAATTGCGAGCAGATCCCGAAGATTGCTTCGTAATTGGGCTCATTCCCACCCCGCTCCCTGAAGTGGAACCCACCGCTGGTAACGCTCCCCTTCAATCCTCCTCGTTAATTCATTTTTATTAATAATATTAATATTTAGTTGATGATTATTTTAATCAATCTCGTGGGCAACGACAGGCAAGAAGAAGAAGCTCTCGCCCGTTGATGTGCTCGACGCTGAGTGGATGAGCGAGCACGCACACCAGGTACACACACGCACCACCGCACACTCATCGCCGCACACGCACACGCACACGCACACGCACACGCACACGCACACGCACCACCGCACACGCACGCACGCACGCACGCGTACAAACGGTTGGGTTGCAGGTGAATAGGATGCTGCCGGGCGGGCTGGCGATCGTGGGCGCCTACCTCTTCGCCGGCGCCGATGCGTCGGCCGCCCTGCTGCCCAAAATGCATCTTCTGCTCCACAGCATCAGGTGCCGTCTCTCCGTCACCACTCGTCTTCATCTGCATCAAATCCTCATCGCGCATCGTGTGGCACGACACGACACGACACGACACGACACGACACGACACGACACGACACGACACGACACACAACACACAACACACAACACGACACACGCGCATGGAACCAGGGAGGCGGCCGGGTATCGGGGCAAGCAGGGCGGGCCGTCGGAGCTCCTTCTCCTCCAGATCGCGTCTGACACCAAGAAGTACGTACCTAGCGCACTCCTCACGACCACCGCGTGTGTCATCAGCGAGGTCCAAACGGAATGTGCGTCATTGTGTTGTGTTGTCTGTCGTATCGTGTCGTGTCGTTGGTCGTGTCGTGTCGTGTCGTGTCGTTGGTCGTGTCGTGTCGTTGGTCGTGTCGTGTCGTTGGTCGTGTCGTGTCGTGTCGTGTGCGTGTCGTGTCAGGTACACGGCCAAGAGCATCGACATAACGAACAAGAAGGGCGACACCAAGCCCGTAGATTTGGTGTTCCAGAGCATCGCATCCTCGTTCCAATGCTTCACGTGTTCGGTCGATGTCTCCCTGGCCATCACGCTCTCCCCTGGACAGAGCCCGCGCGAGCAAATTGAGGTCCGTGCTGCGTTGTGTGTCGTGTGTCGTGTGTGCGTTGGTCAATCGCGCGACTGATGCGAATCGTGTACATGCAGGCTGCGCTCGAGCGAGAGGCAGAGGCGCTGCGCAAGGGCGTGGTGCTTGTCAACCGAACTGTAGTGGACGAAGATGCCCCCATCTGCGGCAACAAAAAGTCTGGCGGAAGTACGTCGACGTTCTTCGTTCTTCTTCTCTCTTTCCCTCACGGTGATCACGGCGCGTTCATCTCCGAGGGAGGATGACTGACTTAAAGCTGGTTTGGCAGAGGGCGATGCGAAGGGCAAGAAGAAGGCGAAGCCAGGCAACCTCCCTGCCTACGCTGTGTACGATACGCGCACGCACCACCGCACACGCACCACCGCACACGCGCGCTAACAACGAACTTGATCGGCCTTCGTGCACCGCAGGCACGCCGTTGACATCTTCACCGAGGGCCTCCCCTCCTCACTCACCGGAGCAAGTCCCTCCAAGGACGCCCTAGGCACCTTTACCTTCAGCGGTGCGACACCACCGCACACACGCAACGCACCGCACGGCAACGCACACAATCGCACACGCACACGCACACGCACTCAGTCGCACACACCGCGCACGCATGAACCGATCATTCACCGCATTCGCGTTCCACCCCCCCCCCTTCCTCAAGGTTCGATCCTCGGGCGTGCCTACTGCCACCCCAAGAACAGCTACGGGGCGGCGATCGCCGCGCTGAAGGCCGACATCGGCAAATCGCTGGCCGCGCGATTCGATTTCCTCTGCGAGGAGCTCGAACGACGCGAGTCCGACCTCAAGGAGCGCAAGAAGAAAGCCTCGTCTGGTATGCGCGTGTGCGGTGCGTGCGGTCGTGAGGAAGAAGTGCGTGCGGTGTGTGTGTGTGTGTGTTGTGTGTGTGTGTCTGACGTACGAGACACGCCAGATGAGCTGTTCAATCCGTTCGGGGAGAGCAAGCAGGGCCCCAAGTTCGAGCAGCGGTGGGGTCTTCCCCAGCGCGTCTTCTTCCCGTTCGTCAAGCCCCTCCTCGTCGCCGACTACCTCATGCCCTTCGAGACCGTGCGGGTGCGCTCCACCCCCACCTACCAGCGTGTGTGTCGTGTCGTGCTGTGCGCTTACGCGCGCGCGCGCGGCAGGAGGACTGCTGCGAGCGGGCCAAGGCGCTGCTTGACCTGCAGCCGAGCGAGCAGGACTTTGTCACACCCGAACGCTTCGCCTCAGGTACAACTTTCACTAAAAGGGCTCCCCTCTCTCTTCTTTTGTGGACTAACCGCCCAATCGATCGCGGGGGTGGTCTGGCTGCCGCAGATGACCTGGAGGCCGAGCTGTCGTCGACCACCACGCCGACCAGGGGAGCGGCGGCCAAGAAAGCGAAGACGACACAGGAAACGAAGACGAAGGCGAAGGCGAAGAAGCCGACGGAGGAGACAGAGGACGACGAGGAGGAAGCGGAGGAGGACATCAAGGGCGCTCTTTCGCCGAGACTGCTGGCGCACGCCGAACCCGAGCCTGGCGGCGGCACCGTGGCCAGGAGGGAGGAGCGCAGCAGCAGCAGCAGCGCAGTGGTTATCGGTCTGGCGCTGGCCGCCCTGATCGCCCTGCTGGCCATCGCCTCCCTCGGTGTCCTCGGTTGAGTTTCTTCCTACCAAACACACAACAGCGCGTCGTTCAGTCTGACGCATGCATGAGACGACCATCCGTTGCGCAACAGCAAGGGAAGCAAGGGAGGACTCAGACAAAAGCTTGGGAGATGAAGCATCGTTGCAGAAGAACCTGTAACATTCGACAAAAAGAAGGGGGCGCCCGGGTTTGAACCGGGGACCTGACGATCTGCAGTCGCCTGCTCTACCACTGAGCTACGCCCCCTTGCACATCCGGCTTGGATCCTCTTTGATAAATCACCTGTCTTTCTTTTGTCGTGAGCTTCTGAGAACTTAAGTTGCCCTCCCCGAAGCTCACGACCTGACTACGTTCACGAACAACAGCACTTTCCTTTCTCAGCCACTCAAAGAATCGCTAACGACTTCCTGCTGTCTCTTTTCTGTGCACCTTGGGGGGTGTTCGATCGACAACCTCTCCAATGAGCTGTCCGCTACGAACTAGTACTAGCGCACTTGGGCCTTTGTGCTTCCTGGGTCTCTCTTATGCCAATGCCAGGGCCAAAATGCCTTTTCGTTCCACCAACCAGGCAGGCGCCCCGGGGCAGGTTCGTTGGCAGATTTTGTTCGGCGAACCGTGCTTGCCGTTTTTGGTCGACTCCCGCCCCTACAAAACCGTCGCACCACTCACGACCAACAACACACAACTCACCAAACTGCGCCAACGGTCGGGCACCAACGGTCGTTCTTGTTTGCACACCACCACCATCTCACATCATGACCGAGTTGAAGATGAAGGCACTCAAGACCGCGAGCCACGACGACCACCTGGCCGCTAGTGATGACGAGGACGATATCGTCATCTCCACCGCCACGCGCGTCAAGGACGGAGTGAACCTCCTAGACGCCCTCGATCGGCTGGGCTTCGTACAGCGCCCATCGGCCGGCCGGCGCATCGGGGTGGGCCTGACCAGCGCCACAGGCTTGGGTAGGCACCACCCTCGCCCCTCGGACCCTTATCCTGGAATGTGGAATGATGCTATGTGGAATGTTGCTATGGCTCATCATGTCGATATATGTGGCTACCATGTAACGTGCAGCTCTGCCCTACGTGTTGGGCAAGATGAAGGTGATCGAGGAGGGCTCGATGGGGCTGTCCACGCGCAACGGCCGGCCGGTCGTCCTGCGGCCCGGCCGCTACGTCCTGCTGTCGCCCCTGCACCACTTCGTCGAGCAGAAGTCCATCAACGACGACCTCATCAAGTTTGGACCCCTCACCATTGTCACCATCAAGAAGGTAGCAATCACCACCGCCTCATTAGCCTTTTTACATTTTTTTTATTCTTATTTATTTAATTCATGTATTATATTTTCAATTAGGGCCAACTGGGCTTGAGCTGGAGGAATGGAGAGACGATCATTCTGGAGCCCGGCCGCCACATCCTGGTGGCGCCGCACGTGTTCCAGGCGGCCAAGGACATCACCGCCAACGTCGTCGACCTGGGACCTATCAAGCGCATCACTGTGGAGGAGGGCCACGTACGTTCCCCACACCGCACACGCACGACCGCACACGCATGATGACACGTGGGTACCTCTATAGGTGGGCATCTCGTACGACGCGGGCAAGCTCGAGGTGCTGCTCCCGGGCCTGCACATCCGGAAGTCGCCCACGTTCCGCTTCCGCGAGTTCGTGTCGGTCCAGGAGCAGGTGCGCCACCTGGAGCCGCTCAAGGTCAACACCAACGACGGCATCGCCATCCTCGTCAACGCCATCATCACCTACCGCGTCGAAGACCCCGTCCGGGCCTACAGGGTACTTTTCTTTAACTGCACCAGACCACCATCTCAACTTGTTAACAACAATTGTTGTGTGCGGTGTGTGCGGTGTGTGCGGTGTGCGGTGTGCGGTGTGTGCGGTGTGTGCGGCGTGTGCGGAGGATAGGACGTGATGAACGTGAATGAGGCGCTGTTCGAGAAGGCGGAGGCGCTGCTGACGTCGATCTTCCTGCACCACTCGATCGACGAGATCGCGCCCACCATCCCCTCGGCGGCCCACGAATCACTTCAGCAGCCCGGGTTCGGTTCGTCCGACGAAGAAGGCGATGACGATGATAACGATGACGACGACGAGCTCGACGCCAGCGTCAACAAGAAGAGCTCAAAGAAGAAGATGAACAAGAGGAATGCGAAGTTTGCCGACTTGGACAAGCCGGACTCGATCCTGTTCAGCGACATCGTGCGCCAGGCCTTTATGGAGGAGCTCAAGGACTACGTAGCGACCTGGGGCGTTGCCCTGATCGACATGAGCATCGAGAAGCTCGAGTTCCACGACCCGGCCCTGCGGGTGCTGCTCACCGACCGGGCCTCGAACAAGCTCCAGACCGCCTCCAACCGGGCCAACATCGCCGCCCAGGCCCAGACCGGCATCCAGAAGGCTCAAGGTGCGTGTCGTGTCGTGTTGTGTCGTGTGCGTGTGTGTGTGTGTCGTGTTGGAGTGATGTGTTGCTCACAATTCTATGATTGCAGGTCTGGCGCAGGAGGAGCGGATCAGGGCTGATGCGGAGCTCTACTCGGCGGAGCAGCGGGCCAAGGGCGCGAAGTTGCAGGCCGACACGGAGCTGGCCAAGCAGCTGGCCATCATGCGCGCTACGAGGGAGATCGTGGAAGCCACGGGCAACAAGACCTCCTTCATCCCGTGGAACATGGCCGTCAATCTCCAGGAGGGCGCCCTCACCGCCGAGCACAGCTACAACCTCTTCAACCCCGCCGCTGGCGGCAGGAAGTGATGCAACGGCAGATCTTCAAAAAGAATCGATTTCGACTAAACCCAAAAGTAGTCTTGGCCAGAACAAAAAAGATCAAGCTCGCTCACGGTGGGGATCGAACCCACAATCTTCCGCTTAGGAGGCGGACGCCTTTCCATTGGGCCACGCGAGCTGATTTCTGTCTCATTAACGTTTTGCCGCCACACAAAACATTTGTGGAAGACTCAGCCACCATTCCCCAGTGACACTTATCCTTGCTGGTCAGTGGTGCTACACAAGTTCACTATTACCATCACAGAACTTTACGATATCAGCATGGGAGGGGTCCTCGCACAGACGTGCCAATCTCGCAGTTGTAGTTCAGCTTGATGAACTCAACAAATGTCTGTGCCAACGCATGTGCAAAAGCAGCCCGTGTGGGCAAGTCACACCTGTAAACGTGTTGCACGTCACGTCACACACCAACTACCAAGCAATGCGCAGAGATAGCGGCTTTGCTTTACCTGATGGCGTGTGTGGGTTCAACTTGCGTGGTACTCACAAACGCAAGCCACTCTCTTCGCACACGGTCCTGCTCCCTGTGCAACAACAACAACAACAACAAAGCAAATCAAATCAAAGATAAATAAAAATAAAATAATAATTATAATGATAATAACAAAAACAATAACGAAACGAGTTGCTGCGTGCGTACTGCTGATAGGACTGAGCGTAGTGTCGGGTCGTCCAAGCTCCCCAAAAGTACGGCATATCAGCCCGGAATGGCGGCGTTTGTGAAGGCTGATAAGGACGAATGAGCGTGTGTCGTGCTGTGTGCTGTGTGTCGTGTGTCGTGCCGAGCCGTGGAGAGAGAGGATGCGCGTACGCTGGGGTACTTGGGGGAGGGCACGGAATCGAACCCGTGAGCCTGGAGGAGCGCCCCGAGACTCTTTTCGCCTCGCACCACCGCCGAGAGGCAGAAGCTGCCGACACACAACAGCATGCACGTCACGCAGGGACCATGTCAGGCGCACCCTTCTTCTGGTGTGGATGTAGGCAACGTGTTGTTGTTGTGTGTTGTGTGTTGGTTGTTGTTTGTTGTTTACCTGGGCCTGTGAGAGACGGAGCGGTGGCACCGTTCCATGCCAGAGAGCGACGATTTTGACAAGAAGTCCTGCGCGGCCTCGTCCAGCTGCTCGTCGCTGCTCCTCAGGTGCTCAGTCGACAGCAAAAACCCTATACCACACACGACACGCGCACGCACGACACAACACGACACACAGCACAGCACGACACGACACGACACGACACACACGACACATAAATCAAAATGAAGATGAATGGAAGTGTGCCACAGATATTAGTGGCGTACCGAACTCCATGACCTGCCGATGGGACTGGCCGTGGATGTCGAACAGGTGCGCGAAGCCCCACGTGTCGACCGACCACCGTAGCGCCTCCTCTATGCAGCCGTGGTAGGCCCTGTGCGCCGCCACCGCCTTCGTGTCTGGTGTGAGCGAGACGATAAATGGTGACACGTCAGCACACGTCGATCATATCGCAGGGCCAAGGCCAAGCGCACCTCGGCTGGGGTCGTCGACGGCGCCGTCGAGGGGTCGATTCACGTCGACCTTGAGCCGGTTGAGGTGGAGCACGACCAAGTGTGGGTAGAAGCGCGGTTCTGCCGCGGGTCGTGGTGGTTTGTCGTTGTGGTCGTGGTCGTGGTCGTGGTCGTTGTTGACGTAGGCCACCATTTGGGCGTAGATGGCCCTGGCCAGCTCCTGAGAGCAGTCATCGTGCTCCAAGCACCCTTTCCGCCCTGTGCCGCCGTGAGTCATCGCCACAGCCGCACACACACGACCGCACACGACCGCACACGACCGCACGACCGCACACGACCGCACACGTACGTGAAGGAATGGAGGGTGGCGATATGTAGCCGCCGTGTGGCACGGTGAGCACGATGGGCAGGTTGCCGCGCACGTACTCGACGGCGTACGGTGGTGGCGGCTGTGTTATTACAAAGAATGTATAATAAATATAAATAGTAAAAATAAAAAATAAAATAAAATAAAATAAATGGTGTGGCCGTGAAAGCAACCAACCTGTTCGGGGGTGCGGTCGGGTATGCGACGTTGGCTCTCCTCCTTGGTCAGGGGCACCTCGAAATAGGCTCTGCCCGCTTCCCTCCTGATTGTGTTATTCATTCTTTATTTAAAACAATTTCATAATCATGATAACTCAAAAGATTACAACAGTAAAAGCACCAAAGAAAAAACGGGTGGGTACCCATGTTGCTCCTCTGGCCAAGGCGTTCGCTCCATGGTGAAAACTACAAAAGATATAGTTTCTACAAAAGATCTTAAAAAAATGAGGCTGGGAAAAAAAGGAAAATGACTTTTGCGCTCATTTTAATTTCATTTTGAACTCAAGACTTCAGGGAGGCTGTGGGCCTTGATTTCCAAAAGACGAAGGGGGCTATTCCAGAAGGCGGAAGAACACGAAAGCGAAGAAGTGGCTTGGAAAGAAAGAAAGAAAACAAAATAATAACAGAAGAGCGAAGAGATGTTCGCACGAAAGCAGCCCAAGGACTCGAGCGACGACGAGTTCTGGGGCGTCCCCGCTTCCGGTGTCCCAGTCCCGCCCAGGCCACACCCCTACGGCGCCGCCAGGTTCACCATCCCCCCCACCGTCTTCTCTTTCCCTCAATCTGTATTATGATTGTATTTTTGTTTTGTTTTTTCCGTGCGTGTGGATTGAGTGGTATTTGGTGAAGAAGGACAACCCGGCAACCATCTCCATCTTTTGTCTTTGCTGCTCTCTGGCGCGTTGTCAGTCTGCTGACATGACGGTCAATTGGGCAGTGCTCCGCAGCAGCAGCAGCAGCAACAGGCGGGCCAGCAGCAGCAAGTCTATTATGGTGGTACCCAGCCCCAGCAGCAGCAACAGCCGCAGGCCCAGGCCCAGCACGGCTACGCGTTCCCCTCCGTCCCCTCCTACCCCGGCGTACGCAATTGCCCCCCCCCCCAATGACCCTCTCCTCCTTCCCAATCGCCCCTCGACGTGTCCTGTCGCAGCTCACCGTCGACATCCGCGTGCGTGGGGCGTGGTGTGTCTAACAGCAACCGAGCTACTACGGCGCCTCGGCTCCTCCGCAGTACGCACAGCAGCAGCAGCAGCAGTACTACCAGCAGCCACCACCACAGCAGCACGGCGCCTATCCGCCGCAGTACAACTCGTCGGGTCCTGGCTCGCGTACGTGTGCGTGTGTGGCGTGCGTGAGTGTGTGTCGTGTGTGTCGTGTGTGCGTGTGTCGTGTCGTGTGTTATGTTATTTTAAGTCCGAGCCAAGTTAACTCATCTCCCCCTGCGCCCATCTGTGTGTCGGACGTATAGACGGCTTCCCGTACTACCCTTCGCAGCCGTCGTACTACGCCCAGCAGGTGCCCACGGCGCCCCCGGCCGCGTCGTGGTCTTCGTCGCCCGACCTGCACGCCTCCTCGGCCGCTGCACCCGGTTCGGGGCCGGCACCGGCGCCGCTCGCACACGCCCCGCCGCTGAGGCACGCGGCCTCGACGTCGCAGCTCCAGCGCGGCCCCGACGCTGTGCACCACCACCAGCAGCACTCGCACCAACCGCACCATCCGCCCCTGCTTGGCGCGCACCACTACCAGCACCAGCAGCCGCCGCAACAGCCGCAACAGCAGCAGCAGTTTGTGTTCGGCCACGGCCCGGCGTCGGGCCAACAGCCACAGCCGCAGCAGCAGCAGCAGCAGCAGCAGCAGCAGCAGTCGCTGGTGCCCCGGCCGCAGTCGCTGGTGCTGCCGCCCGCTGTCGCGCAGAGCAAGGCGTTCGTGCCCCCGCGCCCGCCCTCGCTCATCATGCGCACGCCCGCCGCGCCCGGCTCCGCCCCCGCCCCCGCCCCCGCGACAGCGCCCGTCTCCGCCGACTCGCCCGCCGCCGGGCAGCAGGCGGTGCCACCGTCGCCCCGCCGCTCGATTCTCGGCGCCATCGCGGGCCTGGGCAAGGGCCGGCGCAACACGGACCTGGCCCGGCACCGCAAGGGCCAGTCTGGCGAGAAGGGGGACCACCAGGGCACGCCCGCCGCTGATGGCGGGCACCACCACCCCACGGCGGCGGCGGCGGAGACTACGGAGCCGCAGAAGGCGGGCGCCACGAAGGCCCACCTGCTCCGCAATCCGTTGCTGGGCGGCGGCCACCGCAACACCCTCCAGGAGATGCTCAAGGGTTCGGTTCTCCCCAACCGGCTCCCTCCCCCCCCCGAGCGTCGTGTTTCGTTCTTTTTCTTTTCTGGCGCTTCGTTCTTTGGTACTGACGAGCGAGATGTGGCGTACACAGATAAGGAAGTGGAAGAGGAAAGGAGGAAGCGGAGGGAGCTGAGGGAAAAGAAGAAGGAAGAGGTCAAGAAGCAGAACGAGGAGCTCAAAAAGAAGGAACTGCAAGAACAGAACCCCGCGGTACGCTCTAACTACTAATAATACGAATATCATTTTTAACCCTTTTTTTTCTTTTGATTAGGAGGAGGGGGAAAGCCAGCAGCCAGCGGAAGATGCCCAAAGCCGACGTCAGCTCGTTGAGGAACGGGCGCGTCTCGAGCAAGAGCGGCAGCAGATGGGTACACGACCTCGCGTCCCAACCTCACGTGTGGCACGGCCTTGGCCGACCTGTGTGTGGTTGGTGCGTGTGCGTGCGTGCGTGCGTGTGCGTTGGCGGCGCGATCGTGCTTGCAGAGGCGGCCGTGGAGGAACGCATCAAGCGAGCAGTCGAGGAGCGACTCAAGCAGCAAGAGCAGCAGCTCCTTCAGCAAGTCGAAGTCCAAATGCGCCAGCAAGGTTTTCTCTTTTTCTTTTATTTATATATATATGTATCCTTTTTGATTAATGTTGTTGCATTTTATTTGTTTATTTTCTGCAGAGGAGGAGCGGAGGAAGAAGCTGGAGGAGGAACTGCAGAAGCAGCGGGAGGAAATCGAAGTTCGCGAGAAGCTCCGAATTACGCAGCTCGAAGAGCAACGCAAGAAGAACGAAGAAGAGGCACGCGTCAAGAAGGAGCACGAGGTACCTTCTCTCTTTCTTTCTTTCTTTCTTTCTTTCTTTCTTTCTCTCCCATCTGGGCTCGAAGCCATTGGCTTCTTCTTGTCTGACACTTGTCTGACTTCTCTGGGGGAAAGGAGCGCGAGCGCGAGGCGGAGAGGTTGCTCGAAGAGGAGCGCAGGAAGGGCGAGGAGAAGATCGCCAAACAGAAGAACCGCCTCCAGCAGAGCTTCAACGCCGAGCAATGGTTCATTCCTGTCCACCATCATCACCAACACCAACACCATCATGGCCTCATCATTGACACACGACACACACACGACACACGACGCTCTCGGCACGCACGCACACGACACACAGGAAAAAGGAGATCGAGGCCAAGCTGCGAAAGGAGATGGAAGAGGAGGAGCAGCGCAGGCGTCAGGCCGAGGGCGGGGAGAAGCACGTGTGGGAGCTGAGCTCGAACGACATCATCCTCGGCCGCACCCTGGGCAAGGGCGCCTTCGGTGTTGTGTACGCCGGCAAGCTGCACGGCAAGGAGGTCGCCGTCAAGAAGCTGCTGGCCGCCGAGATCGACCAGGAGGCCCTCGCCGCCTTCAAGCACGAGGTCGACATCATGAACAAGCTCAGGTTCGTTGTCTTGTGTAGACGCACACGCACACACCACACACCACACACGCACACACCACACACGCACACACCACACACCACACACCACACACGCACACACCACACACGCACACACCACACACGCACACACGCACACACCACACACGCACACACCACACACCACACACGCACACACCACACACGCACACACCACACACGCACACACGCACACACGCACACACGCACACACGCACACACGCACACACGCACACACGCACACACCACACACCACACACCACACACCACACAGTGGAGAACTGATGACGATGATGTCGACAGGCATCCCAACATTCTGCTGTTCATGGGCGCCTGCGTGGAGGGCGATCAGCTGATGATCGTGACCGAGCTCATGCCGCGCGGTTCCGTGGAGGACCTCATCCACAAGAGCAAAACGCAGCTCCCCTTCAAGCAGCGCATGAAGGTAATATACCCTCCTTACCATAATTATTTATTTACATTATGATGGTAAAATAGCAAAGAATTGTTGTTATTAATAATATTGAAATCAGTTATTAACTATTTATTTTTGATATGTTATTATGTGGCCAGATCGGAAAGGACTGCGCGTTGGGCATGAATTGGCTGCATCGGCTCAAGCCGCCGTTCCTCCATCTCGATCTGAAGCTGGGCAATCTCCTCGTGGACCAGAATTGGAACGTCAAAGTTGCCGGTCCGTGTTTCCCCCTCCCTCACTCGTGACCGTCGGGCCTGTGACCTCACCGCCAGCACTACGCCCAAAACAATTTCATTTCAGATTTCGGTCTGTCGAAGGTCTACAACCCCGAGGCCGCCGGCGACGGCGAGATGGTGGGGTCGCCCTTCTACGTACGTTCACCCGCCGCTTTCGTTCTATTTCTCCTTTCGTTTTCGTTCTTTGTTAATTAACTATTATATTCATAAATCTATATATATAAAAATAGATGGCGCCCGAGCTCCTCCTGCAGAAGGACTTCGACGAAAAGGTCGACGTCTACGCCTTCGGTACGTTGTGTGCCCCGCTTTCTCGCTCGCTCGCTCGCTCGCTCTTTGAACCATCCCAGCCTAAACAACCCGTGCGTGCGTCAAATTCCACAACAGGCGTGGTGCTGTGGGAGTTGCACACTACGGAGGAACCCTACAAGGGCCTCTTTGATTCGTTGGACGAACTGATCGAAGCGGTGGCGTTGGACGAGGAGCGGCCAGAGATGCCCGACGACTGTCCTCCTCTGTTGAAGAAGCTCATCGTTTCCTGCTGGCAGACCGACCCGGCCCTCAGGTACCACACACCACACACACCACACGCACGACACACACCACACACAACACACACACACACACACACGACACACACAATACAAACATGTTGGCGACAGACCTTCGTTTGGAGAGATCCTGAAGGAGAACACCTTGGACATGGTCATCATCCAATCGGCCGTCAAGGACACCATCGGCCAGGCCTTCTGGATCCAGCACTTTGTCGAATACGTAACGTTCTATCTACCATCAGACACGCATGTCGACACACTTGCAATTGCGAGATAGCGCGTGTGTGTCATATATGTGACACTGACTATGTCACTGACTGGCATGTGTGGTTGCAGGACGTGGTTGGTTGGCGCGAGTGGCTGGAGGGCTTCCGCAAGTACTTTGGTGTGCTGGCCAGTAAGGTCAAGGACGACGAGCCCGTCATCCAATCCCTCAAGCTTCTCCTCTGTACGAATACAATTTCTACTTTTATTTGCTTTTTTATTTATATTATTATCTTTTCTTTATTTATTTATGATAATTCAAATTATAATAATATAATAATATCATAATATATTAATATCATTCGTTGCGGCCAGGCGACGCGGCTGGTGATGAGTCGGTGACGCTGGAGGCCTGGGGCAACGCCCTCCAGTGGTTCGGACCGCTCGACCCGCAGGCCACGGCCTTCCTGGCCAACATCACCAACGTCTCCTCCAAGGGGTAACACGACCACCCCACTCCCTTATCACCGCTGTTTGCCCGCACACGTGCGATGTCTGGCCAACTGATGATCTGGTTTATCAAAACACCACCTGGACAGGTGGTTCTTCGGCGACATATCGCGCATCGAGGCCGAGTCGCGCCTGCGGGCGGCCAACAAGGGCTCCTTCCTCATCCGCTTCAGGTACCACTTGTTATCAATTGTTTTTAACCATTCATTTTCTTTTCTCTTTTTCTTGTATTTCCTTCTCTATCTACCACCTGGGTGCTCCTAGGCACATGCCCAAATCACATCTTTCCCTGCGACCACCTTGGACCCGCCCTCTTTTTGGGGCGCTGCTCGAGAAAAGAAGATGCCCATCATCGGTTGGCGAAGAATGATTGGCGCCAACCGCCTAGATCAGCTGCGCGGTTCGTGTCGTCTTGAGCGCTGACCTTATTTCCACCGTGATCTAGCGCGAGCCAGCCTGGATCGTTCACCATCTCCTTCCTTTACTCGCCCCAGACCGGCCCCAAGCACATCCGCATCAACAGGTACCACGCGTAACTGTTACAGTTCTTCTTTGCGTTTTATTTCATTTCGTTTTGTTATGTTATGTTTCGTTTCGTTTTGCAGTTGTGATCATCGTGAAAAGGAAAGGGAAAACCTGCATATATGGCACATACAGGAACTTAGTTTAATTGGATCATGTTCACAAAACTGTTCACGACTCCGGTTACTGTGCGTTACTTTAAATGCATGTTCCCTTTCCTTTTCACCACTGCGGGTGCACTGCAACCGCACAACCGTCTTTTCTTATGCAAGTTCAAATTTATTTTTAGTGTGTTATGTTTCCTATTTTTATTTTATTATGTTCTCATGTGCTATTTTCATTTTTTTTTTTTTGCTCGCTGTGCTGGCATTGCGTCTGCAGTGCACTCACGCCCGTCACTGTTTGGTTCTGCTTACTCCCCCCCCCCACAAAACAAGGAACGACAAGGGCGAACTGGTGTACGCCGATGCGGCCTACACGAACCTGGACGACTTCATCAGGGCGCAGCAGCGCAGCCTCAACCTCAAGATGTACTGCCCTGGGTCGACCTACGCCAAGCTCTGGGAGGGCCGCCGAATGCGCCAAGGCAACGACGACGACCAGGAGGAGGAGGACGACGACGACGCCTACGCCTTCTTTGATCCCTCGGCACAAGCCTAGCCTAGGGCTGCTCTCGCGCCCGCCCACGCTGCGCACACGCCAAGTCCAAGCCTGGCTCTGGAGAAGGAGAACAAATGAAAAACAGAATCGTGCTCACCAGTACACACCACAATTAGGACCACCTGATAGTTCTCCAGTCTTGTTTCTGTCGCCGGAACGATGATAGGTTAACCAGATCAGGAACCTGGGAGCACCACACCACCCGGTTACATGGCGGCGGCCTGTTTATAGGGTGCGGATTTGTATTTGGGCTGTGAGGATCCAGGTTTTACCAAAACAAGTTGTCGCCTGAAACCTTAAGTGTTTAGTTCCCATGACAACTCGGGTTGGTGATTGCTTATGGGTGCAAGGTCAAGCATTCAAACTGGCCCTAGCGCTTCTACGAGACCTCAGCGCTGTCTGGAGAGAGCCGAGCTGTGCTGAACACTCTCGGTCTCTCTATTTATTTGCAAACAAGCCCCTGGGGCGCCCGCGGCAGTTGGTCGCCCTGCGCAACAGCGTCTTAGTTCGGCATCGAAGCTGGGGTGCGAAACCGCCAACCGCAAAACGGCCCACGACCACGACCCCTGACAAACCTGCGATCGTGTCATCGTTTCTTCTTTCTTATCATCCGTAGTGCACCACACGCACTCACTAGCAGCACGCCCTTTGCGCTTCCTACTTTCTGACCATCCAAGATCTTGCGCCACCTGCTCCGCACGTCAGCGCACTCGAGTGCATCTTCCCCTCCAGAGTCTTGACCCACTAGGGCCATAAGCCACAACAACTACATTGATGAAAAGGAACCTGGACCAAGATGAGGAATGCTACATGGCCCGGGCAGGCTTGCCGGCCTGGGCCCAGCTGGACGCCTCACCGGGCTCGACCCACACTACCACTACATCGACCACCACGTCAACGGCTACCGCACAACCCCACCAACTCGAGTTCCACCAGAGCGGCCACATCATCGCTTGGTGCGTTCAGTCAGTTCTGTTTGGCATCCAAACGTTGTTGGGAACACTTATGTTTCGTGCCCATAATAACAACGTTGTTACGCCAACACACACACCACACACACACACACATATACAGGCTGAGGGACAGCTTCGAGGCGGCTGGGAAAACGTCGATGACCAAGGAGGAGATCTTTGCGGACTACCTCCGCATGTGCGAGAACGACCACAAGGCGCCCCTCATGGCGTCGATGTTCGGTAAGCTCGTACACCGCGCCTTCCCCGGCCTACGCAGCTCGCGCCTGGGCGCCCGCGGTCAATCCAAGCACTGCTACAAGTGCCTTCGCCGACGGTCGCCTACCACAACCACAGCCAACCCGCCACCCTCATCAAGATCCACCGCCACAGCGACGAGTCGGCCCCGGTCGGCCACCTATCCGACCAGCTCGACCGCGCCGACATCATCGGTGGGTCACTCGCTGAGCTCCACCATACTGGCGACGGTGGCCCATCGCAGGAGCCGTGACAAGGAGGAGGCGCCCGAGAAGAAGCCCGCGGAGCCGCGTCGGGACCAGTTATCAACTTCTTCGCCGTGGCCGGCGACCACTTGCACCACTAACTCGTCGACCCCGCCTACGTCGCCCACGTCGAGCTACTACCTCGGCAGCCTCGGTTCCACGTCGTCTCCACGGACCACCTGTGGGTCATCGCCTCCTCGGCTCGTCGACGTCAATTGGCGCCCACAGATCCAGCCGACGGGGCCGGTCAAGAGCGAGGGAAGCTCTCCTCTGCTCCACTACGCGGCCCAGACGAACGCTTCGTTTGTCCACCCGCTCGGCTTCGCTAACCACCAGTCAGCCTGCGAACATTCCGCGCATTCCTCATCTTCTGCACTGGCCGACGTCGGCGTCGGTCAGCATGCGGACCAGCTGACTCGTATGGACCCACCGGCCTACATCAGTCCGCTCGAGGTGGACTACTTCCAGCTCTCCGACCTCTCCGACTTCTGCCCCTCTCCCACCTTGACCACGCCCACCTCCGTGGCGCCTTCGACCACCACCCCAACATCAACAACTTCCGCATCGTCGTGGTCTTCGGGCGTCGACGACATCGAGAGATTCCGCTCATTCCTGACGGGCTTGGCCCATGGCGACATCGGCCTCCCGGGCGAGGACTACCGCAACTTCGGCGCAAGCACCTCCCCCGACCTCCTTTTCCGCCAATACAGGCGGCTCGACTCCGCTGGCTCAAGCCCTGTTGCGACCCACATGTGGCTCCATCCGGGGTTGTCCCTCGACACCTCCCACCACGGCGTAATGTAAGATAATTTGTACAAAAGGAGAGCTCACGTGAGCTGGCAGTACTTTTTCCCCCAACTGATGTGTGCCAATCTTAACCCTGGCTTGAGGGGGGGGGGGATTTGTGAGCTCGAATCTCATTTTCCACCGATCCGCCAGTTACCAGTTGGGTCCAGAAATTGATAGTTTTCCCCTTTTTGGGTGCAACCCTGGACTCTTTTTTGGTAACTCACGTACATTTCTTGCATGATGCGGGGTATCTGCGACCGACCATATGCCACGTTGTTGGAGGGGCAGACACCAGGTACTTTTTAGAAGATTTATTCGTTTGTACACGGCCTGGACGGCCTTTGAACCGAATGTACCAGGCCCATAGTGCGGCGGTGGCGGGGGAAGAGCGGCTCTAGGAGAGGAGCGGCTGCGACTCCTGAGTTTCCACGCGGGCGTCGCGTTGGACAACGTGATCCTGCTTGATGATACGACCGCGATCGCCCCACACCTGGGACTCCACTTCGGGCTCCATGATGAGCTCCTCGCGCACCACTCTGAGGTCGGTATAGGTGGCGATGTCCAGGAAGAGCGAGAAGAGCACCACACAGGCCGTGTAGGCGCCGAAGATGACCTTGTAGTACCTGTGGCGAGAAAGAATGATTATTCATTGTTGTGCTTACAAAAAAAAATAAAAAAATATTTAAAAAGAATAGCGATTGAATACCAGGGCAGGACCATCACCCACAAGCCGGTGAAGATGGTGGTGTACGCCAGGATGAGGGTGAGCCAGTTCAACGCCCCTGTGGCATGAACGTGTGAGTAAATAAAACAATAAATAAATAAATAAATAAATCATGGTACAGTGGATTCTGTCGGGGAAGGCAGGGATGCGCTGGCCCTCGACCTTGCGCTTGAAGTAGGTGCATAGGCCGAGGATGGTCTGGACCACGAGGAATCCCACTGTCACGTAGCCCACATACCTGTGCACCAGCACCCACGTGTCGCTGGGTCCGCCTGCAGCGACCATCGATCGCCATCAGTACCACTATGCGCTCCTCTGGACGAAGGAGAAGAAGCAGAAGAAGAAGCAATACCCTTGCTCTCGGGCAGGACGCCGCCCATGAAGCGGATGGCCACTACAGTGCCGGACAGCACGAACGCCAAACCGACCGCCTGAGTGCATGACACACAGGGATCAGCATCTTGCGCTACACGCACACATATGGCAGGAATGACTGTGCGAACCTGTGCAAGAAGGTGTAGGCCCCACCACCAGGCGCGGTAGCGGAGGTAGCGCGACACGAAGACGCCGAACGTGAGGAGGCCCGCGAAGCCCACGGTAGTCAGTATCGCTACACAAGTGTTGAGATGTCAGCAGCCACCTTAAAAAGACTCTCGTGGTTGCGTTGTGACGTAAGGGTACCGTGAAGGTCACATCGCTCGCAGTGGAGGAAGACGTTGACGTAGTCTGGCGCGTCTTCGCAGTAGGGTGCCATGGCTCTTGATTGATTTGTGTATTTTTGTGCAACTGAATGCAGCTGTGCCGGCTCCTGAGATCAAGAGACCGCTCGCGAGTCCGACATGTCAATGGCGCTGAGGGCTTCCAGGGAGGCTTCGCCGCAGGTTCGTCCGCCAGCACACCAGCTCGCGCTGTCCTGCAGCCCACTCCACCCTCGGAATTTCTTTCGTTTAGGGCGAAACTCAAACGAAACTTTGCAACATATTTGAAAGTGAATTCAAAAAAATGTAATTTGTGGTGGGACCGAGCTAAATCCAACAGTTCGCTATTTCATCGTATCTGGTCCGATCTATCACGAGATGAGCAACCAAAAGAATCGCGGTGGGAAGAACAAGAGGCATGCGGATGAGGTGAAGATTTCGTCTTCCTCCGCGTCGCGCCCTGCCGCGATTGAAAATGGAGATGGGAGCGGGATTGTGGATGAATTGATGAATTTCAAGCGGCAGCTGGAGACCGACCTGGTCAAGACCATCATGTGCGAGAAGACGCCGGCCAAGGGCACCGTCGTCATCGCCAAGAAGGACATTCCGGCTGGGACGACCATCCTCGCGGAGCCGGCCATTGCCTGGCAGCCGCTCGAGGATCGCATCATGTCCGTGTGCCATCATTGCATGACCGAAGTGCCTAGGTACTCTCTCCCCACCATTTCATCTTCTCATGGCGATTTATGCTCTCTACACAAATTTAATTAATTCTCATTCCTCCACACCTGCTACACAGATGGGCGGTCGGTTGTGGTGAAGGCGCGGGCGGCTGCTCGGGCCTGGGCTACTGCTCGCCCAAGTGCCGGGAGGCCAGCGAGGCGCTGCACCGCGTCGAACACAAGGTTTTCCTGCAGGCCCGCGACATCGCCAACCGGACCAAGGCGGACATCACCCTCATCAAGCTCGCCACCCGCATCATCGCCCTACGGTACTGTACCACCACCACCACATCATCGTCTGCGTGCTTTGCATTCCTCGCGTAGCGGCCTGTAGCCAACCCAACCCAACTCAATACACCACAGGTCGCTGAGCGAGGGCCACCGAGTGCAGTTCGAGCGGGGCGTCATGGCCATGATGGGCCACGAGGACGAGTGCCCGCAGCAGTGGGTGGACAGCATCACCGAGACCGCGAAGCTGGTGATGCCGCTGCTCCCCAAGCCGGCCCGCCTGTCGGCCCGCGAGTTCGTCAAGGTGTGCGCGCGCATCAACACCAACTCGCACCGACAGCACCACATGTTCGTGCCCCAGCGCATCCTGGGCGTGGGGCTCTACCCGCTGGCCTCGCTCATCAACCACAGCTGCCAGCCCAACTGCGGATTCTACAACCGCGGACCCACGCTCTACATCCGCACCCTCTGCGGTACCGACAACACACCACACGACACACGACGCACGACACACGACGCACGACACACGACACACGACACACACACAACACAGGCCTCATCGCTCAACCACATTTGTGTGGCGTGCGTGATGTTGGGTGGTGCACACAGACGTGAAGGAGGGCGAGGAGCTGTGCTATTCGTACATCGACCTGTACCAGAGCAGGAGCAAGAGGAAGGCCGAGCTGCTCGAGACCAAGCACTTCGACTGCCTCTGCAACCGCTGCTCGCCCCCCATCACCGACTCTGTTGTACGCGCCTAGCCTAGCTCTTACTCTTATTTATTAGTTTATTTTTATTTTTATTGTAATATTTATTTGTTTGTTATTTATTTTGTGTAGGATCGGTACCTGAGCGGATTCCAGTGCCCCAACAAGGCCAAGACGTCGTGCGACGGGCTGCTGGTGCTGCCCGACGGCGAGGGCCTCGCGTCGGAGAAGCCGGTCAGCTGCACTGCCGGGTGCGGCGAAACCAAAACCGCCGGCGACCTCCTCAAGGCCCAGAAGCGAGCCGAGGTGCGTGCCATTGCCGTGTTGCGTGTTTACTCTGTGTGTGTGTGTGTGTGTGTGTCTAGTGTGTGTGTGTGTGTGTGTGTCTAGTGCGTGTGTGTCTAGTGCGTGTGTGTCTAGTGCGTGTCGCGTCGCGCGTGCCCACGTGGCTAAGAGGTTGGAATGCGGCGCGCATCGCACAGATCATGCTCACGGCGAGCCAGTCGCTGTACTACGACCAGAAGCGAACGAGCGATTCCAAGACGATGCTGGACAAGCTCCTCACTGGCGGCTACTCCCCCGACGTCCAGCTCCACCCCTACCACCCCACCGTCTTCCAGGTGCGTCTCTTGCCCTCTACCTTCTGCTCACCTCCCTTTCCCCTCTGACACGACACGACCAACGACACGACACACAGGCTCACGTAGATTCGATCAATGTGAGCGACGCGCTGGGCTACACACACATGTCGATCGACCACTGCGAGGCGGTGTTGCGCTGCGCCGAGGCCGTGCTGCCGATGAACCACCTGGAGACGTCCAACTACTACTATTACCAGGGCATGCTCTACAGCGAGCAGCTGGCCAAGCGACAAGGCGCCGGCGGCGACGCGGTGGCGCCGGCGGGCGACGCAGCCGACGACACGAGGCGGGCGAAGGAGGCCTTCGGCAAGTGCCACACCATGCGGTCGGTGTGGTTCGGCGCCGACCACCAGTGTGCCATCAAACCCCTCGAGAAGATGAACGCCCTCTAAATGCAGAAGTGGGTTCGACCACCATTCACCCTTGATGACGGTTCACACAACTTGTATTTGGGATGCCTTCACACTCACAACACCCAACACTATTCGCGCTATGACTCGAATGCCAGAAATCAGCTCGCGTGGCCCAATGGAAAGGCGTCCGCCTCCTAAGCGGAAGATTGTGGGTTCGATCCCCACCGTGAGCGAGCTTGATCATTTTTTTGCCCCGCCAGTCGCAAAAAAAAACAAATTGGCTGCAGCTTTTTAATTCACTGCGACTGACTGCAGCGGTGAAGGGAAGGAGTTGGATGAAAGGTTTTGCGCCCTTTGCAGGAAAGCACTAAAGATGGAGGCAGAACTGGAGAAGCTTATCACAGTCGGTGGACGGGAGAGTGGCATCAACGTCTTCAACTCCACCAACCCGATCACCTACACCTCCCAACCGCGCACCCCCATACGCAAGGTCGCCACACCAATTGAGGTTGCCCCCCCCCACTGCACCACCCTACATTGCAGAGCCAATCGCCATTTTGTCCGGCTGTTCACTGAACAACTACTACCACCCAGGGCGCGTTTCTGCTGTACGACGTGCTGACGCCCGAGGAGTGCCAGCAGTTCATCGACCTCACCGAGAAGATGGGCTACGAGGAGGCCATGGTCGACACCCATGATGGCATGGTCAAGATGCCAGGTAAGAGCACACGCGACACACGCCGCACACGCACGACCGCACACGCAGCACGCACGCATCATTTAATGCAATTGGTCAATCGGCACAGAGCGGCGCAACAACGAGCGGGTGCTGTGGCGCGCGACGGCGGACGTGTGGGAGCCCATCTGGGAGCGCGTGGCGCCCCACATCCCCAACGCCATCAACATGTGCGACACCTACTGCCTCAACGAACGCCTCCGCTTCTATCGATGTACCACACCTGTGGCGTGTGCGTGTGCGTGTGCGGCGTGTGCGTGTCCGATGTGGGAGTGAATGGCCAAGAGCACGCACGTGCAGATGACAAGGAGGAGATGTTCGGGGCACACTACGACCAATGCTACATGCTGGAGCCGTGGGACCGGTCACTGCTCACCTTCATCGTCTACCTCACCGACGACTTCGAAGGCGGCGGCACCATGTTCTACCCCAAGCTCTTCGAGGTGCGGCCGGTCAAGGGCATGGCCTGCATCTTCTTCCACGGCGAACACGAACGCAGCCCTGGTGCTACACCACACGGCACGACCAACGACGCACATTCCGTTTGGACCTCACTGTGTCGCGTGTCGTGCCGTGTTGCATGTCGTGCTGTGTTGTGGGACCGACAGAACACGAGGGGATGGTGGTGACCAAGGGGCGCAAGTACGTGCTACGCTCGGACGTCATGTACCGGGCGCTGAATACCGAAAAGTTCTAGGCGCTCAACACAACAATTTTAAAATTGAAGAACGAAAGCGACAGTCTTAAAAGAACGAAAAGCGACACACCACGGCTCACAGGGCGGAGGATACGTCGGGCGTGGCCGAGGCGCTGCTTCGTCGAAGAGTCTCAGCGCGCTCGCAGTTGACGTTGGCCTTGAAGAGGGTGAGATGGCCGGCAACGCAGAGGCCGTGGCCCGCGGGGAGGCCGTAGACCTGGCCCTTGGCCACGCGGAGCTGCTGCTTGTCGGCGTTCTCCGCGGAGAAGACGTCGACCGTTCCCTCGCCGTCGTAGACCAGAACCAGCCCAAACGAGTCGCAGGGTGGCAGGACCGCCGCACCGTCACCGTCACTGCCGAGGCTCACCGACGACACCACAAACTCCTCCACGGGCGGACTGTACACCTGCCGACAGCACACAACACGCGACACACACACACACGACACACGTATGAGAGGCTGGCAGCGGGCGGTGATGGTGAGATGTCATGAGGGCACAGTACTCTGACGCCATCACGGACGGTGGGATGGACCCAGTCGGGCTCGCCGCACTTGTAGGTGAGCATCTCCACCAAGGTGTCCACATCCTGTGTCGCACCGAGTGAGACATCGTGTATCGTGTCGTGCCGTGCCGTGCCGTGTGCTATGATGGTCATCTCGTGTGGTGCGTGTCGTGTGTGCATACCTTGAATTTGGGGGTGAGGCCTGCCCGCACAGTGTTGTCCGATGAGGCCATGCACTCGACCATGTCACTGCACACGACGTTACGCGGAGCTCGTGTGAGTCAAAGCGACCGAGTGTGTCTTGTGCGTGCCTTGTGTGTTGTGTGGTGTGTGTATGTGTGTGTGTGTGGTGTGTGTGTGTGTGTGTTGTGTTACCCATTGATGTAGGCGTGTGGCACGTTGGGACCCAGGAAGACGGCCTGCCCGGGCACGAGGTGGAGGTGGTTGAGGAAGTAGGCCACGAAGCAGCCCACGTCCCCGGGGAACTGCTCGCTGAGCCGCACCACGAGGGCTTCCGTCTTCTGCACCACGTCATCTTCACTGCCTGGACCCTGACTGAGCCGAGTCTGGAGCTCGGTGAGGCCCTGGGCGATCTTGGCGGGGTCAGCGCGCATGAGGCGGTCGAAGAGCGGCTTCACCACCTCCTTGTCGCTCTTCTTGCCGTACTCGTGCTCGGCGAGGAATTGGTCGACGTGCTCCTGTGCGTGCGCGCGTGGGCAGAGCGAGTGAGAATAACAATAAACCATATACAACATAAACGATTCACACGCACACGCACACGCACACGCACACACGAACCTGGCCAACGACGCGAGCGAACTCGGGGGCGTGGCGGAAGAGGAGCGCCATCTGGGCCACAGTGCGGAATCCGCAGAGAACCTCGCACGGCGTCACAGCCAAAGCCATTTCCTGCACACGACACGCAGCGCACACCGCACACCGCACACCGCACACCGCACACCGCACACCGCACACCGCACACGCACACACGCACCACAGAACGCGCACCCCATGAATCAATGCGGGGAGGCACAGGTGGTGAAGAGAAGGGCTGAGCGCACGGGCTTGTGGTTGTCGTCGGGGTAGTGCTGCGGCTTGGTGTCGCGCAGGATGCGCCCCAGGCTGCGGTCGGGGTGAGCCTGGATGGAGAGGGCCTGGCTGATGCTCAGCACCTTGAAGAGGAAGGGCAGCTGACGTCCCTCGTCCTTCTTCCCCTTCGACTCTTCGACGGGCCACCGCTGCTGCACGACCGAGCCGAGCGCCTCTGGATGGAGCTGCAACCAAGTAGCGAGGGTCGACTGAGCCTCGTCGGCCTGGCCAAGCTTGGCGAGGTGCGAGGGGCAGTTGGGGTGGGTGCCCATCCAGAACTCGGCGTAGGGCTGATCTTCTTTGATGATGGAGGGATTTCCTCCATTTCCATCATCCGCTCGGCTGGCGGCGCACAAGAGCTGGGCCACAACACTCTCGCTACCCTTCTTGCCCCACGCGTACTGTTGGCTCTTGCAATCGAGTCTAATCATTTCAATTCCTCAATCGAATGTAGCTTGTGCAGCTTCAATTGTGTTGTGCTTTTCTTCACTGGGCCTCGACGAGCACCAACTTGAAGGAAACCCTCTCACGATCGACGTCCCGACACCAGCGGCAACCACACGGAAAAGTACTTTTTCTTTTCAGGCCCCTTTTCTTTCGTCGTTTTCGTGTCAGCAGATCAAGATGAACGCCAATCGCTACACGCCGAGATTTGTGGATGTGTTCTGCAGAGGCTGTTCTTCGTTCTTGTTCAAGTACCGCAAAAGCTCGGACGGCCCGGTTATGAAATGCTTCATCGACAAGATACAGAAGAGTGCGTCCACCGTTGCATTTTCGCGGTAATCATGAGATGCGATGAAATCTGAGTCGATCCCCTTTGCAGGCCCTGCCTTGACGGAGCCTGTTTGCCCACAGTGCAAGACTGAATTTGGGCAGGTAAGATTCATCAACGGCGCGCCGGCGTGGAAGATGATCGCTCAAGCGATTACGTGGAAAAGGAAGGACAATTGAGACGCTGCACAAACCTTGTACATACGAGATGAGCGAACAGTTTAGAGTACTCTTCGGCCGAACACAACCCACCGCCCGGGCGACAATAAGGGAAGAGAGGCCGCACAGAGATTGATTTTGAATATTTCGATTTTTATATTTGATTTTTGGTTTCCTTCCGAACTAGTAATGCGTTACAAAGCTCAGCCATTGAAGAAACCACGCTGCCCGTAGCTCGCAAGAGACCCACCCTCGCCGCCCGCTGAGCACGGACGATGGTCGTCGAAGATGATGATTGAGAGGCCGCCGAAATCGAGAAGATCGAGAGATTACCGGAGAGTCATCACCGTCGGTCGCATCGTCCGCGCGTGGCGAGAAGACGAAGGCCGAGGCTGGAGGAGCTTACAGGTAGGAGGCCACGTCGACGGGCATGGGCTCGATGACGGTGTCGTAGTACCTCTCGAGATCGCGGAGATCCTTGAGATCGTCCTGGGTGACAAAATTGAGGGCGAGACCCTTGCGGCCGAAACGGCCCGAGCGACCGATCCTGTGAAGGTAGTTCTCCTTGCTGCGGGGGAGGTCGTAGTTGATGACGACGGAGACCTGCTGGACGTCGATACCGCGGGCGAGCAGATCGGTGGTGATGAGAACTCGGCTCGAGCCGGTCCTGAACTCCTCCATGATCTTCTTCCTCTCGCTGGGGTCGACGGAACCGTGGGTGGCCGAGACGGTGAAGTTGTCCCTGGTCATCCTCTCGGTGAGCCAGTCGACCTTCCTCCTGGCGTTACAGAAGATGACGGCCTGTGTGATGTTGATGTCGTTGTAGAGATCGCAGAGCGTCTCGTACTTCCACTGCTCGCGCTCGCAGTTGACGTAGAACTGGTTGATACCCTGGAGGGTGAGCTCCTCCTGCTTGACGAGGATGTTGACGGGGTTGTTCATGAAGCGCTTGGTGATGTCGAGGCACTCGGGGGGCAGGGTGGCCGAGAAGATGCCGACCTGCACGCTGTGAGGCAGCGTCTTGAAGATGTCCCTGATGATTTCCTCGAAACCCTTGGAGAGCATCTCGTCGGCCTCGTCGAGCACGAAGGTCCTGATCCTCTCGGCGATGAGCTCGCCGCGAGTGATCATGTCGAAGATGCGGCCGGGGGTACCGACCACGACGTGGACGCCATCGCGGAGAATGCGCCTGTCGTCATCGACGCGGGTGCCTCCGGTGAGGATGTGGGCCTTGATGTTCATGTGGGCGCCCAGAGCCTGGATGACGCGGTGGACCTGCTGGGCCAGCTCGCGGGTGGGCACGACGATCAGGGCCTGGGCGTCCTTGCCGGCCAGATCGATCTGCTGGAGGATACCGATGCCGAACGTGGCGGTCTTGCCGGTACCGGACTGGGCCTGGGCGATGATGTCCTTGCCCTGGGAGAGCGGCACGATCGCGCGCTGCTGGATGGCCGAGGGCTTCTCGAAACCGTAGGCGTAGATGCCGCGGAGGAGCTCATCCCTGAGGCCCATGCTGTCGAAGTCGCCGATGGGCTCGACATCGGATTCGACGGTCTCGTAGGTAGCGGTGTAGCCAGCACCGGAGCGCTCACCACCCTCGGCAGCCTTGTCGAATTGCTCGCTGAGTTTAGCCTGATCCATGTTGATGATTGAACTGTTGATTGTTGTTGTTGACGTTGTTGGTGAATGGTAGCGAAGGTCAGTTGACGTCTTTTATACCTCCACCCATCCAATGGTCCAATTTCTCGGGAAGATCGTCGGAACGCAGGAAAATTGGGAAGAAGGGAAGAAATGAGGAAAAATCTGGTGCGTCGCTACTCGAATCGAGATCTCAGCGAAGGCAACACAGAAAAGAGAGCGAAGAGCAACTAGGAACGAGAGAACACACTCGATCTTACAAACGAGCACTACATGCAAGACGAAAGAGAGAGATCCCGAGCGAGTAGAGAGTACCACGCACCTTTTTGTACGCTTCGCTGTAGACGGTCGGAAACAAAGAGCACCTCCGGCACCAGCCCCTTTGGCTTTGATTCACGGACTTACGTGTGAAGAAATAAGCAGGAACACAGGAATGCCACGCATGCAAGTGTTACAGCTTTCCTGCGCGTTTTGGGCAAGGGGAAGTTTTTCTTTTGGTTTTTCGGCCTGCAATCAAAAATAATTGAACCAACATGGCCAGTAATGGATTCTTGGACGGCTCTTTCGAGAAGGCGATGACCAACTTGTACGACGCCTCCAATCTTAAGATTGAGCAACAAAGTACACCAACATACATTTTTCTAATGCTCCTCCCATTTTGTGTAATCGGCATAACGATTACTCAAGGCTGCACGAAAGTGGAGTTGTCGGCGTGAGCAGCACCGATCAGAATGGCCTTTGCGTTAGCGGTACTTGCCTTCCTCCAACCCCTCTGATCTTCCTTCTGACCCGCTCGCTGCAGCCAAGGGCAGCGCCAACGCTTCTGCATCCGGCTACATCCGATCTCTGGCCAACCGCGCCAGGGAGCTTGCCCCTAGCGACTCTGAGAAGCCCACCATCTGCATTGAGACCGAGTCGACGTACGTGAAGACGCCTTCTTACTCTTTCTCCTCTCTGCGTTGTCTTCTCTTTTCCTCAGCGTGTCTCCTCACGCACCCTGCACTCTCCGCCTTCTCTTTTCTGAGCACCAGCCTTCGATACTCATTGCCTTCGCTCATTGTACAGAAACATCTTCATCCGCGACGAGGACAACCTGACGGTGGCCGTCTATCGCATTCCCTGAGCCCAGGGCGCTGCCGCTTTCTTTGCGTTTCCTCAGAATGAATGCCCACGCTTGTCGCACGCACGCACACTCTCTTCCCACATCTTTTCGTCCACGCTTCTCACAACCTCTTCTCTTGCCGTAGCCGCATCATCCCGCGTGTGAAGCTAATGCTCGTCGCCGTCGCCGTCGTGTGCGTGTCGTGGTGTGCTGTCTTGCTTGTTGGTTCGTAAAAGAAAACAACTTTTCCGTGCGTGTGCGGCCCCGGAAATTTCGTGGAGGGGACTTTCGAGACGAGAAAAATTTTGGGACAGAAGAGGCCTGTCTGGCGGGCGCGGTACAAGCCGAGCGGCAGAGATTCGATTTCCTTTGTTCTTTTTCTTCTCTACTTTCGATCGAGGCCGCATCTCTCGGCATCTCCATCAGAAATGGCGGACACTGAGACCGTGCACATGCACGACGCACCCTCTGCCGCCGACAAGGCGCTGGAGGAGAAGTCGCGCAAGTGGCATCAGCTCAATTCAAAGCGATATGGAGAGAAGAGGAAATTCGGGCACGTCGAGCCGCAGAAGGAGGACATGCCCCCCGAGCACATCCGCAAGATCATCAAGGATCACGGCGACATGTCGAGCAAGAAGTTCAGGCACGACAAGCGCGTGTACCTGGGAGCGCTCAAGTACGTGCCGCATGCGATCCTCAAGCTGCTCGAGAACATGCCGATGCCGTGGGAGCAGGTGCGCGACGTGCCGGTGCTCTACCACATCACGGGCGCCATCACGTTCGTCAACCAGATCCCGCTGGTCGTCGAGCCCATCTACATCGCGCAGTGGGGTTCGATGTGGATCATGATGAGGCGCGAGAAGCGAGATCGTCGGCATTTCAAGCGCATGCGATTCCCGCCGTTCGACGACGAGGAGCCGCCGCTCGACTACGGCGACAACATCATGGACGTCGAGCCGCTCGACCCGATCCAGATGGAATTCGAGGAGATCGAGGACGCCCCAGTCAAAGATTGGCTGTACGACAACCGGCCGCTCGCCGACACCAAGTACATCAACGGGCCGAGCTACAAGAGCTGGCGTCTGCCGCTCCCCATCATGGCCAATCTCTACCGTCTCGCCAGCCAGCTGCTCAGCGACCTCAACGACAAGAACTACTTCTACCTCTTCGACACCAAGTCCTTCTTCACGGCCAAGGCGCTCAACATGGCCATCCCCGGCGGCCCCAAATTCGAGCCCATGTACCGCGACATCGACGAGGCCGACGAGGACTGGAACGAGTTCAACGACATCAACAAACTCATCATCCGCCACCAGCTGCGCACGGAGTACAAGGTCGCGTTCCCCTACCTCTACAACAACCGCCCGAGGAGCGTGCACATCACCCCCTACCACCACCCGCTCTCCGTCTACATCAAGACCGACGACCCCGATCTGCCGGCGTTCTACTTCGACCCGCTCATCAACCCCATCGCGTCGTGGCGAGGCGAGAAGGGCCGCGGCGGCGACGGCGACGACGACGAGTTCGACGACGACGAGGAGGCCCCGTTCGCGCTGCCGGAGGGCGTCGAGCCGCTGCTCAAGGACACCGACCTCTTCACCGACAACACGGCCAGCGGCATCGCGCTCTACTGGGCGCCGCGCCCGTTCAACCTCCGCTCGGGCCGCACGAGGCGCGCGCAGGACGTGCCGCTCGTCAAGTCGTGGTACATGGAGCACTGCCCGCAGAACCACCCGGTCAAGGTCCGCGTGAGCTACCAGAAGCTGCTCAAGTGCTACGTGCTCAACCAGCTCAAGCACCGGCCGCCGAAGGCGCTCAACAAGCGCTACCTCTTCCGCTCGCTGGCGGCGACCAAGTTCTTCCAGTCGACGGAGCTCGATTGGGTGGAGGCCGGTCTGCAGGTGTGTCGGCAGGGCTACAACATGCTCAACCTCCTCATCCACCGCAAGAACCTCAACTACCTCCACCTCGACTACAACTTCAACCTCAAGCCCGTCAAGACGCTCACCACCAAGGAGCGCAAGAAGTCGCGTTTCGGTAACGCCTTCCATCTGTGTCGCGAGATCCTCCGGCTCACGAAGCTCGTCGTCGACGCCAACGTCCACTTCCGCCTCGGCCACGTCGACGCCTTCCAGCTCGCCGACGGCCTCCAGTACATCTTCGCGCACGTTGGCCAGCTCACCGGCATGTACCGATACAAGTACCGCCTCATGCGCCAGATCCGCATGTGCAAGGACCTCAAGCACCTCATCTACTACCGCTTCAACACCGGTCCCGTCGGCAAGGGTCCCGGCTGCGGCGTCTGGGCGCCGGCCTGGCGCGTGTGGCTCTTCTTCCTCCGCGGCGTCGTGCCGCTGCTCGAGCGGTGGCTGGGCAACCTGCTCGCCAGGCAGTTCGAGGGCCGCCACTCCAAGGGCATCGCCAAGACCGTCACCAAGCAGCGCGTGGAGAGCCACTTCGATCTCGAGCTCAGGGCCGCGGTCATGCACGACATCCTCGACATGATGCCCGAGGGCATCCGGGCCAACAAGTCGCGCACCATCCTCCAGCACCTCAGCGAGGCGTGGCGCTGCTGGAAGGCCAACATCCCGTGGAAGGTGCCCGGCCTGCCGGCGCCGATCGAGAACATGATCCTGCGCTACGTCAAGTCCAAGGCCGACTGGTGGACCAACGTCGCGCACTACAACCGCGAGCGCATCCGCCGGGGCGCCACCGTCGACAAGACCGTGTGCAAGAAGAACCTCGGTCGGCTCACGCGGCTGTGGCTCAAGGCCGAGCAGGAGCGGCAGCACAACTACCTCAAGGACGGGCCGTACATCACCGCCGAGGAGGCCGTCGCGATCTACACCACGACGGTGCACTGGCTCGAGAGCCGCAAGTTCTCGCCGATCCCGTTCCCGCCGCTCAACTACAAGCACGACACGAAGCTGCTCATCCTGTCGCTCGAGCACCTCAAGGAGGCCTACAGCGTCAAGAGCCGGCTCAACCAGTCGCAGCGCGAGGAGCTCGGCCTCGTCGAGCAGGCCTACGACAACCCGCACGAGGCCCTGTCGCGGATCAAGCGCCACCTCCTCACGCAGCGGGCCTTCAAGGAGCTGGGCATCGAGTTCATGGACCTCTACAGCTACCTGATCCCGGTCTACGACATCGAGCCGCTCGAGAAGATCACCGACGCCTACCTCGACCAGTACGTGTGGTATGAGGCCGACAAGCGTCACCTCTTCCCCAACTGGATCAAGCCCGCCGACACCGAGCCGCCGCCGCTCCTCACCTACAAGTGGTGCCAGGGCATCAACAACCTCACCAACGTGTGGGACACGAGCGAGGGCGAGTGCGTCGTGCTGATGGAGACCAAGCTCGAGAAGGTCTACGAGAAGATCGATCTCACGCTGCTCAACCGGCTCCTGCGCCTCATCCTCGACCACAACATCGCCGACTACATGACGGCCAAGAACAACGTGGTCATGAACTACAAGGACATGAACCACACCAACTCGTACGGCCTCATCCGCGGCCTCCAGTTCGCGTCGTTCATCTTCCAGTACTACGGCCTCGTGCTCGACCTCCTCGTGCTCGGCCTCACCCGCGCGTCGGAGATCGCCGGCCCGCCGCAGATGCCCAACGACTTCCTCACCTTCCGCTCCGTCGAGGAGGAGACCCGCCACCCGATCCGCCTCTACTCGCGCTACATCGACCGGATCCACATGTGCTTCCGCTTCACGCACGACGAGGCCAAGGAGCTCATCCAGCGCTACCTCACCGAGCACCCGGACCCCAACAACGAGAACATCGTCGGCTACAACAACAAGAAGTGCTGGCCCCGCGACGCCCGCATGCGCCTCATGAAGCACGACGTCAACCTCGGCCGCGCCGTCTTCTGGGACATCAAGAACCGGCTCCTGCGGTCGCTCACCACGATCGAGTGGGACAACTCGTTCCTCTCGGTCTACAGCAAGGACAACCCCAACCTGCTGTTCGCCATGTGCGGCTTCGAAGTCCGCATCCTGCCCAAGTGCCGCTCGCTCAACGAGGAGTTCACCCAGCAGGACGGCGTGTGGAACCTCCAGAACGAGAACACCAAGGAGCGCACGGCGCAGGCCTTCCTGCGCGTCGACGAGGAGTCGCTCGGCCGCTTCGAGAACCGCATCCGCATGGTGCTCATGGCCTCGGGCTCCACCACCTTCACCAAGATCGTCAACAAGTGGAACACGTCGCTCATCGGCCTCATGACCTACTACCGCGAGGCCACCGTCCACACCCAGGAGCTGCTCGACCTCCTCGTCAAGTGCGAGAACAAGATCCAGACCCGCGTCAAGATCGGCCTCAACTCGAAGATGCCCTCCCGCTTCCCGCCCGTCGTCTTCTACACCCCGAAGGAGCTCGGCGGCCTCGGCATGCTCTCAATGGGCCACGTGCTCATCCCCCAGTCCGACCTCCGCTACTCGAAGCAGGTACGAGCTCTCCTTGGTTGTGTGTCGTGCTGGTTGAAGCACTCACTTTCTTTTTCTCTTCTTTTTCTCTTCTTCTTTCTTTTTCTCACCCAACCAGACCAACGTCGGCACGACGCACTTCCGGAGCGGTATGTCGCACGAGGAGGACCAGCTGATTCCGAACCTCTACCGCTACATCCAGCCGTGGGAGCAGGAGTTCATCGACTCGCAGCGCGTGTGGGCCGAGTACGCGCTCAAGCGGCAGGAGGCCAACGCGCAGAACAAGCGGCTCACGCTCGAGGACCTCGAGGACTCGTGGGACCGCGGCATCCCGCGGATCAACACGCTCTTCCAGAAGGACCGCCACACGCTGGCCTACGACAAGGGCTGGCGTCTGCGCACGGACTGGAAGCAGTACCAGGTCCTCAAGCAGAACCCGTTCTGGTGGACCCACCAGCGCCACGACGGCAAGCTGTGGAACCTCAACAACTACCGGACGGACATGATCCAGGCGCTGGGCGGCGTGGAGGGCATCCTCGAGCACACGCTGTTCAAGGGCACCTACTTCCCGACGTGGGAGGGTCTCTTCTGGGAGAAGGCGTCGGGCTTCGAGGAGTCGATGAAGTACAAGAAGCTCACCAACGCGCAGCGCTCGGGTCTCAACCAGATCCCGAACCGTCGGTTCACGCTCTGGTGGTCGCCGACGATCAACCGCGCCAACGTCTACGTCGGCTTCCAAGTGCAGCTCGACCTGACGGGCATCTTCATGCACGGCAAGATCCCCACGCTCAAGATCTCGCTCATCCAGATCTTCCGCGCGCATCTCTGGCAGAAGGTCCACGAGAGCGTCGTGATGGATCTGTGCCAGGTGTTCGACCAGGAGCTCGACGCGCTCGAGATCGAGACGGTGCAGAAGGAGACGATCCACCCGCGCAAGTCCTACAAGATGAACTCGTCGTGCGCCGACGTGCTCCTCTTCGCCGCGTACAAGTGGCCCGTGTCGAAGCCCTCGCTCCTGACCGACACCAACGACGTCTTCGACTCGCACACGACCAAGTACTGGATCGACGTCCAGCTCCGCTGGGGCGACTACGACTCGCACGACATCGAGCGCTACGCGCGCGCCAAGTTCCTCGACTACACGACCGACAACATGAGCATCTACCCGTCGCCCACCGGCGTGCTCATCGCGCTCGACCTGGCCTACAACCTCTACAGCGCCTTCGGCAACTGGTTCACCGGCGTCAAGCCCCTGCTCGGCCAGGCCATGGCCAAGATCATGAAGTCGAACCCGGCCCTCTACGTGCTCCGCGAGCGCATCCGCAAGGGCCTCCAGCTCTACTCGTCCGAGCCCACCGAGCCCTACCTGTCGTCGCAGAACTACGGCGAGCTCTTCTCCAACCAGATCATCTGGTTCGTCGACGACACCAACGTCTACCGCGTCACCATCCACAAGACGTTCGAGGGTAACTTGACGACCAAGCCCATCAACGGCGGCATCTTCATCTTCAACCCGCGCACCGGCCAGCTCTTCCTCAAGATCATCCACACGTCGGTGTGGGCCGGCCAGAAGCGTCTCGGCCAGCTGGCCAAGTGGAAGACGGCCGAGGAGGTGGCGGCGCTCATCCGGTCGCTGCCCGTCGAGGAGCAGCCCAAGCAGATCATCGTCACGCGCAAGGGCATGCTCGACCCGCTCGAGGTGCACCTGCTCGACTTCCCCAACATCGTCATCAAGGGCTCCGAGCTCCAGCTGCCCTTCCAGGCGTGCCTCAAGATCGAGAAGTTCGGCGACCTCATCCTCAAGGCCACCGAGCCGCAGATGGTGCTCTTCAACATCTACGACGACTGGCTCAAGACGATCTCGTCCTACACGGCCTTCTCGCGACTGGTGCTCATCCTGCGTTCGCTGCACGTCAACCACGAGAAGACGCGCGTCATCCTCAAGCCCGACAAGACCGTGGTCACGCAGCCGCACCACATCTGGCCCTCGCTCAACGACGAGCAGTGGATCAAGGTCGAGGTGTCGCTCAAGGACCTCATCCTCTCCGACTACGGCAAGAAGAACAACGTCAACGTGGCCTCGCTCACGCAGTCGGAGATCCGCGACATCATCCTCGGCATGGAGATCTCGCCGCCGTCGGAGCAGCGCCAGCAGATCGCCGAGATCGAGAAGCAGACCAAGGAGGCCAGCCAGCTGACGGCGGTGACGACCAAGACCACCAACGTGCACGGCGACGAGATCACCGTCACCACGACCTCGCCCTACGGCCAGAAGATGTTCACCTCCAAGACCGACTGGCGCGTGCGGGCCATCTCGGCGACCAACCTCCACCTCCGTACCAACCACATCTACGTCTCGTCGGACGACGTCAAGGAGACGGGCTTCACCTACGTGCTGCCCAAGAACGTGCTCAAGAAGTTCATCACCATCTCCGACCTCCGCACGCAGGTGGCCGGCTTCATGTACGGCATCAGCCCGCCGGACAACCCGATGGTCAAGGAGATCCGCTGCATCGTCATGCCGCCGCAGTGGGGCACGCACCAGGAGGTCAACCTGCCCCACCAGCTCCCCGAGCACGAGTACCTCGCCGACATGGAGCCCCTCGGCTGGATCCACACCCAGCCCAACGAGCTCCCGCAGCTCCCGCCCGGCGACGTCATCACCCACGCCGGCATCATGACCGACAACAAGGCCTGGGACGCCGAGAAGGCCATCGTCATCACCGTCTCCTTCACCCCCGGCTCCTGCTCCCTCACCGCCTACAAGCTCACCCCCGCCGGCTACACCTGGGGCCAGCAGAACCGCGACAACCACACCCACAACTTCTCCGGCTACTCCCCGCTCTTCTACGAGAAGGTGCCCATGCTCCTCTCCGACCGCTTCCTCGGCTTCTACATGGTCCCCGAGCACGGCATGTGGAACTACAACTTCTCCGGCGTCAAGCACAACCCCAACATGAAGTACTCGCTCGTCCTCGCCAACCCGCGCGAGTTCTACAACGAGGCCTTCCGCCCCACCCACTTCCTCTCCTGGGTCTCCTCCGAGGACACCGCCACCGCCGAAGGAGGAGCCGACGACGGACTCGACGCCGACCGCGAGAACCTCTTCGACTAAGACCCGACCCACCGACCCCTTCTCGGCGAGTAGCCGACTACTCTTCTTCTCCTTCTTCTCTCTGTCATGTTAATTTATTGCCCCTCCACAGCATCAATGAATGAATACCCCAAACACCAAACACTTGCAACGTACACTATTTTATTTATTGTTTATTGTTATTTATTTATTTTTTATTATATCATTTGTTACGATCGCAGATAGATAATTAGAGATAAAAAACGTTGTGCGAAGTTGCTGTTGCGGGCGACATATGGGGTTTCGGCCGCTTTTCTTCAGGAACGTGGTAAGCGAGTGTACTGCGGCACCAGCCGCCATGCAGAGTACGAGACCCAGTCAACACCACTACTACACTTGAAGTACACTGCCCTCGTTTGGGTCATTCCAACCATCTCTCATCATATCATGAGCATGCAGCAGCAGCACTCCGCTTGTGCGCACCTCGCGCAGCTTGAGCCGGGCGAGTTCCAGCACAAGCGGCACCGCTTCACCTTCCCCACCCCTCGCGGCCTCGATGAAGGTGGCTTCACCCCTAGAACTTGTGTGGTCGCCACCCAACTCACCATCATCACCTTCAACTTTTTCTTGTCTTTCTCTCGAGCAGGGAAAGAGGGGGACAAGGAAGCAACAACGATCAGCAAACAACAACAACAACAACGAGAAGAAGAAGATGAAAGTAGAGCCCGGGGCAAGTACGCGCGTCGCGCGCAGCGGGTGGTGCAGACACCCGACAGCGATCGCGACCCAGACGCCTGGGTGGTCCAGTGGGAGAAGACCCACCCCTACCGCAAGCTGAAGCCTCAACTCGAACATGAAGAAGAAGAAGAGGGTGAAGGTGGAGCAGCAGCCAAGAAGAAGAAAGAAGAAGAAGATGCGACGAAAACGAAAAAAGAGGAAGAGGAGGAGGAGAAGAAGGAAGAAGAGGAGACCAAGGAGAAGGAGAAGGAAAAGATGAAGGAGGTGGTGGTGCAGGATGGCCGCGGCAAGGGCCTCATTCGGCTCACGGGCCAGCACCCGCTCAACGCCGAGCCGCCCGCCGGGATGCTGGTCGAGCCCGGCCTCATCACCCCCGCGCCCCTCCACTACGTGCGCAACCATGGACCCGTACCGCGCCTCCACTGGGACACCCACCGCGTCGGCGTCTGCGGAATGGTACAGTTTTGCTGGCGTTTGACGCACGGATTGGTCAGAACTATGACTGGTCCGGGCCAATGGGAAAGCTGACCTGGCTGGTATGTTGCTATGCAACTGACCAGGTGGAGCGGCCGCACGAGTTTAGTATGGAGGAGCTGTGCGGGCTGCCCACGTTCGAGATCCCGGTCACGGTGGTCTGCGACGGCAACCGCCGGAAGGAGCTCAACACCATCACCCGCTCCAAGGGCTTCGACTGGGGTCCGGGCGCCGTCGGCACCGCCGTGTGGCGCGGCGTCTCCCTGGCCCACGTCATCCGGCGCTGCGGGGTCAAGCCGGGCGCCCGCTTCGTGTGCTTCGAGGGCGCCGACCAGCTCTTCCAGGGCAACTACGGTACTCTCCACCTCAACGGCGCTTCTTGCTGGGTGTAGTAGGCTGATTGAAGAGGAATGTGAATGGAATGCAACGTGATACAGGCACCAGCATTCCGTTGGCCGCGGCGATGGAGGAGAACAACGACATGATGCTGGCCTTCGAGATGAACGGGCAGCGTCTGCCTCCAGACCACGGGTATAGAATAGGCGCAACACTCCAACCCTGGCCTTCAACGTTTTCTCAACTTTCCTCTATGTCCGTGTGCGGTGGTGCGTGTGCGTGCGTTCGCGAAGGTACCCGGTGCGGGTGGTGCTGCCGGGCTACGTGGGCGGGCGCATGGTAAAGTGGCTCTCCAAGATCGAGATCAGCGACGAGGAGTCCAAGAACTGGCACCACTACTTCGGTAGCCATCCCTCCCATTCTACTTTCCTAAATTGTAAATAATATACAATGTTTATTTGTTTTAAATTGTCGAAAATGGCTAAAATAACAATCTTCATCTTCTCGCAGACAATCGGGTGATGCCGCCGGGCGTGGACTATGGCAACGTGGACTCGGGCGGGTGGTGGTACAAGCCCGAGACGCTGCTCAACCACCTGAATGTGAACTCGGTCATCACCTCGCCCGGCCACGAAGAGTTCTTCCGCATCCGCCACGGCCTCACCCGCTACACCATGCGCGGCTACGCCTACGCGGGCGGCGGCCGCGAGGTGCGCCGGGTCGAGGTCACCCTCGACGGCGGCAACACGTGGATCCAGTGCCAGCGCCACTACGCCAAGGACCACCTCCGCCACGGCATCAACTCTTGGGTGCGCACCACCGCACGCACCACCGCACGCACCACCGCACACGGGCTGCACAGACTAACATGTACCCAAAAGACGTGGTGCCACTGGTCGCTGGAGCTGGAGGCGTGGCGGCTGTTGAAGGCGGACGAGATCGCGGTGCGGGCGGTGGACGCGCAACTCAACACCCAGCCCTCCGATCCCACCTGGAACCTGCTCGGCATGATGAACAACTGCTGGTACGCACGGCACACGACAAGCACGGCACACACGGCACACACGCTAAACAATGACACGACACGCACGGCACACGGCGCTCAGGTATCGCATCAGGATCGAGGTGCAGGACGAGCCGACTATTGGATCGACGGCTTGCATCTTCAAGCATCCGGTGCAGCCGGGCAGCCTGGCGGGCGGGTGGATGATCCACTCGCGCGATGAGCCGCACCCGCCGCGCGCCCCCGACAACGACGCCGCCATGAACAAGCGGGTCGGGCGGCACATCCCCACCAGCGAGATTCGCAAGGTACCTCCACCTCTGTGGCCGCGCACCTTGTCTCACAGAGCCCGATAAAGTCCTGAAAAAACCGCCAACGACACGACACGACACGACACGACACGACACGACACGACACGACACGACACGACACTCACAGCATGACAAAGAGGACGATTGCTGGGTGGTGATCGATGGCCGCGTGTTCGATATGACGGAGTACCTGAAGGACCACCCCGGGGGTAAGTCGATTTGATTCTTTTTCCTTAATTACTCATATACAATATATAAATACATCTAAATATATAGCTATGCTACATTCTTCATATAACTATTTACATTCTCCTGACAATTTTTTTAGGAGCGTGTCCGGTGATGCTGAAGGCCGGCGGCGACGCGTCGAGGGAGTACCACGACATTCACGCGCGCGATGCGGACGAGATCAAGGAGTACTACTGCATCGGCATCGCCGTCGACGACCAGCTGCCGCCCGTCCAAGTCCCCTCTTCCCTGCGCGGTGCCCCCAGGTCCCCTACCCTCCCACCGTGTGCGTGTGCGTGTGCGTGTGCGTGTGGCGTTGGCTCAACAGCAAATGGTGCAGAGCGTTGGACCCGCGCAAGTGGATTGACATCACTCTGGTTCGCCGGGAGGAGATCTCGCCCGACACGCGCAAGTTCCGCTTCGAGCTGCCGGGCGCGCGCGAGGGCGTCCAACTCGGGCTGCCGGTGGGGCTGCACGTCCTTTTGGGTGCCTACATCGACGACCAGCTCATCGTGCGGCCCTACACCCCCATCGGCCCCGTCGTCGCCGACGAAGACCCGGGTGCGTGTGTCGTGCTGTGTGTGTGTCGTGTGTGTGTGTCTCGTGGGTGTTGACAAGCATGGTGGGTGGTGGGCTTAAGGTTACGTGGAGTTCGTGATCAAGATCTACTTCAGCAACAAGAGCAGAGCGTTCCCTAAGGTGGGGTTGCCCCAACATCCATAAAATTGTTGACCTTTCTCACACTCTGTGAGATAACGCCAACTGCAGGGCGGACTGATGACGCAGCACATTGAGTCCCTCAAGGTGGGCGACAAGCTCAAGATGAAGGGACCCGCTGGCCACGTCATCTACCACGGCCGAGGGTACTCTTCTTCGCCTTCCGGCTCCCCGCTGGGCCGATCGGCACGCGTTGGCTGACACATACATCACCCTGCCCCCCCCCCGCAGCCGGATCGCAGTGAATGCCAAGCCGATGCAGGTCAAGCAGATCTCGATGGTGGCCGGCGGCACTGGCATCACGCCCATGTACCAGCTCGCCCGCGCCATCTGCAAGGTGCTCTCTTTCGCTGAGCGTGTGCGTCTGATCGCATGCGTTGACCTCTGACGCCGATGTCGTGTGTTTCGTGTCGTGTGCCGTGCGCCGTGCGCCGTGTCTGAACAGGATCCGGGCGACACGACGCAGGTATCGCTGTTGTACGCCAATCGTAGCACGCAGGACATTCTGCTGCGGCGCGAGCTGGACGAACTGGCTCGCGACCATCCCCAATTCCAAGTGTGGTACACCGGTAGCGATCTCACCTCTTTTTGTGTTGTGTTTCGTTTTTGTTTTCGTTTCGAAAAGTGTGATCCCTTCTGACTAGTCACGACATTCCGGTTTTCTCAGTGGACCAGCCGCCTCCCCAAGGCACGTGGCGCTACTCTGTGGGCCATGTGGTCGAGGTACAAACTCGGTTTTCTGTTTCCGTGTGCTTGTCTGTGTGTGCGCACTGGCTCACTTTGAACGGCACAGCACATGCTGAGAACGCAGCTGTTCCCGGCGTGTCGGGACGCCCTCACGCTGTTGTGTGGGCCGCCGGCCATGGTCGAGCTCGCCCTCATTCCCGGCCTCGAGTCGCTCGGCTACACCGCCGACGACCTCTTTGAGTTTTGAAGAAGACCAATAAAAGCAAGAATTAAGTTAATAAAATAAAATATGCTATTCTCATTGGAGGCTGCACACAAGGGCGCTGTTGGTTCGCTGCGTGTCGAGGTGTGTGCGGTGTGCGCGTGTGCGGTTAAGCTTCCGAGGGAGGTTGTTGGCGGTGGGCGGTTCCTGCGGCGATTGGAGGAGGTGCAGCTTGGCGGCGACGTGGAACACCTGGGGCACGCCCTCCCCCGACTTGGCCGAACATTCGACGTACATCGCCGCACCCAGCTCCTTCGCCAAGGCCACTCCTGCTTTCTCAAGTCAGCCGTGTACCGTGCGTGTCGTGCGGTGAGTCGTGCGGTGAGTCGTGCGTGTCGTGTCGTGCGGTACCTTCAAAAACTGGGACGCACGAGTGCGGAGGAGCGGAAGAGGAGGTTCGGAGGTCGGACTTGGTGCCCACTACGACGATGGTCACGTTCGGCCGAGCTCGCCGCACCTCGGGCACCAACTGGTGCCGCACGGCATCCATCGATGTTCTGTCATTCACCGCAAAGCAAGCCAGCACGCAACTCGTCTGCAAGTACACTCCCGTTCGATTACACCTGTGTGCGTGTGCGGTGGTGCGTGTGCGTGTGCGGTGTTGCTCGTTAACATGCGCTGTGGAGCAAACTATGTGGCTTAGATGCGGAAGACGCACTCAGAGCGGCCGGGCGTGTCCCAGTATCGCAGGATGACTGCGGCACCGTCGACGGTGGTCTGGTCCTCCTGGTAGTCGAACGAGGGCGTCCACGCGCACGCGTCACTGTAGTTCCCCGACCTGAAGCGGAGCAACAGCGACGTCTTCCCCACCTAGCCCGGCAGGTCAGTCCCATCGTGTTTGTCGTCGTGTGTCGTGTCGTGTCGTGTCGTGTCGTTGCGTGCCTGTTCAGCGCCGACGATGGTGAACTCGGTGGGCGGGTAGAGCTGGCCCGGCACGAGGAGGTGTCGTTCGAGAAGAGCGTCTCGCCCGCTTCGCACCTCCTTGAGGCCTCGAACGTTTCTCATGAGCTGGTGTACGTGCGTCTTGTACAACTGCTTGTACTTCGTCTGTGCGTCGTCACCTTCTTCATCTGCACCATCTTCTTCTTCTTCCTTGATGCGGCTCAACACCTCCACGCCCAATTCGGCGCTACACGCGAATGCGCAGATGAGACAAAACGGCAACAGAGTAGCAGCGCACTTCGGAAGAAAAAGAAGATGACTACGACGACGACGAAGAAGATGATGAGGTGTGTGTACCTGAGTCGGAGGATGATGGTGCGCCACAGGTGGTGAGAGTCTGCGGCCTCGCGCCACGCAAGGCAAACCTGCGCGCACCGTCCGATGTCGGCCTGGTCTTCCAGTCGCTCGAAGACGTGGATCAACACGTCGAACACCTTCAACGCTCCTTCTTCTTCATCTTTTTCTTCAACGTTCTCACGCTTTTTCACCATCATCTTCTTCTTCGTGTCTTTGTGGAGTTCGTGGGTGTGGAACTAATACTTCTTCTTCGGTGCTTTTTGAGGACAATGATATGTGCCGATCGGTGCCCACATAATGATCACCAACCATAATTACGGAACTGTTTCTGGCTCGCCGCTCAGAACCTCTTTTAGGCCGATCATCGGCATGTCGCAGAGCAAGCCCGGAGTTAAAGGCTACAACAATAAGAAAAACAAAGAACGAAAAAAGAACGAAGAAACAGAAAAAGTCACCACTCTCTGAGTCCGACGCAGGGTTGTTGGTGGTTGGGGGCGTTGGTATAGTGGTATTACGTAGGTTTATAGTCCGAGACGCGGGTTCGAATCCTGCACGCCCCCTCACCTTTTCGCCTCCTCGCAGAACGTTTCATATGTGGAAAAAGAGTTCACCCCAGCGCAGTGCACCACGGCAGTGTTATTCTTCCATCTTTTGGATTTATTGTTTCTCACTGTACATGTTGCGCTACGGTAGGCTGGTGTGGCTTCTTAGGGCAGGTCAGTCAAGCTCTTCTTGGGCGGGGGTCCTAAGCACCGCAAAAGAACGATTAAAAGGGAAGAAAGAACGAAAACGGCGTGAGGCTTTGGGGGGGGGCAAAGCAGTGGCTCACCCTTCTTCTTGGTGCCCACCACGGTGGCGGTCTTCTGGAACTTGCCCTCGTTGGACATCCCGCCAGAGTTGCCGCTGGTGGCCCACGACGTCTTAGTCACCTCCTCCACGTTGGGGTCCTTCGGCCGGGCCAGCTCCTCAAACTTAGACTTGAGCGACGACGCCGACATGTCTCTTCTTGATTGATCTCTGTTGTGTCGCTTTGTCGAATTTAAATGTTTGTTATTGTTTCTGTTGTCCAATCGACGACAAACGGAGCTACGTAATAAAAGTGAAGAATGTGTCGACACATTAATCAGAGATACCAAACTACTAGGTGCCAAGGAGAACATGCTCCTTTCCTGCGTTCTCCGAAAGTTTGCATGCGAAGTGCGGTCAAGGACCATCCCGCCACTATCAACAAAGCTTGTGAGTACGAACCATTCAACAAGACACGCGGGCCGCACATTGGGAAAACCTGTGAAGGAGAATATGATGAACGGACTGGCCGCCCTGATCGTGATCGGTCTGGTTGCATTCGTTGGCAGCCTCTCTACCTTCAGCTCCGCCGCCACTGGTGACCCACCCTTATTCGCTCTTTCGCTCTTCCCTCCCCCCCTCCTTTCCCTCCGCTTTTCGTTCTCTCTCCGTCTCCTCGGTTGGACTCCGGCTGACCCTTTTTATTGTTTGCTCAACGTTGGCCTCCCTCAGTTACGGTGTGCAGCAACAATTGCACCTTCGACGACTTCGACGTGGCCTTTGACAGCCTCGTCGCCGGCGACACCATCACCGTCAAGCAGGGCTACACCACTTTGGCCGCCCGCACCGTCACGCTCAATAACATCACCATATGGTACGATACCCAGTACCCAAAAAAGGAAAACAGACGAAAGAGGGGCCAACGAAAAACGTTGTTGTTGATTGTCGTCATCATCGACATGTTGTGTGCTACAGGGGCTACAACGCCACGTTCGGCTCGAACAGCGATGTGTGGCTCACGATCCCCACCAACGTCAGCCTCCTGTTCAAGGGCTCCTCTCTCATCTTTGGCACCTGTACGCACGCGCCCGTCTCAAACGATATCTTTTCGTTCACATAGACCTCCCTTACCGGGCGCGTGTGCGTGCGTGTGCGGTGGTGCGTGTGCGTGTGCGTGTGCGTGTGCGTGTGCGTGTGCGTGTGCGTGTGCGTGTGCGTGTGCGTGTGCGTGTGCGTGTGCGGCGGGCTCATGCAGCGATCAAGGTGGATGGAGGCAAGTTGATTCAGGAGGGCCTGCTCGACTTCCAAATGTTCGACTTGCCGTACCAGGGTATCATCAACTTTACACCCACGCACAACCCACAACTCATAACTCACAACGTTTCGGTTTCTTCCCCTTTGATTCTACTACACGAACAAACACACAAACACAGCGGAGGACAAGACAGGCCTTGTGCTCGACAATGGCGCAACGCTCCTGCAGCAGGGCCAGCTGCTCTTCCGACTCTCCGCATACTTGAACTCCACCGTTCTCACTGGTGCTCTCTCCACCCAACGCACTCAACCTACCCAACGTCAAATGGCCCAACACCACTCACGCCGCCCGATGTGGTCGATCCAGGCCTGTACGTGGGCGGTTCAACCTCGTGGACTCAGCTCGGGAGCCTCGTGGTCAGGGCCGATGGCTACGGCGCGCTCACCGGTACACAACCCCACACGCCAGTCGGCCACCAGCACACAACTCTCATTTTGATTCTTTTCTTTTAAGGCGTGGAGCTTGAGGTGGAGGCGGTGTGGACTTCGTCCGGCGAGGTCTCCGTCACAGCCACCCAGTCCAACGTGACCGGTAACTGACGTCCGCCCGCACACGCACACGCACACGCACACGCACACGCACACGCACACGCACGCGCACGCGCACGCGCACGCGCACATGCACAGTTCACACTCATAGTCTCTTGATGGTTACTACTATCTAGGCATCGTAGTGGGGGGCAATACGTGGAGCCCAAGCGGCACGGTGAGCGTCACTGCGGTCGACGGCGCCAAGGGTACATATCTTCATGCAGTGATCCTAGCTTGTGTTTGTTCACCGAGCTCTCTTCCTCTCGGCTGCAGGGTTGACCGTCTCCGGTTCCACGTGGAACCAGGGCGGGACCACCACAGTCAACGCGACCAACGGAGCCACAGGTTCCCTCCCAGGCTCTCAGTTTTCGCTTTTCGCTTTCGCTTTCGCTTTTTGTTTCATTCTTTGTAGGGCGGAACTAATGGGACGTATCTGTTGGGTGGGGTAGGCGTGTACTTTGGCGGTTTCGGCAGCACCTGGTCGCAGTCGGCCAACTTGGTGGTGACCGCATCCGATGGACAGGCCACAGGTACGCTACCGGCGTTGGGCGGTTCATGGCCATTGCTCACATTGCAATCCCAATGCATCAGGAATTCTGATCGATGCCACCACGCCGTGGACTCAGTCCGGCCGCGTTTACGTGACCGCCAACCAGAATGCCACCGGTAGGATAAATAACATCTGCGCAACCCATCAGCCTCACATACTAATATTATATTTTATTATGACCACATTATTTTTTGAAAACGCAGGAATTCTTCTGCGCGTTTCGGAGACCTGGCAGCAGTCCGGCGTCGCGACCATCCTCGCGCAGGGCTTGTCTGCCATTGGTTCGTACTTCCCCCTCCATCTTGTTAATCCCTACCCCTATTTCTCACCCTTTTCTCTTTTGCTCACGCGTATTTCTCTTCGATCATTCCATCAGGACTGCGATGTGCCAACAGCTCTGTGCTGACGTGGACCTCCACGGAGAGCATCAACAGCACCCAGACCCAGTCGGGGACTGCCATCAGTACTCTATTGACCCACTTCTTCGCTTTCGCTCTCTTCTTTTCGGGTCGGCGGGCTCACCCAAGAATGACCTGTCAATGTAGGCGGCTGCTCCACGCCGGCCCCGAGCGCCTCGCCCAGCGCGAGCCCGCAGATCCTGCTGTCGAACATGACCACCATCCCCTCCATGCCCATGCTCTGCTTCAACCTCTCCGCGCCCGCAGTGCTCATCCTGCCCAAGGGTACATGCTCGCACCGCACGCACACACACACACACACATTCCGCACACGCACCACACACGCTCAAGATTTGTCGTTGGTCGGCGCAGATTCAAAGGGAAACGTGCAGCAGCTGGCCGGCGTGATGGTGTCGCTCGGCTCGGTCGGGCGAATGGACAGCAACGACACCCTGATCGAGGAGGCCACAGTCACCGACGGTACCCTCCTTTGTGTGGAATGTGGTGAATGTACTGCAGTACTGACATTCCACGTGCCAATGAATGTGGTCACTCGCAGGAATGTGGGGCGAGGAGGCCAACAACTCGCTCGGCGCCAGCCAGTCGTACATCTACGCCTGCACTCTGTCGTTCAACTCCACCACCTCAGCCGGGGCCATCACCACCAAGCGCAACGGCGGGTCGGCCAACTCGACGGTGCTGCAGCTCCAGTGGTACCTGTTCGACGCCGCGACCAATGTGTCCTTGGGCGGCGACGTGTCGTTCGGCACCTCGCCGGCCTACACCAAGCTCACCGTGCGCCTGGCCAACTGGCCGTGGCCCGCCTACACGGGCCGCGCGAGCGACGACGGCCGCGCCGAGGTGCGCATCACCATCGACCCGCCCTTCACCGGCTCCACGCCCAAGTCCGGCGGCGGCGGCAGCGGCAGCAGCTACCTTAAGGAGTTCGGCCTGTCGGGCCAGACCACCGACTACACCGCTGGATCCGTGTCGACGTCCGTGCGGTTGGTCGACGCCGTGGAGATCGACGGCCAGCTGATCCCCTTGGCCGGGCTCGACAGCAACACTCGGCCGCCGGTCGAGTACTGGCTCGACGGGGCCACGTCGCAGCTGGTGCTGTCGTTCGGCCGCTTCAACTCGACGGTGGTCTACGACCCGGACTTCGGCGTGTTTCTGGGCGCCAAGGGCGGCGACGGCGGCGGAACGAGCAGCGACAACACGGGCCTGATCGTGGGCGTGGCGGTGGCGGTGCCGCTGGCGATCCTGGTGGTGGTGGCGGTGATAGGCGGCGCGGCGGTGCTCACCTACTACCGACGACGGCAAGTGGCCAACCAGCACAGCGGCGTCAACTTTGATCAGGAGGACGCGCTGTGATAGGCCTTGCATACTTTACTAATTTAATCAATGAATCGCCCACACGCGTGTACCAGACCTGGTCCGTCCTGCGAATGGACCCGCAGTCAGGGTGAGAACACCCAGGTTAACCACCCAAGGCAAGGCTTCAGTGAATGGTGGACTCCACATCGAATCCTAATTGTGCTGCTCTTTGTACATAGATCCTTAGGAACGCCCAGGCACAATGTGGCAAACAAATCATATAAAATAAGAAACCTAAAAACAATTTCGCTGCGTTCGGCGTTTGGTGGTTGGTGCATCGCCAATAAGATCACTCTCCAGCCGACACGCCTTGAGAGAGCAAGAAGACAGAGTGACCATGCCGAAGCATTTGCGGTTTGGCTTGGTGGTGGTCTTGCTCGGCGTGGCCCTGGCCACAGCCGCCAGTGCTTCATTCTCGTCGTATGTTCGGCCTGCGGTCGGCACAGGAGGCGAAGGCTACGGGTGCGTCCCCTTTTCACTTTTGTGCTCTCTGGCGCTCGCTTCGTGCTCACCCCCCCCCCCCGGGGCGCTGTCCTCGGCCAAGAATTGGTGCCGTGCCGCCGGGTCCACAAGCGCCGTTTGGTGCGTTTCTTACACTAATTCAGTATTTATTTATTAATTTTTAATCAATTTTATTATTTCTGACTGTCAAGCTTTGTTCAGGCATGGTGCGGGTGGGGCCAGACACGCAGGAGTACGATGCGCTCTACATCCCCTGGTATGTCTGACATCTCCCCGCAAACCTCAACATCCACACTGTGCACGCACACACGACCACTGCACACAAGCGCACGTCCTCACAAGCTTGCATTCACACAGGAACCACTTTGGAGGCTACTACTATGGCGACGAGTACATTCGCGTCTTTTCGCACACGCACATGGTGGGGTCGGGTGTGCTGGACTACGGCAACATCGGGGTCATGCCCATCACCAAGTCCCCCAACCTCCTCCTCGTACGACACCACGAACGCACACGCACACGCACACGCACACGCATTCGCACTCGCACGCGCACGCGCACGCGCACAGGCAACACGCGGCATACTGATGACCATAATCAACCGACCAGTTGTCCAACTACGCCTATCGGTCGCAGTTCTCGCACCAGTCCGAAGGTACGGGTTCGCTTCATTGACGACAATTCTACCATGGCAGAATTGGGGGCTGACCGCACGCACGCACGCACTTGGTGAAGTGATGAACCCGGGCTACTACGCGGTGACGCTGGAGGACTACAGCATTCGCGCCGAACTGACGGCCACGAAGCGGGTGGGCCTCCACCGCTACACCTTCCCCTCGACCGCGACCGCCAGAAACATCCTCTTCCCCATCAGGTCTGCGTGTATGTTGTATGTTGTGTGTGCGTGGGTGCGGCGCACATGCGGTGTGCGTCACTATTAACTATGAGTGTGCAGTCATGCGTTGCACGACGGAGCGTGTAAGGGCGCCAACGTCAACGTCGACATCAACAACCAGGAGGTCTCCGGCTGGATGCTCAACGCAGGTGGCCCACCCTCCCTTCCTGTTTTCTCTTTGCTCGCCCGCGCCAGTTAGACTCCGACCGATAACGGCTCTATGGTCCGTCGACAACGCCACACAGGAGGTCTCTCCGGCCGGTTCGGAGGGGTGAAGACCTACTTCGTGGCGCAGTTCGGGGCGGTGGGTCCCCGCTTCACGTCCCACGGCGTGTGGGACCTGGCCAGCAGCCAGCTCAGCCCGGGCTCGGCCTCGATCAACGGCACCCATGTGGGCGCGTGGATCGGCTTTGAAAGTACACATCGCCTCCTCTGTACACTTCCTCCCCTCCCCCCCAAGTCGGTAGCATTGACGTGTGTTACACGCAACAAGGTGGAGCCGTGTCAACGGTGGTGGAGATGTACATCGGCCTGAGCTTCGTAAGCCTCGACAACGGTACCAATAATATACATATAAATATGTATAAACATAAACATTCATAAAAAAGGTGATTTTTTCAACGGGGCTGAGGCACATGTGACATGCACCACAGCGCGGCTCAACCTGAAGACCGAGTTGTGGAACGGGAAGCTGTCATTCGATCTTGCCCTCAACCAAACTCAGGTACGCACACGCACGCACACGCACACGCAGATACGCACACGCACACGCGTGCTCAGCTGACTTTGCGCGCCCTGCAGAGCGAGTGGGAGGGCCTCTTGGGCCGATTCGAGGTCACGGGCGGCGACGTGGTGGAGCTGGTCAAGTTCTACACGGCTGCATACCACGCATTCCTGGCGCCCACCACCTTCAACGACGTCAACGGCCAGTACCTCGGGTTCGACTCCCGGGTGCACCTCATGCCCGCCGGCCGCTCGTGGTACTCGGACATGTCCATCTGGGACACCCACCGCACGCAGTCCCCGCTTCTGGCGCTCGTGCTGCCCGACGTCATGAGCGACATCGTAAACTCGCTTGTGCTCATGTTCCAGCAAGGCGGCGATCTCCCCCGATGGCCCATGGCCAACGGTACAACGTCGTGACACGCACACGCACACGCACATGCACACGACACGACACGACACGCACTCGACTGAATTGTCGTTGTGTGGTGGTCAGGTTACACGGGAACGATGAGCGCCACGCACGCCGATGTGGTGGTGGCGGACGCCTATCTCAAGGTACTGTTGTTGTTGTTGTAAACGACGGGTCCACCACTGTTTGACATTCCACCCCCCCCCCCGATCGAGTAAATGCAGGGCGTGCGCGGTTTCGACGTGGACCAGGCAATGAAGGCCCTCGTCCAGTCGGCCACCCAGCCACAGCGGTATGCGGGCCGTGAAAACATCGACGAGTGGCTCAAATATGGGTATATCCAGACATATCATTTCGAACACCCACGTGTAGCTCACATTACGTGTCGTGTGTCGTGTGTGTCGTGTCGTGTGCCGTGTGTGCCGTGTGCGCCGTGTGGCAGATATGTGTCGTACGCGTCAAACCATAAGGCAGCCATCCTCACGCTGGAGTACGCGTTCGATGGTAGGGGAACCCCGGCGCCATAAAACGAGTGCCTTCGTCTTCTTCCACTCATCATCTTTGTTACAGATTGGGCGGTGGCCAACATGGCGGCGGCCCTCAACAACTCTGCTGCTGCCGAGCTGTTCTACAATCGCTCGAAGAACTATCGAGTACGCGCGCAGAGTCCATGACACGACACGCACGGCACGCAACACAGCGAGCCTGACTACTGCGTTCACGTGCGCACCACCAGAACGTGTGGAATGCGGAGGAGCAATTCTTCTGCCCCAAATCGCGTGACCCCTCGAGCGGGGCTGTCGCGTGGGCCTGTCCGCCCTGGTACGACTACCTCAACCCGTTCGACACTCGCTATGAGGAGGGCGATGCCTGGCACTGGAGGTACCTCATCACCACCCCACCATCAATCATCAATCATCAATCATCAGCCATCAGCCATCAACCATCGACCACACACTCGAGACACTCTTGCCGTGTGATGATAGATTCATCGTGCGTGTTGCGTGGTTCGGGTTCAGGTGGTTCGTCCCGCACGACCCCAAAGGATTAATCGCACTGTTTGGCGGCGTCGACAAGTTTGTGGAGCAGCTCATGGAGTTCTTCGACTACTCCAGTACTGTCGCTTTCTCTCTTTTTCACGGTCATGACCCTAACCAATCAGTCTTGGTTGGTGCAGATCTGGACCAGTTCAACATTTTGCCCAACCCCTACTACTGGGCCGGCAACGAGGTACACCCAATTATTAACTAACAATATATTACTTATATTTATATTATCAACTTGTTTTTCTCAGCCTGACATATTTGCCGCCTGGCTGTTCACCTTCGCCGGCAGACCGGACCTCACCCAGAAGTACACTCGCATGGTACCCACTACCCACCCTTTAGCCACCGCCCAAGGGCGTGGCAAGCTGGTGTTACACAGCTTTACTTCTTCTTCTGCTGCTGCTTCGTCAGGTGATGAGCACGCGGTATTCGGGCCTGCCCGATGGTCTGCCGGGCAATGACGACTACGGCACCATGTCGGCGTGGTACATGTTCGCCGCCCTGGGCTTCTACCCGCAGGCCGGCAGCACCACTTACATCGTACGCAACTCCTAGAACCAAGCCACTGGGCTCTGCACCTGGCAGTTTGTTGTGCCTCACACGCCACACACAATGCGCCGCGTAGCTGGGCAGCCCAGTGTTCCCGCAGGCAGTGGTCCACTTGGCCAACAACACCAGGCTGGTGATCACCGCCCACAACGCCAACGCAGACAACATCTACGTTCAAAAGGCACAGCTCACATTTTCTTCTTTTTTTTTTTTGCTGGTGAACTGAACAAGAGGGTGTTTACATTGTACATCACTGCACCTGGAGCAGGTGGCGGTGAACGGACGCCCGTGGCCTTCGTGGTTCATTGACCACGCGCAGCTGGTGGGAGGCACCAACAACGGCACCGCCAGCCTCGAGTTCTGGATGGGTCCCACCGCCTCTGCCCCTGCTTGACCCCTTCCACTTGGTGCCTTAATTTGCCAATTTCTTTCGTTTCGTTTCACACAACGTTTCCCACATCTTTCTTTGAAAGCTGGCCTGCTTTGTAGTTCAAGGCATGCATATTTGATTAATTCGTCACAACCTGCTGAGGTGGAACAAGGTGGTTGGCAACCTGTGTGGCAGACAGCACGTGCACAGGGCCATGAGAAGAGCCCTGTGCATTTCGTTTAGGGGTGGTGAAGGCAGCAGACAACAAAGGAGGAAAGGAAACTGCATCCCACATCAACTTCTCCACATACCTCACATGCACACTCCTGACCTCAGTTAGGTTAGAGCAAGAAGAAGAAGAATGGGCGACCCCTTGATGCTCTCCATTCTCCAGCGCAAGCTTCACACGTGCCAAGTTTTGCTCTGGTCCTATTCCTCCCCCCCATCCAGAGCGGTAACCTATTTTTTTATTTTTTTAAAATTTGTCTCACCCCTCCAATCAATCTTTGATCTTCTTCTCTCTTTTGTTCTTCTCCGCTCTTCCTTTGTTCTTTTTTTTTCTGATCCAGGCTCAAGCAAATGTACCAGGTGCAAGACAATGGCAAGTGTGACTTTGTACTGAGCAAGGAGCTGGTCTACCAGGCCTATCTGGCCATGATGGTGGCCCATGAGTGCCTTGCTGAGCTGCCCCAGCTCACTTGGCCTGTTCTGGGCAAGTGTGCCTTCCCCTTGGTGCCCTCAATCCACTGAGGCCTGTGTGGCTGTGTGAAGCAGCTCTATGTGGGCCTCGTCCCTCAGACCCACAACAGCACACAAGCCATAGATGGCTGGGTGAAGAGGATGAAGAAGATGAAGAAGATGAAATTCTGCTGAGGCCATTCTCCTATGAAAGCATGGACATGGTGGAGGTAAGTGTGAACTTGCTGATGTGGCATCAAAGTGACAATGAAGAAGAAGGAACAGATTGCAACAACAATAGAGATGAGGAGCTGGAGAACAGGTGCATCACCACAACCACAACAACAACAGATGAAGAGCAGACAAGGCGCTACTCGCTCAAGACTACCACCACCACCACATCATTGACACCCCCGACCCCCTCCTCCTCCCCCCTGACAAGAAGTGGATCCTACAGCTTGGGTGACTGTGCATCGCCCTGCTTGAGCCTTGAGTCAACCACCACCTCACCTTCATCATCATCATCATCATCTTCATTGTCCACCACTACAACCTTCTTCTTTGCCTCATCTTCTCCTTCCTCCTCTGGTGTGGCTCTTGGCTTGCTGCTTCATGACACCCAGCCTGGCCCTGGTGGGAATGCGTATCAGGGGCTGGAGGTGGTGTGGAATGGCCTTGCCAGCTGTGGCTACTGGGACTTCCACCATCAGCTGAAGCTGATGGTGAAGGTGGCAGACATGATGAACTGGGTGTGATGAGCTGAGTGATTGGGGTGTTATCACATGAGTGGTGGTGGCCCAGACACCCACTGAGGCTCCTACAACTGATGGCTGCATCTTGGTGGTGGAGTGGGTGGAGTTGGTCATCTTGCCCTACCTCAAATTGAGCTGAAGCGCTCTTCACTTCCACTCCACTCTTTGTACAGAAGATGCCTTTCAATTTTAGGAAAGCTTGTGTCACAGTCATGTCAGTCTCAAGGCGTACCAATGGACCATGGCCCAGGCACCACAGAGTTAAGTTGCCAGTCAGCTATGCATACCTCACACGCCTCACCTGCCATCTTCTTCATTCGTCAAGGAATGAAGATTCCATGGCTCTGCGGATTTGGTTTTGGTTATCGCTTTCATTTTTGTTTTAGTTTTGGTTTTGGTTTTCGCTTTCGTTTTCATTTTATTTGTTGGACCTAAAGATCGTCGCCTTCTTCGGCGAGAGAAGAGATGTCGTAGTCGTAAGTCGAGCTCTTGTTGGACACGCCCTCCTTGCCGCCCGACATCGTATCGTCGGACTGGCTCTTGCTCGAGGTGCCCCTGATGATGGACATTGGCTGCCGCCAGTTCTTCAACAGCACACGCCAGAACAGATACGGTTCCTGCGCCACAATGTAATCAATGCATGTATTAGAAGACACGCAACACGCACGCACGCACGCACGCACACGCACACGCACACCGCACACACACACACACACACACGGGACACCGCACAAGTGCCTTGGATAAGCCGAGAGAACAGAAGATGATGACACCCTGGCCGCCGAGCGTCATGGCCTGGAGGTACCACGAGCCCCTGTTTAACTTTACCGACAGTTCGCAGGGCTCACCCGTCGCCACGCCGCACGCGATCTGCTCCGCCACCGCGTCCTCGATGTCGTCCTGCGGTGCGGTGGACGCCATCATCGTAAACACAACTCCAACCATCACACGTTGCGTGTCGAGCGCGAGCGTTGTGTGTGCCACGTACGGCGACGGTTTCCTCGTAGACCCGATAGAAGGTGAAGAAGGCGTAGAGGAACCAGTAGCCCACGATGAGCCCAGTCAGTCGGATCAGGTGCTCCTTAGAGATGACCGTTTGGCTCACCTCCTTCAGCCGCGATTGCACCTGTGTGTACCCCCCCCCGAAACCCGCACTGGTCAGAGTGCGCTGGGCCAGCGCAGAAGATGCAGGTGTGAAGATGAAGAAGATGATGATGGTGCCGTACCCGCCACACTTTCAGGATGACGATCGCCATCAGCGTCGTTCCAACGATCAGATTGAAGAGCACTGACGTTTTGAACCACCACACGATGAGACGGTAAGCCATGTTGTTGGGTGCGTCGTGTGGTGTCAAGTGGCGCGGCATGTGTGTGCGGTTTGTGCGCGTGCTGTGGTGGTGGGGAGGGTGTGGGCGTACCTGGGCCATACCAGAGTCCCCAGTCCCACGGATCGGCGACGAAGCAGTTGTAGCCTCCCGCCACCCCGACGAACTTCTGGGCCGCCAATCCTAAACCATCACCAATTGCTCGAGTTAATGCTTGTGTTGCGTTATCACAACATAAATGTTCGACCAAAACGAGGGTGTACCAATCAGGACGCAGAGCCCCGGCACGCCCCAGCCCACCATGTGCGACCCAATGTTTAACTGATAGGCCAATAATAAGAGAGAACGTCAGTGTGAGGTGGAGTCTCGGCCAATCGGATGAGAGGGCACGCGTGGGCCGTACCAGCATCTTGATCCGGCTGGAGCCCACCTTGAGCACAATGAATTGGAAGCCCGTGACGGTGAGCATAAGCCACCAGCAGCTGCCGGCCAGGCCGCCGTACATAATCAGCATTCCTGAGATGAGACCCGGAAGTGGACTGTGTGAGCCGTTGAATTTGTGGAATGCGCCTGCGGGCTGGTACCTTGAAGGACGCACACGACGCCCTGTCCGTTGTTGTCTCGCGCGCCCTCGAACGTCTGCAGCACCGGGACCTCGTCCCACGTGCAGAACGTTCGCCTCGGGCCTGACGCACACCGCACACACCACCGCACACGCACACCGCACACAACACCACACACGCACACGCACACGCACACGCACACGCCCACCACGCACGCATGTGAGCACAACAAAAGTGCAGAAAATGCTTCGAATAGTTCGTTACCTCCGACCAACACCGGGAGCAGCACGCCGACGCTGCACACGAGGGAGGACACGGACAGCCAGATCTGGAACGACGTCGGGAAGCGACGCTTGTGTCGCATCAGGCTGTACGTGATGATCAGGAAAAGCACCATCGCAAACGATACAACTACGACACGGCATGACATGACACACGAACACGAACACGAACACGAACACGAACACGAACACGACACGACACGACACGACACGACACGACACGACACGACACACGTTGGTTGATGAGGTGACGGGTGGTGCGGGGGGGGGAAGGCTGAGCGTACTGCCGAGCCCAGTCAGGACTCCGATCGCGGCGTCCATCTCGGTGGTGGTGAACATGGGGTCGGGGCACGGGTAGACGCACACCTGGTCCGGCGAGCTCAGCGACTGCGTCGGGTCGGCGATGGTACCCTCCGGGTTGAACTTGAGCGGATACGGACAGTCGGCCTGGCTGTACGGCACCATCACTGATTCCCGTGCGTGTGCGGTGAGTGTGTGCGGTGAGTGTGTTGTGTTGTGTTGTGTGCGCGAGTGCGTGTGCGTGTGCGGTGATGGAGGGGGTTGTGCACCTCCGGCAGTCTGCGAGCCGTTGGTGCAGTGGGTGGTGGGGAAGAGGGGCGAGCTGCAGTTGGGGAGCAGGTGCGCCTTGTTCTGCGCAGTGAAGAACTCCTCACATGCGTCGACTGCATCCTCGCACACGCTCCGACACGGCAGAGAGTCTGGATCGCAAAAGAAATGTCAGAAACCGCGTCCTTGCGGGACGAACGCGTGTGTGAGGTGGCGTGTGTTGCGTGTCGTGTGCCGTGTGTCGTGTGGGCGGCGCACATGAGAATTCGGGCGAAAAGCTGCACTCGACGAATCCGCCCCAGCAGGCGAGGCGGATGGCCGCTGAGCGACACACGGGCGGCACGAACACGCCCAAGAGCTTCGTTGTCTCCGCCGTCGCGCTGTCCGCCTGTGGCCGTCATCATCAGTACTATTCGGCGCGTGCCAGGCACAGCAAATAAATGTGTGACGCACTATGGAGCAGCACGAATTGCTGCATCAACAGGAAAGAAATAGATAAATGCAAAGAAATATAAAATTATCGAATGTGGGTAAATAAACTCTTATTTATCACACAAAAACCGAAATGGTGGCTGGACCATGACCAACCACAAAAGGAGCTGAGAGCTTTCTGCGAGATGGAGATGGTGAGAGATGGAGCGTGCGATTACCTGAGCGTAGGTCTGGCCGGGGAGGAGAAGGACGTGGGAGTAGGTCACCACACTGTCGCACTTGCCGCCGGTGGCCGGCGAGCCACGATAGGGCACGCAACCCTGGCCGGCCACTTCCTCCACCACCGAGGCGTACAGGCTCAACACCAACAACAGCGGCAGCGCGTGCATCACTGCCACAAAGAACGAAAAGCGAGAAAGGGGGGGAGCGATAAAGAACGAAAAGCGAAAGAAGGGCCAAGAACGAAAAAGGCGAAGACGACGAAGGGTAAGTCACCGTCGCCGGAAATCCACATCGTAAATCAACAACGGAACGAAAGAAGAGAGGAGGGAACCATGACAAACGGAGAGCGTGAGCCGTTTGCTGCTGCTGTACATCTTTTGTAAAACGTTTGTCGCCTAATGGCACTCCCCAATGCCGGAAGTGCCAAGCAAGAGCACATCGTTACAATGACGACGCCAAATAGCAAAATGGAGAAATATAATGGAGTAATATATACTATTTTACGCAAGAGATTACGGCCACACACAATATTCCGCATTTTACACGGCCTAGACGTAAGAGGGGAAGCTGGAAAAGGTGGCGGTGATCTTGCCCATGAAGACCAGGGGCATGCCGTTTCCGAGCTTCTGCGCCGCGTAGCCGGTGAACATGTAGGGCAATTCGGAACTCGCGTCCGTGGTGTTGTGGATGGCGTCGAGCCACAGATGACACTCGGCCCCTCTCGGGAACGCATCATCGGGCACCTGGCCTGCTCACATCAACCACCGGACGAATGAGTGATATCAATCTTGGTGCGGAGATGCGTGTGCGTGTGCGTGTGCGTGTGCGGTGGGTACCGTGCAAGAAGATACGAGAGCCGGAGATCAGGGACAGGTTGGTCAGCGGATGGTAGCCCAGCTTGCCGGTGATGGTGGTGGCGTCCTTGATGGTTATTTCGCCCGCCAGTTCGCTGCCTGCATCGAAGCACAATCAACGATTGCAGGCCAACCACTCGAGTGGGGGGGAGACCAACGAAGGCCAAGACGGCGGGCTGCAAATGTACCTCCGGTCGTCCGGACCTGCCAGATTCCATTCCGATGCCCGGTGGTCAATGCCTGAATGAGTCTGTCGTGTCGTTGGTCGTGTCGTGTCGTGTCGTGCGGTGGGTCAGTGCTTAGAGGAGCTGAGGCTCACTAACGAGCGAGCGCGCTTACTTGAGTTCCTGGTCCTTCATGTGGGTCTTGATGTTCTTGAGGAGGTTGCCCCAATCGGTGGCCTTCCACTCAGCCAGCGAGATCGTACCGCTGGCATCCTTGTCAATCACCTGTTTCGCCCACGTCGAAACCAAACGAAACAAAACTAGAAAAAAACCACGAAAGCGAAAACACAAGAGAAGCGAACCTGGAACATGGCCCTGCCCAACTGCCCAGAGAGCTTCTTCTTGAGCTCGTCGTCTGCATTCTTGATCTGTGAGAACCGTTATTTTGTCGACATTAGAATAACGCAATTAATAAAAGCGAGGAAGGCAAGAGAAGGACAAAGGCAGAAGTACGTTGACGTCGCCTTCGCCTTGGGCCTTGAGGATGGCGAGGTCGCCCACCTTCTGGTTGGGGTGCTTCTTGATGAAGTATTCGACCAGGTCGTGCGAGAAGGAGATGAACTCATCGCGCGTCAGCGACCCGCTGTTGTCCTTGTCGTAGGTAGCGAAGGCCTTGTTGATCGCCTCGCGGTCCTCCTCGTTGTCGAGAAAGCGCAGCATCTTCACTTGTTTCGCTCCCATCTTGAAGTTGCGTTTGTAGAGTCGCGATGTTGAGTGTTGCCGGTGGGCGGGCAGTCAAAGATAGAGTCGTTTGTGTTCAACCCCCGACTTCAGGCGCCGTTCAGCAAAACGTAACTGGTCTGTGGTTTGGCCGCCGTGGCCCAGAAAAACAGGAAAACTGGAATCGCTCCTCATTGGCCCGGTGAATCAAAGCAAGCAGGGTAGTGGCCAGAATTCAAACTGCTGGAAGCTATGGCCCCGTGGTCGCGAGCGAAGGGGGAAAAATGGGGTAGCCACCAATTTAGTTGGCCTTCTTGGAGCGCTTGTTCTTGATGGTGAGGAAGCCGATGTCGAGGTAGGTCGTGATTTCGTGCACCACGCTGTGCGCGAAGAGGTAGTAGCCCAGGATGGACTGCACGTAGCACCCCACCAGGAAGGCGTACTCCACCCGCGCGCTCCACGCTCCGACCAGGCTCAGCGCCGCTCCTGCACGAACGCCCAGCAAATCAAATCAAATCAAAACAACACTTGTGAGCGATGAAAATAGCAAAGTGCAAGGTGGCACGAGGGGCGGGTGCAAGAGGTCGTACCGATGTAGAAGGAGAACAGGAGGGGCTGGATGGGGTGGAAAGCCTGCTTGACCACGCGCGCCAACACCATGCGACCCTTGATTGAAGAGACCAGATAAGAGGTGTAAGCAAAAAGGCTGGCAGAGTCGCATATCAACAGAGCGGCAACGGTGAAGAGAAGGCGGCTGTTACGATTATGTTGCCGCAGAGAAGGCCGAAGGAGCCGATCCACAGCTGCGGGTGCTGCAGCACGTCAGCCTTCGAGTAGTTGGCCCACACCACCGACGCGGCCACAAGGCTGTTTCGGTCACGGGCAACGCACACACCACACGCGCAAGCAAATCGATTTGGTGAACGTTGGAACCTCAAACAAGAAGAGGAAGAAGGTGGTGCGCACCTAAGGAAGGGGAAAAGGCGACCAAAGACCGCCACCAGCCCGTCCGCACCCTCCCCCACTCGCTTAGCCATGTTGTACACACTGCCCATGCCACGTCAGCAATATAAAGCAACAACAAAAGAAATGTAAATAATATTTTATAATAGCTGTTATAGCGAAAAATATAGCAAAATGTGAATGTACCTGGAGAAGATGTTCTGGAGCATGGGGAAGGTGGCCAGGGCGATGAAGAGGTGGTTGCACTGGACGGTGTAGCCGAACACGGTGATGGTCTGCAGCCACACAGACGGACCCAGAAGCGCCGTCGCTACGTAGAGGCCCATAGTGGACAGCTGCGCCTCGGTCACGTTGAAAATACCCAGATCCAGCACGCCCGTGTGATACCTGACACACACACACACACACCACCGCACACACACACCCACACCCACAACCGCACACGCACATACCGGGAGGGACGTCAGATGTGAAATAATAAGAAAATAATAACGAGAAGCCTAGTGAAGTACGCACTCCTCCCACTGGGCGGCGTAGAAGCCGGCCATGGACATGATGATGGCGTACTGGGCGACCCAGGTCGGCCCCAGCTGAAGCGAACTGGCCACCGTCAAGGCCATCAACTGTGCGTCACACACACAGCGATCGCAGATTAGCTGAGCTGTACGCGCACGCACAGATCCGAGAAAAATGGACGTGCTGGCACGGTACCGTAGTGGTGAGGGCGTCGCAGCCGTGGTCCACGAGTTCACCGAGAGGCGACGACGTGTTTGTTCGGCGCGCCTGTAATGATGAGAGCACATATATTATAGGGGAGTGTTAGGCCAAGTGCTAGCGAATGCGGCGAGAGAGGTGGCGTGCCTGTTTGCCATCAACGGCATCCATGGTCTGGTAGATGAAGAGGCACAGTGCGTTGACCATGTACACCCACCAAGGCGCCTCGCCCGTGAGCGACGGCACATAACTGCCACAGTAGCGACGCGTTGCGTGAGATTGTACGCTCTACTGGCGAGACTACGTACAATGTGAGAGGGAAACGTTACAAGGCGGTCAGCGCGTAGCTGGCCACCATGAAAGCGAAGCCGACCACCGTCACCAGGTTTGCCCTACACAAGCACAACGTTCACAATGATTGCTTTGAGCCCTGAGATTCATGCGCTACTAATCTTGGAAATGATTGGCTAAAATCTCAAACGATGAGAGGATCAGGAAGAAGAGAAGAGAGAAGGGGCAGTACGCCATGGTGAGAGGCAGAAACTCGACAACCCAACGCCAGAAGGGTTGACCCACATGGTTAGCTATGATTGACCTGCAGTGCGTGGAAGCAAGATGAGACCTTGCAGCAGAGATAGGTAGATCTTGTCTCTTACCGATCGACGCCGTGGTAGGCGTAAAGCTTTAGATTGGGCAGATCCTTCTCATCCACGTAGCGGAAGAGTTTTTCCCACGCCGACGCCTCAGCCCTCTTGCTCATTCTGTTCCAAGATGAAAGATGCTCGGCAGTCTTGGCCTGCGGAACTGCCCGAAACAGTTTGGCAAATTGAAATTTTGGTTTTCAAAACCACCTCGGTAACGCCAGATTGCTGTATACCCCATATTCCCAGGAGTTCCTCAGCAGGGCACGATCCACATCAATGTTGTTACCTTCACAGCAGTCCTCACCATACTCAGCTTGAACAACAACTCAGGGGCCTTGCAAGAGGTATGGCCATGCCCTTCCAAGACTTGGAACACACATTGAAAGCTGCACATCTTCAACAATCAAGTGACAAGTCATGACAGGCCTACTGACCCACAGAGCAACACCAAGCACTGCTGGAATGGTAGAAGGATAAAGGTTGATTTAGGTCACCCTGCCCCACTGTTTTGCCCTGTCTCCACCTTTTGGAGGTGATTTGGAGTGGTTGCTGTGAGATTTGACATTTTTGATTTATAGGGTAGTTTTGAAGATTTGGATCTGCATGTGTGAAATTGACATGGCAAACTGCTGCTGATAAGTGATATTGAGGGTCTTGAGATGGAAATGATTTCATGGAATGTGTGGAGTTAAAAGTGATTTTATCAGTGTGAGATGGAGCTTTGTTGTGGTGGAATTTTATCTTCAGGAATAGTGGAGCACCACTTTCCAACTGTTACAGGAAGGAACCTTTCACTTTCACCTTGAATTCAGCTGATGGATTCCTTGGCCTGTTCAAACATATGGGCAAGCAAATGCCTGATCCACTCCATAATCAGCTTCCATGGCCACCACACCTGAAGAGAGACATTAGCCATCAATGCAATGAAATCAAAAAAGGAACACAATGCCCCTGACCTCATCTGCAATGTTGTCCATGCTGATCCTTGATTTCCACTTGTGCTCTTTTCAGCTCCACTTGTCCCTTGCCAGGCCCTCTTGCAAGAAATCCATACAACCATGAAGATCTTTCCAGTACAGAGCAACAGAAAATCAGACCAACAAGATGTGAGAAGCAAATTAAAAATTGTGTAGAATAACAATGAAAATGAAAGTGATTTGTACTGGCATTGCCTCAGAGGAAGGCGCCTTTGCCATAGTCCAAGCATTGCCAAATTATAGAGATATAGCAAATTAGAAATCATGTAGAACAGATTTTTGCTACAAGTAGATATTGAGGACCCAGAGAGGAAGGAAATTCAATACAAGTACAACAAAATTATTTCTGTACATAAAACAATGAACTACCACACCTTGCTCAGTCAAGTGCAAGTAGTCTTGCACATCAGCCAGGCCATACATACAGCCTGTCTCAACAAAGGTGGCATTGCTGTCATGTGGGTCAAATACAACAAACCAAAATCAAGTATCTGTACAAAAAAGGCCACCATTTGGCTGGAGGGTGTGCAGATACTGGTGTTACAGCCCTGACCATCAGAACATGCTGCCAGATAGTTGGTTGCAAATCAAACTACTAAAAAGGCAAAAAAACAAAATGAAAGAAAAAGTTTGTTGATTTGCAAACAAAAAGAAAGAATAGTCCTTTTGCAAAATGGTCTTTTTGCAAAACAGGTAGAATGGTCTTCAAATCAAACAAAAAAATATAAAGAAGAAAAAAAGAAAAAAGGAAAGAAAAAGCTGCCACAGCACACAGTTCAGGAGAACTGTAAATGCTCACATGGCTCCTTTTTTTGCACAATGATTGTATTTGCACATGGCCAGAATTTTGTGTTTCTTTCTTTTTCCCTTTTTGTCTTTGAATATTGTGCATTCTTCATACTTGGAACCCAAAAGCTTATTTCTACAGATGGAGGGAAATGGTGGGCTGTTTGGAATGCCCTTCAATTTAATAGAACCTTCTGTACCTCTGTATCTGAGCAGATGAAGGAAGAGATGCAAAGGAAGCTTGCTCACAACAAGTATGAGGCAAGCACTAGCTTAACAGAGCTTGCCTTGAGAAAGGAGAGGGAGGCATTCCTGCACAACTTGAAAGGGATCAGGATGCAGTAGACTGATCTAAATGGCATGTTGTGTTCTTGGCCCTGAAGGTTATGTGGTACCTGTGCTTGCGCAGGTGCATCAGTGTGATGATCACAAGCTTCAGGTGTCAAAGAGCTCAACTCTCAGATCACAGGGTTGGCACAGGGCAGCTGGGGGTGCAGTGGAGCTTTACAGTGACATGGTCAACAAGTGAAAGCAGCCAACATGCTTGAAGAAACCATCAAAGAAGAAGCCCAAGAAGACACAGACAACCAGAAGGTGTGGGTGGGTGGAATGGATGGATGGTTGCTCCATGTGTGCACCTTGCTGCAATGATGGTGCATGATTTACAACCACTGAGTGTGGTGGCATGTTGGCAACCATGTGGGCCACATGGCCAAGACCCTATTTTACAGTACCAAGTGGTAATTGGAGATGACAAAGCTGACCACCACAACAAGTGAATCAGTTCTGTCCAGCAATACAACAGTTCAACCTCAAGGGAGGCACCTCTGGGTGGACAGTGGTTGACATGTCATGCTAGCTTGTGGCCAAGCAGAAATCAGACATCTGAAATTATGGGTTTCTGTTGCATGGTTTCAGGGTTACTCATGTATCCATGTTTTCTGGTTCCAACTTGGGGGGAGGTTTGTGAAAAGGAACCAAAAAGGGGGCTTTCTTGATACACCCTTTTCATCACTAGCATACAAATTTTATCATTCTTCATATGTCCTTGTACTTATGTAAAGCTCAACACATGGAGAGTAGAGAGGACATGGTGGTAGTGGACCAACTCAAGGAGGAGCTGTGTGCAATCCAAGCCAATCTTCCCTGAGGCTACATTTTCATTCAGCCAGCCAAAGGTGGGCCATTCCGCTGGTTCGCCTGCCTCTGGGGTCCTGCCGGCACTCCCTATGCCGAGGGGTTATTCCACCTAGATCACCTTCTCACAAGACTATGTACATCTCTCCCAGTTTCTCACTTATCACTCCCTCACAAACTCACGCCATTGCCACCCAGCCCCTCGAGCCTCCTGGGATTATCTTCCGAACCAAGACCTACAACCCTAACATTGCTGAGAACGGGACGATTCACTTCCCTGCCTTGCTCCCCGATAATTGGGCCAAGGCTCCCCTTTATATGGCGGAGGTGTTGAATGGAATCTTCGCTTTTTTCCTGCCGGACACCAGGGCTGGTACGTGAAAAGCGGGTGGCTTGTTGAGTAGTCAAACTGTTTGTGTTGAACAAGCAATATTTGTGTGGAACACAGAAAAGCCTCTGCCGAATGCCACTGGTGACCTCTGCGAAAAGGACACAGTCGCCAAGGCGCGGGAGTGGACCACGGAGTATGCAAGCAAATTGTATGTGGTAGTTGTACAAAATGCGTAATGATACTATGGCTGATGGAGATGTCGCGAACAACAGGAACATTCCAGCAGAGTGCAGCCCACTACCGGCCCAGGTCATGGCGAGCCTCGGAAAGAGGAAAGCGGATGAGATCGGAGGAGACTCGGTGGTGGGCCCTCGACAACTGGTGAAGGCAAGGATAGCGGTGGCAGCACCAACAGTTCCTGTTGGGCTCAAAGGGCTGCGCAACAGTGGTAACTCCTGCTATTACAACAGCGTCATCCAGGTTATCCTCAATCCCCAATCCATGGCCGGTTGTACTCACGCGTTGGACTAAATGGCCGATTGTCTTGGTGGTCACCACCCACCAGTGTCTTGTGCGCCTTCCTGTGATGCGAGAGTTTGCTCAGGCCTCCCAGCCAGACGACTCGCGTCCGTTCACCCTCGCCCTTCGCAAGCTTATCACGAGCATGTGGGACGCCACTTGCACGGAGGTCGCATCCGAAGATCTACGCGTCTGTATCGTTGCCAAGTATGTCATCATTATACACCAAATTCACTGTTTATGTCATGTTGTGTTTTATCCTTACCAACATGCCGGCCAAAGGTACCTCCTGGGAAGCCACCAGCACCAAGATGCGCAGGAGATGCTATGGTGCCTGTTCAACAGTCTCCAGGACGAGGAAGACCAGCGTTTGCAGAGCAAGCAACCCAACTTTGCTCGAATCAACTTCTACAGCATGTTTTGGAGCACAGTTAGCTGTCGAGGCTGTTCTCACGTACCTAGCACCTGCCTTTGATGTCCTGAGCACCTGACTCCCGACACGAACGAACACAATGGCCAACCCAGGCGAGTACAACAGATGACCCCACTTTTCCCATCTCCGTTGCCATTCCGCCGCGGGAGATATCACCGATCACGCTGTTGGCATGCCTCAACAACCACTCAGCCCTCGAGTCAATCGAATATACTTGCAGTGGCCCGAGGTGCCGGGGCGGTGGCGCCACCAGGCAGCTTCGGATCCAAAATGTCGCACCTGTCCTGGTCATCCATCTGAAGCGCTTCTCCTCAGATGCAGGCGTAATGTACGGCTCTTCCCTCAAACCCCACCCCGATTCCATCATATGGCGTGCGCGCGTATCCACACACCTTCTCACAAAAGCACACGCACACTCAGTAAAAAGCGCGATGACCACGTTCAGTTCCCTCCAACCCTGCCTTCGGCACTCGGCAAAGGTGTCCCGTACGAGCTGTGCGGTGTCGTCGAGCACACGGGCACGATCGATCAGGGGCACTACGTAGCCTACGTGCGTGCCGAGGACCAGCGCTGGTACAAGCTCGACGACGCCAAGCCTCCGCGCGAGGTCTCCTTCGACGGAGTGGTTGCGCGGTCCAACGCGTACCTCCTTTTCTACGTGCGCGCCGGTGGCCCGGACCTCGCCGCTCAACCAGCCACGTTGCAGCCAAAGGTCCCCTTCGAAGCACCGGTGGTACGCGCGGCCACAGTGACTCCAGGCACGATGATCCGCACCACCACCGCTACCACCATGGCCCCTCCTCCGGCACCCACGTCGCTGGGGTTGTCGTCGCCAGCCGAGAGGTCAGCACGACTGGCCATGGCGTGGCCGCTCCAGCGCGAGGAAAAGATCCTCTGCCGAAAGCTCAACGGCGTTAAGCCTGCGGGTGGCTACGATTGGCAAGAATCGGAGCTGCGCTGCGTAATTCACAATCGCCGGGTGGCAGAGGGCAGCCACCGCTACGTAGTACTGATCGACGTTCTGGGTGCTGCCTCGAAGGCCGCCCCGCACGTGCTCAAGGTCACCAAGCCCTTCATTACATCGCGGCTTCCGAAGGAGATCAGCCTCATCGCGCTGCTCGAGGCCGAGGTGCGCATGCAGGCTCGAGGCCGAGGCCCACCAGCTCGCTAAGCGCTGGAACGAGCTAAAGATCTCGCACAAGCCGATCCGCTTCAACCCGGTCCACGTGGTCCAACTCCAGCGTGAGCCGCCTCAAGTGGGCCTGCTGGAGCCCTTCCTCGAGGGGGCCTACGTGAAGCACAACGACAACGCCGGCGGCGTGTACATGCCCGTCGAGGGGCGCGAGCGCGAGACACCGCAAGCCTTCAGCCACTTCACATTCGTAGCGACCAAGGGCCGCGGGCTGGTGTGCGACATCCAGGGCGTCGGCGACTTGTTCACCGACCCGCAGATCCACACCGACCCGCGCGATGAGTTCCCTGTGCCGGGCAACAGAGGGCTGGAGGGCATGCGCGACTTCTCCATGACCCACCGCTGCAACCCGCTCTGCTTCGCGTTCCTCAAGAAGCTCGACGCCGAGGCCAGACCCCTCCCCTGAGCCAACATGTTAGTGCCGCGGACGCAACAAATTGCACCTGTCGACACGAAATAATGTATTTTCGGTTTAATAATAATAATTATTATTGCATTGTGCTGGCCAGCTTGGAGATGTACTCGTATGGGCGACTCAGTCGTGATGCCGGTGGCAACCGCACCGCGGACCTCTCCACCCGCAGTGACGACGAAGACGAAGCCAGCGCTCCGGGCGATGAGGTACCCCACCCAGTTGAATAACCCAGTTTTTATTCCTTACTTTTTTTAATTTGGGTACATAAAATTGCAAGTAAAATTTATTTAAATTTAATAAATTTGATATTTATTTCGCACAGGCCGAGGTGGACGGCTTCATCGGGTACCGCAACTGCTCGTGGAAGCTGGTGGCCTACTGGGTGGGCGTGGTGCTGACCGGCGGCGCGCTGGGCCTGTTCACGCTCTGGTGGCCCGGCATGTGGCCCGCCCTCACCAAGAAGCGCGCCAGCATGGCCGATGCCACCTCCTTCCTCGTCCAGGTGCGTCCTCCTCGCATTGGCGTCGATCGTGCGTGGACTCACATATGCGCGTGTGCCGTCGCGTGTGCCGTGTGTCGCACGTGTGTTTGTTCGTGTGTCGGTCGTGTATTGCGCGTGTGCGGTCGTATAGGCGCAAGGCCGGTATAAGATGGCCTACGTGCAGACGGAGTGGGACGACGTGCGATGGTTCGAGATCCAGCAGCTGCGATTCGTCTACCAGCCCGAGGCTGCGACATATGTCCGGCTACAGTACGCATACCCCCTGCACCAAGAAAGGAACACACGATGCATTCGCGCATTCCATGCGTGCCGCACACATCGCACACGCACACGCACACGCACACGCACCACCGCACACGCGCTAGACGTTCAGCTCCTCCCATGTGAATCGCCACCAGGCATTACAAGGACCTCAAGTGCGTCGACATTCCTCAGCAAGCCGTGGGCATTCAGCGTGACGTGGCACTGCATCGTCTCCGGTACGCGCCAGCACCACCCCACACGCTGACGCCGTCTCTCTCTCTCTCTCTCGGCTGTCGCTCTGCTGATGTGTTCGCGTTCGTTCGTGGATGGGTGGCAGCATGAGCGGACCCAATGCGTTCAACATTCCACAGGACCACATCGTCGTCGCTTGGCTTCGCGGGGTACAGCTTCACCTCATCATTTATCACATATGTGCAACACACAACACACAACACACGCAGCACCCACAACACACACAAAACACACAACACACAAAACACAACACACGCACTGCTCATGTGTGTGTGGTACCCAATCCCGCAGATGCTCTCGCCTTTCCATGTCTTCATCCTGGGCACCTGCATCCTCTGGTACGTCGACGACTACACGGTACGTGCAGCTCTCTCCTCCGCCAAGGCCAACACCGCAACCGACAAAGTTAAACTTTAAGCGTAAACTTGTAACTGACTGCCTGTGGGGCGGATGGTCAGGTCTTCGCGTCGGTCATCCTCGCCGTCACCATCATCTCCGTCTCGCTGACCGTATGGGACGAACGTCGCAACATCAACCGCATTCAGAAGCTTATCAACCAGTACGCTCGCCCTTTTCTCTCTTTATATATTCTTTATGATTATTATTGGAGTGTTTTTTTTTGTGTAAAGGGGGAAAACAAACATGACTCATCGTCGTATTCGAGGCAATCGGTGGTCGAAACGCTGCGCGATGGCTCGTGGTTGGCGCTGCAGAGCGGCGGCCTGGTGCACGGGGACCTCATCACGCTCGACGACAACCAGGTTCGCCGCTCCGCTGCCCCGACAAGCACCGCTTTGATTTTGTAGACGCGCCATAACGGTCACACGCTAATCACCTGGGCGTTTCCAGGTCGTGCCCGCGGACGTGGTGATCGTGTCCGGCGAATGCGTCGTGGACGAGTCGCAGCTCACCGGCGAGTCCACGCCCGTCCGGTACCTGCCGCCACGTCATGCCACGTCACGCAGCCCTCGCTTGCTGACGTCACCGTGCGCACGACACACAACACGACGACAGGAAGTACGCAATTACGGAGAAGGAGGAAGAGGACGAGGCCAGTCCTTCGATCTATTCGCAGGCGCACGACATCAAGCACACCCTCTTCTCCGGCACCCGGCTGCTCAAGGTCATCCCGCGCCAGGGCACCGACCGCGTCACCGCCTTCGTCTACTCCACCGGTGCGCGTTCGTATGCGTTGCGTGTGCGTTGCGTGCTATCGTTTGACGCCCCGACACGACACACAACACACGACACGACACGACACGACACGCACAGGATTCAACACCAGGAAGGGCGGGCTCATTCGCCGGATCCTGTACCCGAACGACGTGGTGTTCCGCTACCGCCGGCACACGATGCTGTTCATCCTGGCGCTCATTCTCGTGGCGCCCGTCTCGTTCACCGTCTCCTTCGTCTTCTGGGACTCCTACGACGTCGGGACGTGGGAGAACATCCTGCGCTCCCTCGAAGTCATCACCCTCCTGGTGCGAATCTTATAAGTAACCCCACCGAGTCTTCCGCGGCAACGACTGACGTGTGTGTCGTGTGTTTGACGTGGTGTGCGACGTGTGCGGTTGTAGGTGCCTGTGACGATTCCGATCATGCAGATGATGGCTCAGGGAATTGCCGCGCTCAACTTGCGTCAGTACGGCATTTTCACGATCGCGCCCTCGCGCATCATCATGAGCGGCAAGATCCGAATGATGTGCTTCGACAAGACCGTACGGCCACGCTCACGGATATCACCTACATCCACCCACTCTCCTTCTCACCCCCTTCGTTTTCGTTTTCGTTTCGTTTTCGTTCTTGCTTTGCTCTGGTCGCGCAGGGTACGCTCACCGAGAACGGCCTCCGCATGAAGGCCGTGCTGCCGACCGCGCACTCGGTGGGCGGCCGATGGGCCGAGTCCGACACCGAGGGCGAGAAGGCAGAATCATCGCGGCCCGGCCAGGGGCGTGACGCCGGCGTGCAGTTCGTGGCGGCGCCGGTCCTGATGGCCGCCCTACCGGCGTCTCATCTCATCAAGCAGGCCATGGCCTGCTGCCACTCGGCCACCAACATCGAAGGTGCACACAACACACGCGACACACACGACACACACGACACACGACACACGTGGCACAGGATTAACCCGATTGGCCTCTATAAAAAAGGCGAAGGATTGGTCGGCCACCCGCTCGACGTGGAAATGTTCAACGCGAGCCAGTGGCGCATGCGCGAAGGCAAGGAGGGCACCGTCTTTTCGTCTCCTTCTTCTTCGTCGTCGAGCAGCGCGGCGGGGAGGTCGGGACTAGAGCTGCGGGTCGTCAAGGCCTTCCCCTTGTGCACAGCCTGCGCCGAATGTCGGTCATCGTCAAATCTTCGCTCGACAACTCCATCAGCCTCTTCACCAAGGCACACGTCTTCGTCTCCTCTCGACTTGGCTCGGTTCACAGCTGAATTCCTCACATTCCTCCCCTCAACTGCGACACGCAACAGGGCTCGCCCGAAACAATACGCGACCTGGCACTGCCCGAAACTGGTTTGTTTCCCAGATCGTGTGTGCGCTCGTGCGTGCGTGTTGCGTGCGTGCGGTGATGTGTGTGTGCGATTGATGAGTGCTGACTGGGCACGGCATGCGGGTGCAGTGCCGGCTAACCTGGACGACACTCTGCGGGAGCACGCGCGCAAGGGGAACTACATTCTGGCCATCGGCGCCAAGTTCAACGTGCTCGATGATGAGGATGAGGTCCACCACGTCCACCGGAAGCAGATTGACAAGGACCTCGTCTTCCTCGGTGCGACGCTCTCTGCTCGCTGCCGCACGCACACGCACACGCACAGTTCGTTCTGACGACGCGCACGCCGCACACGCCCAGGACTTTTGATATTCCAAAATGAGGTGCGCGAGGACAGCGCGGAAGTGATCGCCAGGCTGAAGCACGGCGACATCCGCAACATCATCATCACCGGTAAAACGTGACCCCTCCCCAATCGTGTCTTCACGCACCAACACACACGTGCGTGTGTTGTGTGTGTCGTGTGCGCAGGCGACGGTCCCTATACCGCATTGGCCGTCGCCCGCGAGTGCGGCATGATCGATCTCGGCAGCACCGTCGCCCTGGGCCACACCGGCCAGGTACTCTATTTATTTATTTATTTATTTTTACTTATTTTTAATATCGTTCCTTCACTATTTTTAATTTAAATATTGTTAAAATTATTTGTAAAACCCACCAATCGTGGCTGTGTCGGGGCGCAGGACGGCACCACGTCGGCGCAGACGGCCGCGCCGCAGTACGGGGTCCAGTGGGTCAACGTCGACACGGGGCGGGAGATGGGGCAGGACTGGGTCGACGCCCACGAGTCGGCCAAGTACGTGGCCTTCGGCGACGGCCACGTCGTCCACAAGCGCCGCTCGACCCTGTCCCTGTTCGACCGCGTGCGCTGGTCGACCGGCGCCCGGCGTCAGCGCCAGCGCGACCGCCACCTTAACTTCACCGCGTACGATGACCGCAGCGGCCTCGACAGCGCGCTGCTCGCTGCTGACGTGGCGGGTGGTGTCGACATGGAATCGCCGCTGACGACGTCGGCGGAGGAGAGGCCGAGCGAGTTCATATTGACCGGGACGGCGTTCGACTACCTCAAGACGAGCGAGCCGCACCTGCTGGGCAAGCTCCTCTTCGACGTGCGCATCTTCGCCCGGTTCTCGCCCGAACAGAAAGCCGAGGTGCGCGCGTGCTGTGTGTCGTGTGTGCGGTGTGTGCGTGTGCGGTGTGGCACTTACCACACTCGGTCGCGTGGAACGTGTGCAGGTTGTGAATTTGATCAACAGTACGGGCCTGGTGACCGGCATGTGCGGCGACGGAGGCAACGACTGCGGCGCCCTCCGGTACCGTTCTTTCTTCCCTGGGCCGCGCTGTGTGTGCACGCGCGCCGTGTTCTGACCGACGCATACACGACACACGACACACAGGGCGGCTCATGCCGGGATAGCGGTGGGCGGCGGTGGCGTGGAGGCTTCTGTCGTAAGCCCCTTCACCTCATCCCTCGCCTCGATCCGCTGCACCGAAATCCTGATTCGGTACGCACGCGGCACACGACACACGCCAAAATGGCACGACACGACACACGACACACGCGCCACTGGGCTAAAGCTGGGTGGGCCAGCGAGGGACGCGGGGCGCTGGCAAACTCGCTGGCGGCGTTCAAGCTGCTGGTGCTCATCTACGTGGTGATCCTGCACACGGTCATCCTCCTCCTCTACCACCACGGCTCCGATATGTCCGATGGGTACCCCCTCCCTGCATGCGCATATATGGTGTGTCGTGCTGTTCTAATATATTTGTACATTTCTCTATATACGTGTGTGTGTATATATATACACACACACAATATGTAGGATGTATATATACCAGGATCTGTTGCTCGTCTTCCCGCTCTCGCTGTTCATCCTCTACCCCAACTCCGCGACCAGGCTCGCACGACAACGGTACCACTATGGCACTCCATGCAAACGGCGGTCGCAATGCAACCACTCAACTGCTCATTCACCCCCCCCCAATTGCAGGCCATCGGCGAGTCTCCTCAATTCGACGGTGCTCGCCTCCATGCTCGGCCAGGTGCGCGCAGAACGCGGCACACGCGCGCTCGTCAGTGTGGCCTGACTTGAATCAGACTTTGAGCGCTCACTTGAATGTGTGTCGTGCGGCGTGCGTGTGTCGTGCGGCGTGCCTCGCGCGTTGTGTGTCAAAAAAAAGTCTGGGATTGTGATTGCGTTTATCGTGGGGTCGCGGCAATTGCTCTACGCCCAGGACTGGTACGTCTCGTTCGACCCCGTAGCCAACGGAGCCTCCGCCCGAAGGTACGGCGCCACATTTTGATTTTGTTTGTTATTATTTTTGTTGTTATTAATTATTAATTACATTCGGAACAGCGACTACTGGAAGTCGTACGAGACGACGACGCTGTGGGTCTTTTGCAACTTCCAGTACATCGCGGCGGCCATCGCGTTTGCCATCGGACGGCCCTTCCGCAAGGAGATCTGGCACAACTGTACGACCACCACACGACACACACGACACGCAACATTAATTGATGTATTACTGGCGCAGACTTGTTGAGCCTAAATGTCCTCGGTTCGCTCGCGGCGGCCAGCTGGGTGCTGCTGCTGCCACCTGAGTGGCTCCGCGACGTGCTCTACCTGGTACCTCTCTCTTCCCCCTTCCCCTCTGAGCGGCGATTGTTGCTGACAACACGCACACGCACACGCACACGCACAGGAGGATCTAAAGACAGACTTCAAGATCAAGTTGTATTTCATGGCCCTGGGCTGCATGGTCACGCAGGTATTACACTATACTTGCACTGCGCTGCGTTGACTTTTTCTTTGCACACGACCACTCACTGCACATGTGTGATGTGCGTGTGTTAGGTGCTGTACGAGGCATTCATCACGATGGGTCCGTTTGCATGGGTCATGCGGCGCATCAGTCGCTGGCTCAACCTCAGAAAGAAACACCGCCTCCGCAACTAAGCCAGGCTGAGGCTGGGACTCTTGTGGACATCATGTGCATTCAAGAGAGTAAAGGGTCAGCCAAAGCAAAGAGAGAACACCAGGAACATTCCACTCCAAGGTGATGTGGACAATGTGCAGTTTCCAACTTTATTTGGTGTCAACTCACCATTGAGCTATCACATAAGTTGCTGATGAATTTATTTGGGCCTGCCATGTCACATCAAGCAGAAGTGACCTGCCCTCCTGAGGATGAGGAGGTTGAGGATGATGATCTGCTGGACTTGGACTATGACTGGGACCCTTGTCATCTGTTGCTTGATGGTGACTACAAAACCATCACAGAGGTCATGAAGTGACCCCAGCTCCAAAAGGCCTAAAGGGCTGGAATTGCACATCCTCTCTGCACCAGATATGCACAAGGCAATGCTAGCAGATCATGGAGCCAGTCTTACACTGAGCCTGGCTACAATGAAAGGGAGCTTGAGGCCATTGAGTGAGTGGGAACGTGGTGGTGTGTTCCCCCAGCTGGTGGTCATGAGTGGGTCTCTTATTGGTGGAACTGCACCACCAAACTGCCTCACAATAGTGGCTTGTCATTGGTGGTGTGGTCAGGTGGATGTCATGGTGTACAGGCCATATCCTTGGTGATTAGCTGGTAAACTCAGAGATTTACTCTTCACCAACAGATGGGGGTTGAAGGTGTGAAGAAGCACAAGCCCATGCCAGCAGGCCTGAGATCAATCTCATCAACAGCCCAACTCAAATGGAAGGAGTGGTGGCAGATAATCAGACAGGACTCACCAATACACATCAGCACCAACGGCTATGCAGCCTTGGCCACCCACTTACTTCTCCTTGAGATATAGGCAGACATTTAGATGCTGGCCGCTGTCATCTATTTCTGGTGGCTGGATCCACAATCACTGACAAACACTCCCCAAGGAGCGTGGGAAGAGATTGGGGCGGTTTTTTTATCTCCTCCTGCGCAATGAAGGAGGAGAGAACAGAACAGGCACGGCTGGTGATGTCCGATCTTTACAGGCCGTAAGAAGTGGGGGACGCTTAGTAGCGGTAGTGGTCGGGCTTGTAGGGTCCGTCCTTGGCGATGCCGAGGTACTTGGCCTGCTTGTCGGTGAGGACGGTGAGCTTGGCGCCGAGCTTCTCGAGGTGGAGGCGAGCGACTTCCTCGTCGAGCTTCTTGGGGAGCGTGTACACGCCCAGCTCGTACTTCTCCTTCCAGAGGGAGATCTGAGCAAGGGTCTGGTTGGTGAACGAGTTCGACATCACGAACGAAGGGTGGCCGGTGGCGCAGCCCAAGTTGACGAGGCGGCCTGAAGTGCACAAGAGAACGGGTGAAGGGTGAGCGACAAGGCCACGAGGCAGTGAGGAGGGAGAATCGAGTGTGATAGAACTCAGGTAATGGAAATTTGGAATCACGAAGTAGTCATGTGAATCATCGTTAAGGCATCATAGTGGTCGTAAACGAAGACGGAGTGAACTCAATAATGAGTGGCGAGGATGGGTGAGAGCGAGCGTACCCTCAGCGAGGAGGACGATGGCATGGCCGTCGGGGAAGACGAACTGGTCGACCTGAGGCTTGATCTCGATCCTCTTGATACCGGGGAACTCCTTGAGGGCCTTCACCTGGATCTCATTGTCGAAGTGACCGATGTTGCACACGATGGCGTTGTGGCGCATCTTCTCCATGTGCTCAATGCGGATGATATCGCAGTTGCCGGTGGTGGTGACGAAGATCTCGGCCTTGTCGAGCACGTCCTCAATGCGGACCACCTCATAGCCAGCCATGCAGGCCTGGAGGGCGCAGATGGGATCGACCTCAGTCACGACGACGCGAGCACCCTGGCCCTTGAGGGACTCAGCGGAACCCTTGCCGACGTCACCGTAGCCGAGCACGCAGGCGACCTGAGGTGCAACAAAGAGGGGAGAGAGACCATTAGCAGCTTGTTCGCACCGCAGTTGTAGGTCAACCGAGATTGTAAATAAATTTGGCAACCAATCAGTGTAACTATGACATTTAACAAACATGGGAATGCTATGCATCGCGCTTCTATCGACTAGGTGTCGTCATTTTGCCAGCAAATGAAAAATAACGAGAATCGGAAAAATTGGTAATTTAATTTTCGTACCTTGCCGGAGAGCATCACGTCGGTGGCGCGCATGATGGCGTCGACGAGCGAGTGACGGCAACCGTAGACGTTGTCGAACTTGGACTTGGTCACGGAGTCGTTGACGTTGAGGGCGGGGAAAAGGAGCTTGCCCTCCTTCATCATCTCGTAGAGACGGTGGACACCGGTGGTGGTCTCCTCCGAGACACCCTTGAGCTCGGGGACGATCTTGTGCCAGTAACCGGGCTGCGGAGTAGACAGCAAAGGTTAATTTTCAGAACGCGTTACAAAATTGGAAGTAGAAACGAATATGTTTTCCGATTTCGTACCTTCTCCTTCTGGATGCGCTTCAGGAGCTTGTTGACGATGGCGAGCTCCTCAGAACCCTCGTCGTCATCAAGAATGGAGGGGTTGTCCTCAGCGTAGAAACCGCGGTGGACCATGAGGGTGGCTGAAGAGGAAAATCTCAATCAGAAAGTACAAATACGTAGAAAGAGGGCTTGGCTGCGTACCATCACCACCATCGTCGACGATGAGCTGGGGACCCATGTCGTCGGGGAAGAGGAGGGTCTTCCAGGTGCACTCCCAGTACTCCTCGAGGGTCTCACCCTTCCAGGCGAAGACGGGGGTACCGGCGGCCACGATGGCGGCGGCGGCGTGGTCCTGGGTCGAGAAGATGTTGCACGAGCACCAACGGACGTTGGCACCGAGGGCCTGGAGGGTCTCGATGAGGACGGCGGTCTGGATGGTCATGTGGAGCGAACCGGCGAGCCTGACTCCCTTGAGGGGCTGCTCAGCGCCGTACTTCTCGCGCGTCTGCATGAGACCGGGCATCTCGTGCTCAGCGAGGTTGATCTCCTTGCGACCGAACTCAGCAAGGCTGATGTCCCTGATTTCGTACTGGAAGGCATTGCCAGCGGGCTGGGTCTGAGTTTGGGTCTGCATGATGTCAGGAGATGAAGGAGGAAGTAGTGGCTGTGTGAACGCGGGCCTGGTAAAGAACGGACAAAGAAAAAACCGACGGCCGGCCGCCCTCCGCTACTTATGCGTGGCGGCCGGCCTTTTCAACTCCGTGGGCCGGGTGTCGGTGGTGGGAAAAAATGGGGAATTTGATGAGTCATGCCCGGTCGGTCCGCCCTCTTACACGCGTGTGCGTTACGGCTTCGGGCCGCACACGACACGAATCGTCAAAAGAACATCACCCAACCAGTTGAGGCTGTGTTCGGTCTATTTCTACCCACGGGGAAAAAACGGAACGCACAGTTGGGACCCACGGAGAGTTGTGCATGACCATGTCATCTGGCACGGGCCACACTACGCCAGCTGAAGAAGACAGGGGGGGTGGAAAGAGAAAGAGCGAAAGAGAAGGAATATATCAACAAGACAGGCGCGGTGCCGGTGGGCAATACAAAAAAAAGCAAAGAAAGAAAAGGGTGGAAGAGGGAGGGAGAAGAGGTGGTGCTGCTGGTCGACTTGTCCCCGCGGGGATCAGGGCTTCTTCTTCTACTACTGGAGGATGCACTTCTTGCCCTCCTCATTGCCCACGCTCTTGCAGGCCTTGATCCTCCTCACCAGCTCGAAGAAGGCCTCCGTCACGTTGGTGTTCTTCTTCGCCGACGTCTGAATCGCGGAAGAGGATTGTCAGCCAGCGCCACATGCCTCACGCGCCGATGGGTCCTGCAGTGGCCGAAGAGGGGAAAGCAGGAGAGGGGTACCTCGAGGAAGGGCGCGTTGAACTTCTGGGCGAGCTCTTGGCCCTGCTGCTTGGTCACCTGCCTCTTGTCCTCGAGATCGGCCTTATTGCCCGCCACCACGAACGGGATCTGTGTTTGTGTGACAACAAACCACCGCACACGCACAACACGAAAGCACACAGCACACCGCACACGCCACGGATGAGCGATCGCGACCCCAGCGAGCGAGCGAAAGGCTGAGAACGTGGCCTCGTACGCCGTCGTTTTCGGTGACTCGCAGGATTTGCTCGTGGAAGTTGGTGAGTAGTCTGTAGCTGTCCTCGATGGTGATAGAGTACACGCACAGGAAGCCCTCCCCCGTGCGATAGTAGTTGTCCCTCATCGCTGTAGCGGAGTGGCGTTGCGGTGTGAGTAGAACAATCAAGATGGGAGAGAGAGAGAGATGAGATTCAGGAGAGATGGAGGCGAGGGGGAAGCGGGCCAAGGGGGTACCGGCGTATTCCTCCTGGCCGGCGGTGTCGAGAATGTCAAGCTGCATCTCTTCGCCATCGACTGTGATCTTTTTTCTGTTGTACGCACATGAGAAAGGAATGCGTAAATTGGAGTTTCACGAGAAGGCGGCTGGTTGTTGTGGGTGGCACGACGTACCGGTAGGAGTCGGCCGAGNNNNGATCATATCTTTACAAAGTAGACAACAATGAAGAGAATTAATCAAAGCGCAAGGAAAATCAGAAAACAGGTGATGTCGAGAATGAGAATTCGCGATACGTACTCTTCCACAAAGTCCCCATACATGAACTGGAGGGTCAGGGCGGATTTGCCGACGCCTCCCGCACCGACCACGATGATCTTGTGGAGGGGCAGGTCCTTCTTCTTTCCTCGTCGCGGCATCTCCTTCGCTTCGTTCTTTTTTGACTTTCTCTCTTCTCTTCAGGATGGTATTATACAACGATTTGGTTTCGACGTCACGAAATCAAATCTCCCCTCGCTTCCTCGCCGTGTTTCTTCTGCCCTTCTCTCCTCTCCTCCTTTCCTTGGTGTCGGGGATCGTTGTTGTTGCGGGTGCCGATGGTTGTCTTCGTCTTCGTCGGTGTCGCCCAAATTGCACCCCTCGGAGGATTGGCGGGGCCAACGAATTAATATTTTATTATCATAAATTTATTGGCTACCGATCGGCAGGCCCTCACAGCTCCTCCCTGTGGGTGTTGTCCTTCTTGGTGGTGGCCTTCTTCTTGTTGCCTCCCTTCTTCTTTTTCTTCTCCGCGGGCTTCTTCGTTACCTCCACCACGGCGGTGAGCTGCTCAAGAGAGCCGCCCCACGACTCGGATGGTCGCACTGAGAGTGCGAAGGCACCGAGTTAGCAGGGATCCGGCGTGGCCTTCCACACATCGGCGTATGAGACTCAGAGTGGTGCATACCCTGGGCAAGCTCTGCATCTACGACGTACTGGCCGCTTGGCACCATCTTACCGCCACCCTGCATCGGCACACATCACACCACACACCACACACACCACACACACAACGACGATAAGACACACACGACACACAACGTGGTGCATGCGCGACAACATAACGGCGCATGGCCGGACGTGAGTGCTTGGCATGGTACACATCATGAGGGAAGAATGTACATGGAGATCGGCAGAGGTGAGCTTGACGCTAGCGCCGGTGCCGGCGGGTTCGAGGGCGAGGAGGAACTGGCTCATGAGGAGATAGGAGGGCGGGTTGGGCCGTCCCACAGTGCACACGTAGGTGTTTGCCTCGACGGGCGCGATTCTCACCTTCCAGTTCTCGCCCGTGCCTCCGCTGCACTTGTAGGTGAACGTGCACGCAACTCCAGCCTCCTCCTGAGCAGCCCACCAGTGCCCAGTACTCTCCGTTAGCGTCCGAAAAATCGAGTAGCGCCACAAATCTTCAAGATGAAATCGAAAGTAGTGGCGAATGAAAGACGGTGAGGTGCCAGTTGAAAGGGCATGCAAGTGGGTCAGAGCAACAGGCAGCACAAAAGATGAGGGAGCAGGCACCGAAACAATGCGGACATGCTGCTCCTCGACGCCAGGGCGCAAGTGGAAATCCTCCTCCACCACACCGTCCTCACCCGCAATCGCAAGACCCACCATGGCCGCCAGGGCCAACGTGGCCAGCACAGCAAAGAGCTTCATCTTGTACTTCTACCGTGACGTCACCTCTGCGGTATTTTAATTCTTTGACCTTCTAGAAAATGATAAAGAAATAAATAAATAGATAAACAAACAAACAAAAAACCAGTAGCGAGGCAACATGACGATGTCTCTGGTTGGCGGGGCGGGGTACTATTACTCGTTCATCATCGTGGGCAAACGAGATAACCCCCTCTTCGAGATAGAATTTGCTGGCCCCAAGGTACGCAGATTTTATATCAATTCATTATCAAATCAAATAAATATAATCAAATGTAATAAATGGCAACGCTCAGATTTGTCGATGTGCGAGCAGAAGGAGGTGTCGCAGCAGCCCGAGGCCCAGTTCGTGATCCACGCTGCACTCGACCTGGTGGAAGAGCATGTCTGGAAGAACCCCCAGATGTACGCCTTCCCACCTCCACTTCTACGTCCAGCTTGCAGCGGCTGATGGGACGGGCATGGCAACGTGCAGGTACCTCAAGGTGGTGGACAAGTACAACGACAAATACTTCATCTCGGCCTTCGTCACCGCTGGCCGTACGCTCGCCCTTGCCGTGTGACCCGTCGTGTGTGTGGACGTGTGCCATCTCCGTGTGTGCGCGCGAACGCGTGTTCGATGGCGTGACGCTCAGGGTGGTATCCCTCTTTCTCTATGTTCATCAGACGAGCGCTTCATGGTGCTGCACAACACCAAGAACGAAGATGGAATCAAATACTTCTTCCAGGAGGTGCATGAACTCTACATCAAGGTATTCACATCACGAACGCCTTTTCACCTTCGCTCGTTATACTGACCGCACACGTATACGACATGCACACGCACACGTACCGCACACGCACACGCGCCGACTACCATCATCGTGTGGTGGCGCTCTCCAGGTGCTGCTGAACCCCTTCTACAAGGCGGACACACCGATCACATCGCAGGTATTCCAGAAGAGGGTGAAACAGCTGGGCCGAAAGTACCTCACCTGATTGTAGAAGTTTCGGTACACCACCACCACCACCCAGAACGAGAACGAGAAGAAGGTGGCGACACAGCACTCACACAGTGATTGTGTTGAGAATGAATGAACCCACCAATAACCAAGCTCACCAATCAATTTGAAAGACGTGGGAGCCTGGGCTTGCCCGGCCGGGCGTTGTGCAGGGCGAACTGCCCAAGCACACCTTTTGGCTTACCGTGTTTCCGTGTGATCTCCGGAATGCCAACTATGTGCCGCGTAGCCAGCAACACATTGTTGGCATTCCGCACGTCGCTCAGGTGCGCTGCGGGATTTAACCAGGGATACCGCCGCGGTGACAGGGAACATAAGTCCCGTGTCCCTCTGCGAAAGAAGGTGGCAGGGAACATGTGGGCGCGTTGGGGGACTTTCAGAGTTCGCTGTCGCCGGGACTCGACACGGGTGAGTCTTCCATCTTCGCCTTCTCGCACCACCCACGTCTTCCGTCTTCCCCCCCGTGAGAACACGCTCGCCTCCTGGTCATCGAAGAGACGACATGACGTCCACCTTCGTGCCCCAGTTGCCACCACCATCACCATCTTCTTCTACTTCTTCTTCTGGTCGTGCGTTGGGACAGCTGAGCGAGGAGGAGCTCTGGACGTTGGTGAAGGCAGCCTCGCAGTCGTCCTCGCCCACCACAGTGCTGGCAGGCCTACTCACCTCCCTGGCCTCAGCTTCTTCTTCTTCTACTTCGACTCCTTCTACTTCTTCCCATCCCTCCTACACAGCTGCCTCCTTGGCCCCAGGCCACCTGCGAGCCTTCATCACAGCGCCCCCTTCTTCTTCTTCTTCAGCCCAACAACTCGCAGCTGCCGCCCATCTCTTCAACAGCAGCAGTGGCGACCAGGAGGAAGACGAAGACGAGCGCCTCTACACCGAGTTACTGCGCGACATCTCACTGGGCGACGTAGATCTTGGTCGAAGGGCAGATTACCACCACCTTCTTCTCCACTCCCCGCTCCCGGGTGCCCGGAACCTGGCACCGCGGCGTCATCGCCGTTGAATGGTTCGGACCTCCTTCTCCTTCTCCTTCTGAGATCTGTCTTTTCATGTCTCTACCGTTTTCTCTTCTGTCTGTTGTCATTTGTGTACTTCAACTTTCCTCTACAACTTTTATTCTTTCTTTCTTGTTCTACACGTTCTCATAAGCTCACGAAGATGTGTCTCTCTCGAACGACCACAGAGTCGTCGCCTCTCTCGTTCTACAACGACGACGACGAAGGCGACCACCACTTCCTCCCCTTTGACGGCTACGACGACCTGCCGCTCTGCCAGCAGCCGCCGTCATCGCCACCCGCTACAACGAAGCGTCGAGCCCCGCCGCCGTGCCCCCCTCCCGATGAGCCGCTACTGGCTGGGCTGGATCACATGATGACCCCTACGCACTCCTACCACCCCTCGCCTTCGTCTTCTTCAACCGGCAGCGCCGCCACATCTACGCCGACCACGACATCATTCTCGTCCTCTACGCCACCATCATCCTCATCCTCATCTACCTCGGCCTCTTCATCAACCGCGCCCACCCCGCAGTTTTCCCTCCTACACACGAACTCGCACGCGCACCACCTGCTCGACCTTCTACACAACGTCAGCGGCGGCACGCCGGGCTCCATCATCACCACCTCGTCGTCGGCCTCGCCGCACCACTGTGGGAAGGCCGGCGGTGAGCCGTCGCCGTTCCAAGCGCCATCAGGTGGCGGCGGCAGCCGTCAACAAGGCCAGCACCAGCAGCACCAGCACCAGCAGCACCACCAGCAGCAGCAGCGCCGAAGCAGGTCACCGATCCGCAGCGGTGGCGGCGGTCAAGGGCAGCATCCGTCGGAGGGGGTGAACCAGTTCCGGCTGAGCGTGCGCGTGCCGTCGCTGGGCGTGTTCTACGTGTTCGTCGATCCGCGAAGCAAGGTGGCCCGTCTGGTGACGATGGTCGAGCAGCAGGTGGCCGAGCTCTACCGGTCGCAGATCTCGGTCTACAAGCTCCAGGACGAGTTCAGCGTCGACCTCCCGCCGTCCTACACCGTTGGCTCCATGCTTCGTCACAATGCAACCGTCATGGTCGACTACGAGCGCCGGGACTACGCCGCCATGGCGGTTCACAACGACCAACACAACAGCCACCACCACCACCAGAACTTCAACAGTTCTGCTTCGTCTTCGTCTTCTTCATCGTCGCACCTGCCGCCGGCCGGGATGTCGTCGCCGGCCTCGTCGCCAACGATTCAGCGTAGGGGAGGTGTCACGTTCGCACAGCCGCAGCCCACAACCGCACTCTACTCGGCACCGATGGCGAGCATGACCGACAGCACCGCCTCCTCGCGGGCAGCCACCATGCAGCCGCCCGCGCTCGCGTCCGGCTTCACCGAATGTAAAACAGCACAACTATCACACTTCATCTCCGGCTCCTCTTCTTCGTCTTCGTCTTCGTCTTCCTCCTCTTCTCTTCCTTCGACGACGTACGAGAGCTCTACAACGATGTCGGCGTCGTCATCATCGTCGTCACTCTCCCAGCCGGCTTCGACTCCGGCCTCGACCACCACCGTCTCCCCCGTCGAGCCGTCGTCACCTCCGGTCGCGGCGCCGGGCGCATCTCTGGGCGCCGGCGGGCCGACGTCAGACATGCAGTTCAGCGAACAGCCGCCGGCCAAGGTCTTCCAGAACAAGGAGTTCAGCTGCACCATATTGGTGGCCAACCAGCTCCTCGACAGCTTGCACGACCTGCCCGACGAGCGATCACGCTCCGCCCGAGCACCGCCGACGACGGCGGCGGCGGCAACGATGGTGATGACTTCGGCGGCCGACTCGATGACGACGATCCAGGCGGTGACGGGTGCGGACGGCAGCACTGACGGCGGCTTCGGCGGAGCGTCGGAGCTGCTGGAGCTGCTGCCGATCGAGGTGAGCGTGGTGGAGCAGAATGGGATGGTGCTGAGCGACCGCGACTACTCGATGCGACAGCTGCTGATGGACAAGCGCAAGGGGATGCTCATCGTCTTCATCAAGATCCGCAAGAACTCGTACTATGGTCGGCGGCCGTTCGTGGTCATGCTCCGCGGGCGCAAGCAGTTCAGCGCCCTGCCGCCGCTCTTCTCCGAGCCCATCATCGTGTCGGCCAAGAAGAAGAAGAAGCGATCGAAGAAGGCGAAGTTGCAGGCGGACAACAACACCACCCCCGCTGCTGCGGGCGGCGTGGCGCCATCGGGGCTCAACCCGCTACAGCCGGCCTTCGTCTCCCTGTCCTACCCTCCCACCTCGAGCGAACCTACTCTGCCATCACCATCACGGCGTCCTTCCTAGCCCCGGTTCGTTCCTCCACTCTGCAGCTTCAACCCGGTAACGCATCCATCTTTTGTTCTCTGAAGATTTTACATAAAAAAACACGGAAACAAAGGGAAGTGAACCGTTCTTTGACGATTCTCTTCCAATCTTGATTGAGATGAATGTGCACGTTCCAAGCCCCGAATGGTGGAGGCATGCAGAGGCAGAAGAGGCTCTTGATGGAGATGCGAAAAGGGAAGAAGTCAAGAAAGTAGATTTGGACATGGAGGGCAAGGTGGCGTTCATCCTCTACAACGTCCTCACCCCCGAGGAGTGCCAGCACCTCATCGACAAGACCGAGAAGATGGGCTACCGGCCCCTGCCCGGGTACTCCCCCTCGTACCGCAGCAACACGCGGGTCATCGTCGACGACCCCGACCGCGGCCTCACCAACGAGCTCTGGCGCCGACTCTCGCCCTTCGTGCCCGACCTCGCCGAGACCCGGGCCGTGTGGCGCCCCTACGGCCTCAACGAGCGCTGGCGGTTCTGCAGGTGCCATCATGTGTCGTGTGTCGTCGTGTGTCGTGTTGTGTCACACACTCACCGTGTGTGGTGTGTGCGGTGTACAGATACACGCCAGGGCAACACTTCTCGTCTCACTTCGACGGCTGCTTCCGTGCGAGCGAAGACGACAAGAGCCACCTCACGGTGATGCTTTACCTGAACGGCGGCTTTGAGGGCGGCGCCACGGTCTTTCTCGAGGGGACGAAGGACCGGGTGCAGCCCGTGGCGGGCATGGCGCTGGTCTTTCAGCACAACATCTACCACGAGGGCGAGCGCCTCGAGTCGGGCGTCAAGTACATCATGCGCAGCGACGCCATGTTTCAACGATTCGACACCTCCTCATGAGAAAGCCAAGTGTGGGGACGTGTAGAGAAGTGTAGAACAATACACGGAGGTATGGATTGGTCATGTTGATTAATCATATGTTATTGAGAAGATGCCAGAAGAAGATAGACAAGCAAGGCCGCCGCGACCACGACAAGCCCAGCCACTCTTTCCCACTTCACCTCCTTCTCCTCCACTTCCATCGTCTTCGGCTCGTCTTCCATCGGCTTGGCTGGTTCGCGGCAGAGAACGTCGTCGCGAATGCTCTCGCACTTGGCCACGACCTGCTCGATGTGGCGCTCGTCGACGGCCAGTTCGCGAAGGGTCCCGCTCAGCAGCTCGAGGATGACGTCGAAGTGGGAGTCGTTGAGGCCCTGGCGCTCGACCAGCCGGCGGTGGGCCAGGCGCATGGCGCGGCCGTTGTACTTGTAGGGTCCGCCCAGGGCGAAGGTGAGGAAGTGGACCTGCATGCGGCGCTGGCGGTCCATGTTGATCCCCTCGAAGAAGGACTGCACGCGCTGGTCGGCCAGCACCTTCGTGTAGAACACGTCGACGGCCAGCTCCATGGCCTTGCTGCCTCCGATGGCGTCGTAGATAGTTTGCTCATCGGCCGATGATGTTGAAGAAGATGATGCGGACATAACTGTTGCTGTTTTTACAGTTGATGTTGATGTTGATGGTTTGTTATTGTTAGTTGGAGTGTGTGAGAGCGGAGGAGGAGTGCGGGTACATATAGTGGTGTGATAAGGTTCCACGAAGTTTGCAACTCCGAGTAGGAGGGGATTGGTAGGTCAGACATAAAATTTCTGATCACTTTCTGTGCGTTCTGAGTGAACTTCGGGGTGGGGCGAGTGCCAGTTGGGCCATCTGTAGATACGAGCTGGTGTTTTGGAGATGTCAGCGACTGAACTCGGCCCTAGCCTATCGGCGACAGCGTAGTTAGCCAGTTTAAACTTGACCAACCAGAGTTGCTCCGCCTGCTGGTCTGTAACAGAGTGGCATTGCGCTGTAACATCAACTAACCAAACCAACGGTCGCCTGCGGGTGGAGATAACGACGAAACCACACCGGTGGCGAAAACGAACATACCTAAAATTTGACACAAAAGCAAAATATGAAAATGCTTTTTTCTAATTTTTGATTTCGGCATCTGAGAAATGGCAGCCATGGGCGAGGTGGAAGAGGAGGTAGAGAATCTGTTTCTGCTGGGGCGCTTTGCGGAGGCCTACGAGCTGTGCCACTCGACCCTCGAGTGGCTCGCCGGCCGCGGACCCTCCCCCCTTCATTCTTCGCCTCATGTGGGTCCGCACCATTTCCCATCAACCTCGAAAGGAGCCCACCTCAAAACATCATCTGTCGCGGGTGGATCGCCTGCTCGCCCTTCATCTTCTTCATTGGATGGCAGCGGTTTTGCCGCGCTGCTTGATCAATCTGACGATAATGAGCATGCGATTTCGCAATCGCGCTACACAAATGGCCCACTCGGTGGCGACGCCCATCATCATCATCCATCATCTGGGCACACACAAGAGGAGAGCAACAGCCAAAAGAAGAGCACGAGAGCAAACCGACCTGGCAATCGACGTTTCCACGATGCAGAGGAGGAGGCAGCGGCCATGCGACTTGTGATCCTCTTCATCCAGATCCTGTTCGAGCTCAAGCGGCAGCGCGAGGTCACGCCCTTCGTCCGCTGGTTCTACGCCACCGAGCCGCCGGGCGAACGCCAGCAGCCGCACCACCACGACGTGCACGCCATCCCCTACCAAGTGTTCTTCCTCATGTACCACTCCCTCTTCTTGTGCGGTGGTGTGCGGTGTGTGCGGTGTGGTACTGACATGGTGGCCAGGATCAATCTGGAGGTGTCGCTACAGAACTACCAGGTGGCCAAGGACCTCGTGCGGCAGTACTTTGCCACGCCCAAGCCCTCCGCGAAGGTCTCCTGCCTGCGCCATCGCTTTATTCATTTATTCTTTTATTCATTTTTTATCACTTTGTTGAACATGGTTATTATTATTATTACTATTATCATTATTAATAATAAGCGCTTGCCTGACGTGTTGTGGTTGCTGCGTGGCGCAGGGCAAGGAGAAGAGCGTGGAGCTGAGCGTACAGCAGCAGAGCGCACTCGTGGAGCTGTTCATAGTCAACATCCTCCTCCCCATGAAGCAGTACAGCGAGGCCCGCGCCTTTGTCTTCTCCATGCAATCCACTCTCGCCCCATCTGCCATCATCGTACGCCCAGCGCACACGCACACGCACGCACAAACACTCGCTATGATTCATAATCCACTCACTTGGGCGCATCCTCGCGTCGTGACGCAGGCGCTGAAGAAGGAAATCGACCGCGCCGAAGACGAAATGAAGCGGCGGAACGTCGAGGCCGCGCGCGTCAAGAGGGCTCCCCTTGAGGCGATCGTGGTCGCCGAAGACGGAGACGACGACGCGGGTGCAGCCGTGGCCGGCGCCGCGCAAGGCGAACTCACCGCAGAAGAGTTGGAGGACCGCATCGAGCGAATCGACAACGAAGACCAAGACCGACATCTATTCGCGCGAACCGCCAACGACACATCTTCCTCCTCCTCATCTTCCTCTTCGTCTCCTTCATCTTCATCTTCATCATCGTCTTCATCTTCATCTTCATCGTCATCTTCTTCACCCAAGCGACCAACGGCCTCGCCCGTAGTGCGAAGCTCGAGCGGCTCTTCTTTGTTCTCGACCGTCGTGTCGACCCTCACAGGTGGGCGGCGACCGCGGGCCGCCAACTACAACTACTACGCGACCCTGTTCGGTGGCATCCTCACCCTCTTCTGGTTCGTCTACTGGAAGCAGGACCGGCTGCGCGGCCTGCGCGACGCGGTGGTGCGCAACCTGCGGGAGCTCCTCGAGTCGGCCTTCTCCTACGACCGCACCTCGCTCAACCAACCGCGGCCGCGACGACGTCTCGGCAACTGATCAATCAACTAACCAACCAAACAAACCAACCAACCTACCAACCTACCTACCTACCATCCACCACAACAACAAGCAAGTAATGCAACCCACAACATCGGGTGTACACTCATCATCACGAACAACATCTTCTACACACTTTGTTTTTATAATATGTTTATTTTTTTTGAGATGACGTGGATGTCTACACCAGCAAGCACACAAAACACGATTGCCAAACGGTCTTGAAGAGACTGAGCCTCAACAAGATGGACGGGCACGGGCAGTGGGAAGTGGTGCTCTACAACCCTTTCGAGAAGCAGACTGTGCTGTACAATCGCTACGACCACACACTACGCATACTGGACGGCCGTGCCTATGCCGCACACCACGGACCCATCCCCATGCCTGCCCCGCCTCGCCGCAGCAGCATCGACTACGTCGGGTACGTCCCTCGCCCGCCCAGCGCAGCTGCTGTGCCAACAATCAAGATAAATTTGTTAATTATACTCTAATTGAGCAGACAGATTGATAAATCAATTAATTATATTATTTATATTTCAATAATACACAGAAGCAGGAGTAGTGCTACATCCACCACGACCACCAGCGCCTCCCTCTCTGCTGATGCCAGGTCAGTAGCCTGTATTCTGTGTGACACAATGCACTACGCACTTGCTCATCTTATGGAGACGTGTTGTGTTGTGTGTGTGTGTGTTGTTGCGGCACTCACAGGGGCGTGGCGCCGGTGGTGAGGCAAAAGGTGGAGCTGGGCATATCGCCGTCGGCCACGCCCGCCTTCCCGCAGGCGAGCGCCGGTGGCGCAGGTGGCCGTTGCCCGCTATGTCGCCAGCACCTCCCGTCCTATCTCCACCATCACCACGACTCGCGCGAACACCGCAGTACTCCCCCGCCGACCTCTTGCGCTGCAACTGGCCTCACGTGTCTCACTTATGTGTGATGCGTGCGATTTTGTGTTTACTATGTCAGCAGTGCAAGCGTCGCCGCCCGGGGCGAGGCGATACGTCTCTCCGAGCTATTTCGAGCTCATCAACCTGGGGTACGCACTCATCTTTGTGTTTTTTTCTACGCGCGCGTGTGCGTGTCTTGTGTGGCATGCGTGCGTGCGTGAGATGCGCTTTTCTCATTTTGCTCTCGCTTCAGGGGTAGCGGTAGTCCGCCGCCGATGGGCGACGACGATGACTTGCGCACCGATTCCTCCGATGAATCCGATCTCAGCAGTAGCAGCGACGAAGAAGACGACCTCCGCAGTAACCCCCCACCATTCATACCTATCCCCTTGTTATCGTGTGTGTGTGTGTGTGTGTTGGTGCGTGTTGGTGCGTGTCATGTGGATATGTTAACACATGCGCGTGCCACCTCAGGCGGCGGGTTTGAGCGAAGTCTCGGCGGGGAGGCCGCGCGGCAGGCTCGCGCGCGGCGACAGCGGACGCAGAGCCTGCGGTCGCGGGCCTTCAACCAGGGCTACTACCACAAGTTCTTCGACGAGGAGGCCTGCCTGGGCCGCGGCGCGTTCGGCAGCGTGCATCTGTGCCACCACGTGCTGGGCGAGGTGAATCTGGGCAAGTACGCCATCAAGAAGGTGCCAGTGGGCAACGACCACCCACGGCTCGCAGGTACGAACGGCGGATTCTCAAGAATGTGCGGTCATTCCCTGGTCGAATTCCGCAAATAACTCTTTTTTGGGCGCGCGTAGCGGTGCTGCAGGAGGTGAAAGCGCTCGAGCGGCTGCAGCACCCCAACATCGTGTCCTACAAGCACTCGTGGCTCGAGCGGACGAAGCCCGCCGACTTCGGGCCGGACAACATCCCCACTCTCTTCATCCTCACCGAATACGCCAACGCGGGCAACCTCCACGACTTCATCTTCTACAACCCCAACAGGTCCGTGCCCAAGAGTGTCGTGTGTCGTGTCGTGTGTCGTGCGTGTGTTGTTAGTAACAATTGCTTATGGCAATCAGGATTCCTGAAAGTCGGGCGCGTGCTAAGCGGGCCAGCTTTGAGAAGAGGGCCACACTCAACCCCCTGGTACGCCTCCGAATGGCACACGCACACGCACACGCACACGCACACGCACACGCACACGCACACGCAACGTAGCACTTACGGCCGCTTGGGAGGGCAGACCAACACGACCACAGCGCGCACGTATTTCCTGGACAGCACCACCGTTTGGAGTTTCTTCACCGACATCTGCAACGGCCTCTCCCATCTCCACCACCGGTAACGCACGCACCGCACGCACGCACCGCACACCGCACACACACACACACACAATGCTTATGGGTTGTGGGTGTGCAGGGGCATCATTCATTGTGATCTGAAGCCGCAGAACCTGCTGCTGGACAAGTGCGTGGACGCAGTGACGCAGCAGGAGACGACGCGGGTGCTCATCACCGACTTTGGCAGCGTCAAGTCGCTTCTCCAGGGCGAACGCGCGCCCCGCACCGGCAACACGGGCACCATCGCCTACATGGCTCCCGAAGGTACAATCCCCCCCATACATAATAACTCAACCCACTTCGCTCATCCCCGTGTCGTACTATTGTGTCGTGTATCGTGTGTGTCGTGTCATTGCGTGTCGCGTGTGCGCACACAGCGTTGATCACGGACACGTCGGGTCGGTACCTGTACGACTACAATGAGAAGTCGGACGTGTGGTCGCTGGGCGTGATTCTGTACGAGCTCTGCTTCTCCGAGTCGCCCTTCCGCAACGTCAACTCCACCGAAGACCTCGAGCGCGAAATCATCGGGTTCCGTCTTCTCTCTTCTCTCTTTTCTCTCTTCTTCTTCTCTTTCGTTCTTTCTCTTACCCCCCCCTTCACCGCTCACGACGTCGGTGATGATGGCAGGAGCACGCGGGGGATTACCGAGTTTCCGTCGACGCCGGTGCCGCGGCCGCACATCTTCACGTGGCTCATCCAGTGGATGATGCAGGGCGACCCGGCCAAGCGTCCGTCGGTGGACGACATCCTGGGCATCCCTGAAGTCATGCACCACAACACCGGCACCCCGCGCCCTCCCGCGTACTCTATGCCCACCACCACCATCACACCACCACCGCACCCGACGACACGCACACGTTTTCTCACAGATTCTTTTTCTTTTCTTTTGTTGGGTGCAGGCCGGCGGAGGCGCCGCCGCCGCTGTCGACGGCCCATCTGCTGGAGCTGCCGCCACAAATCGTGCAGACCACCATCCCCTCGGCCTCGTCGTCGTCTTCATCGCCGTCGTCGGCGTCAGCGTCGTCTGCCGCCACGACCACGACGACCACCTCGGCCAGCGGCGGCAATCGCTCGACTCTCTTCCGTCGCCGCTCGTCGCAGCTCATGCCGCCGCCCCTCAGCCCGGCTCGCCGCTCGTCGACACCCTCGGCCTTCTCGCCGTCGATGCCCGCCGACGACGCCTCCTCGACCGCAGCGTCGCCGGCGTCGGCGGCGCTGTCGAGCGCGACGGCGCTCCTCCATGCGCTGCGGCTGCCGTCGCCCGTGGTGGCGTTCCTGGCGCCCGCCGTCAACTTCTGCCTGGACAACCTCGACGCCTTCATGCGACAATCCCTCTTTGCCACCACGCTCCTCATCAAGGTCCGTGTGCGTGTGCGTGTGCGTGTGCGGTGGTGGGATCTGACGTCATTTTTTTTCTCTTTCTGGGCAGTTGGCGTTGTGCGTGGATATGGCGCAATCGTGGTCGTCGTGGTACATCCACCTGATGGTCGCCCTCTCCCTCGGCACCATGCTCCTGTGCCTGCCCGTCGGGTACCCTCAACGCGCCCTACGCACAACCGCACACGCACACGAACACCACAACTGACGCACGACGCGCAACCGCACACGCACGACACGACGCACACGATGTACTGACAACGTTCACGCAACACGACAACTTTGTTGTGTTTGCAGGCGGCATGTGGCGCGTCTGCAGTGGGCCTGCATCATCGGGCAGTGGCTGCTGGCGGTGGTGTGGTGGTGGCAAGGTCCCAGCCGCCGGCACGACGCCTACTACCAGGGCGGCGAGGGCGCTGAGGGCGAGTACTCGGGGGCGGGGGTGGTGTGGGAGCTGCTGGTGGTGGCGCTCATCGAGCTCATGCTCTCGCTGGTCTTCGTCACCCTCAAGCTCGCCAAGACCGACCGCACGCGCGCCTCCCTACGCGCCTCCCGGGCCAGCACACAACAGCGCAGCGCCCTGCGCACCAGCCTTGGCCACCACTAACTTGTAGTTAGTCAGAACAATTTCCATCATTTCACAATAAAATCAAATGTAAATATGTTCCCCGAGTTATGTATTAAAAACAGATAAAAATAAGGAATAATATATATATAATTATATATATATTTTATACCTTATTTTTCGATCGAAAGCAAGGGATCAGCCACAGCGCATGATATGCGCTCCCGGAGCTCGGCGGGCAGGTGGCGGGTGTGGGCCTCGAGGGCTCGAGGGTCGGCGTGGTGGGCCGTGACGAGGTGGGCCACGCACAGGTGGACCAGGCTGGCGGGGCTCATCGGCAGCATGCCCGGGCCGCCGCCATAGAGGTGCCGCGTCGGGGCCAGGCCCTCCACGTATCGCCGCACGGCATCGCGCGTCAGCGTGAAGAAGGCCTCCTCCACCCCCTCGCCCTTGCCCACGTCGACTGCAGCCCGTCCCGACCACACAGGTTGATTGTTACAATTTACATAGCGCTTGTCGTGTATGGTGTGTGTGTGTGTGTGTGTGTCTGTCGTGCGGTGCCGCACCATCAACCCAGGTGGTGAATGCGTAGGAGGAGGGCGGTCGAGGCGCACCTTCGATGTACTTCATGCCGGAGGTGGCGAAGGCCAGTGCCTCCTCGCGGCTCACCACCCGAGGCAGGTGGTCGCCCGCGTCTGAGGAGGACACGTCGCCGACGAGCAGTCGGGGTGTGTGGGCCTTGCCGTGCTGCGTCGCAGAGTTGATCCAGTTGGACAGGTCGTCGAACGACCGCCGGTCTGCGCTCGCTCCGACCAGGCGATCGGAGTTAGAGCATGTCTGCCGCCATTTTTTTGTGTAGAACACATGAACACATGAACATGTCTGTATATTTTGGTGTGGGTGCGTTGTGCGTACCGGAGACGGAGAAGACAAACATGAGGCCGTGAGCGCCGCGGTAGTAGGCCGTGGTGATGCTCCGAAATCGCTCCTGCCCGGCCGTGTCCCACATTTGCACTCTCTGTGCCAAGCCAACGCACAAACAACATACAACAACATACAACAACCATGGTTGCTTGGTTGCACATGAACGCCCCAAATGATGCCCTGGAACATACGACAGTCCTGTCGTCGATCTCGATCGTGCGAAGCTGGTAATCGATGCTTTTTTGGGGAGAGGAGAGAGATGAGGGATGATGGTGTTGTTACGGTACTTAGGTGGCAGCAACAGACTGGTCCGTACCCGGTGGTGCGCGTTGAGGCGGCCCACTCAGAGTCGGTGAAGCGCCTCAGCAGGGCGTTCTTCTTCGTGTCTGGGTCGTTGTGCCGCACATGCGCAGTGGCACACGCACAGTTTTTGGACCCTGGCGGAAGAGAATAGAAGAACAGGAAGAAGAAAGAAGATGGAGGGGGCCGCACTTGAGTTGCCAATAAGGAGGAGCTTGGCCACCAGCTGGCCGCCCGGGGTCGTGGGCATCCGCAACTCGGTGGGAGGAGCGGCAGCTGGCCCGTCGTTTTCATTCTTTAGTTGGGGGGCACTGTTTTTACTCACAAACACCAGTGGGGGGTACCCTGCTTCCTGCTTCCTCTGTTGCCCATCCTCCTCAAATACAATACAATAAAATAAAATAAAATCTATATCTTATTTTATCTTATTTTAAAGTGTAAATTTAAGCAAAAGAGGCTTTTGAACGAGGCCTTATGATTTGTTTTATGATTGTTTGGGTCCAAGGCGTCAGAGGAGGAAGGTGGAACCGGTCGGGGCTGAGGGGTAGTCGGGTTCGCCGCGGCGGCGTAGCATGGGCACCTGGCTGTGGTGCACGATCCGGATCGTGCACGGCTGCTGCAGCCACGGCTCTCCGTCCACCTGCACCGGCACCGCCTGCTCCTTCAACGTGAGGCTCACCTGAACGCCAACACGCACCCCACACCGTTACACTCAGCTAACAGAAAAAAACAATAACAATAACAATTACAATAATCAATTATAAATAATACAAAAACTATATGATTACAGTTGGAAAAAACAAAGGTTATGATGACGATGAGTGTACCTCTCGGCCTTGGGCGAGTTGGATGGGTCCGCCGCTGAGAAGGGTCTGCTTGGCCTTGATCATGCCCAAGTGCGCTGCGCCCTTGAGGCCCACCACCTCGATCATGCGATCGCTGTGCGAGATTGGCTTCGAGCCCTGCGATACAACACAACACGACACGATGCGCACGACACACAACATTAGCTCACTTATTGGCCATATATATAAATATATATAGAAATTTATAATGTAATGTGGAAGTAGCAGATGATTGGTGGGTTACCTCCTCGGGCGGGTCCCATAGGTTGGTGCCGCCGGCCCAGCTGGGGAGGTTGGTCACGATGACGCCCTCCACCGAGCGCGGGATCGCAATCTCGCACCCGTCCACCTCGAGCGTGAGGTTCTTGCTCAGGCCCGCGCACCCGTCGAACAGCGCCGCCGCGCCCAGCTCGAAATACCTGCAGCCACCACGCACCGACAAAGAATGAAGAACGAAAGAAAGAAAGAATGAAGAACGAAGCGAAAAGGATGAGTTATCGTTCGCGTCGGTCATTTGAGAGCGGGGGGGGGTAGAGAGACGAACTTGAGTTTGTTGACTCCGCGGCTGGTGAACCGCTCCGGGCGACTCTCGCGAGCCAAGTGAAACTCAAGCGCCACCTTGGCGTCGATGCCTGCTCATGGAAAATGTCATTGTTGAAGATCGTGTAGGGTGTGTGGTGTGTGTCGCGTGTGTCCTGTGTGCGTCTTGGTTTGCAGGTGCGTGTGCGGTGTGCGTACCGACGCTGAAGTAGTTGTTGGCGATGTAGACCTTCTGGAGGCTCTCGCCCGGGAGCTCTTCGGCGAGGTCGAGGCTGTCGATTTCCTTCTCGTCGGCGTCACGATGATGGGTGCGCGTGATGGTGATCCGCCAGCGGTCCAGCAACACCGTGTGCGCCCGCTCGATCTCCTCCAGCAGCTCCTGCAGGCTCTCCCCGTCGTATCTGCAGACCGCACACACACCGCAAGTCACGCGACACACAGCACACGCTCGTGCGGTGAGTGCCAGTGGTAGCGACGGTGTGTGTGTGTGTGTTTGTGTGTGTGGTGTGTTTGTGTGATGCAGCCGTGGTACCCTCCGCCCCAGCCGAGGGAGCGCGCGAGATCGTTGCCCGTGCCCAGTGGAAGTACGGCCACCTGCACACACGCAAGCCGCGGCCCAACACGCGATTGAGAAGCGGAGAAAAGAAAGCGAAAGGCGAAGAACGAAGAACGAAGAAAAAAGAACGAAGCGAAGGAGGGAGAGGGAGAGGGGGGGGGAGTACGGAAGGCATCCGCTCGACGGGCCAGCCAGTCTTGTCGAGCTCGGAGCAGATCCAGCCGATGGTGCCGTCGCCTCCGCACCCCAGGATCGCAAAGTCGCGTCCGGCCTCCACCAGCGCCCCGAACGTCTCTAGCCTGCAACGCAATCTTCGTCGTTAAACTTTTGTCGCGTGTGGTGGTGTGCGCGTGTATGCCGTGTGTGGTGCGTGTGCTTGTGTGTGCTTGTGTGTGTGTGTGTGTGTGGTTACCCGGGCTTGGGTCCGCCGTTGCGGAGATCGAATATCTGGAGGGGGTTGATGAGGGACTTGAGGCCCCGGATGATGAGCTCTCCCTGCTGCCCGCCGGACCGCGGGTTGATAAACACCAACAGGGGACGCTGGCACACCGCCGGCAGCTTTTCCGGGTGAATCTGCTCCGACCGCCTCACTGTCAGCATGTGCGCACCGCACACGACACGACACGACACGACACGCACACACTGGGCACCTTCCAAGCGATGTGAGGGCGAGCGGAATCTTGGTATGGAGAAATGCAGAAGGGTGGAAGGATGATGTCCGCGCGCTTGCCGAACGTGCAGACGGTGCTCAGCCGGCGACACTCCGAATGCACCTGCACAGCACACACGACACATAGTTTAGCTAAGACACGCACACGACGCACACACAAAGGTCATTGCGACTTCATTGCTACGTACCATGCCGCCGCACCAATAGCACCGATAGCCCGACATCTTGCTGCCTGTAGTACAAGTTTGGCTATCAGCCACACACGACTGCATACACATCGTCACACACACACACACACACACACACAACACACACAAAACCGCACGTGTACCTGAGGTGATGGATTCGGCGCAGAACATGCAGAGGGCGCTCGAGGGCAGATTGCCCTCCACCCAGTGGTGGGGCCACGTTGCGAGGACCGTGGGACCGGCCTTCGGGCTCCGCTCCCACTCCTCGACCCCGGTGTCGATCGGCCGCCCGAGTCGCTCGTGCTTGGCCTTCGTCTTCCGCTTCGAGTCCCGACGCCTGGCCGACCGGCTCTTCTTCTTTTCTATTTCTTTTTCCTTTTCCTTTTCTTTTTCGCCATTGCCATCACGTGCCTCTTGCTCCTCTTCTTCTTCGTCGTCGTCGGCGGGCTTCGCGGATGGTGCCGGGATCGATTTCTGCTGGTCCTGCAGGAATTCACTCGGCAGGGGCACCGTCTCAGGAAGGTCGTCGTTCTCGTCAGCCTAGATCAGCCCAACACACATAAACACACACACACACACACACATCGCACACATCGCACGCGCACAAAACAAGCGCAACTTAAAGTGAATAAGAGGAAGATGGGTGCCCCGGACAAGTGGAGGCGGGAGGACCTTATCGGCGGTTTGTGGGAGGAACGGAATCACGCAGTTTACGTCGGCCTTGTCTTTACAGTCCGAGTGCGACAAGTAGCCACACACTTTCACAAACACATGCATCGCACGACACGCAACACGCCACGCGCGGCACATTAAGACAATGACAAAGAGACCACGCGACGTGCTCTAAGAAAGAGAAAGAGAGAAAGAGAAGTGAGTCGAAGAAGGCGAGGAGTACCCACGCACTGGAGGCCGCCGAGGGCGTTGAGGATGCTGCGCCGGCACACGTTGCAGTAGAGGATGTCCCCCAGCAGCAGCCCCTTGGCGTACAGATCGATCGAAGCGAACTCGTGCACTCCCTGCAGCTCACCGCACACGTCGCACACGCCACACACACCACACACGCCGCACACGCCGCACACGCCGCACACGCCACACGATGAATGAGAGGTTCAGGAAAGGCGAGGCGGTGGTGAGCGTGTGTACGGGAGCGGCGAGGCCGGGGACGGGCGGGTGTGCGGTGGTCTCCTTGCAGAGCTTGGTGGTCTTCTCCTCGCACTCGTAGTGACACTTGTAGCGGCACTCGGTGCAGCTGAGTCCCTGCTTCCCGATGAGGCCCCAAATCATGAGGCCGCAGTGGTCGCAGTGGCTCGGCTTGTTGAACCTCGTGGGCACCAACACGTGCCCGCCCACTGCAGCCCCAGGGAAAAAGACGCAATAAATCAACAACAATTTAAAATAGATTAATCATATAATTTAGTAATTATTAAAAAATATATTCAAGACAAACAAAAATGTACCTTTCATGGCGAGGGTGGGGTCGCGGTCAGGCCTCTCCTCGGCGAGAAGGAAAGTGCGCAGCGCCTCCATGTTGAGAAGGTTTCGGCGCAGGTGTAAATCGGCGCAACAATAATCTAGGTTTTTTAACTGTTTTTGGAGCCAGCCTACGTGGCAGTCTCCATGGCCAAATATCTGCGAAAATGACAAAGGCGAATAAAGGTGCCCTCTTGATTCTTCCTTGGTCAGGTAGGCCTGCATTCCACAGTTAACAGCAACTTGAAGTCAAAAACAAAAGCATGTTTACAAATGACAGACTCCTTCCTGTGCTTGGTCAGGGTGTAGGATTGTGAGGTAGAGCTTCTTGTAGGTGTCCAGCTGCTTGTGTAGCCCTGGACTTGTGCCCATGTCTGGAGGAAGGTGCACTCAAGGGCAGAGCAGAGAAACAAGGTGTGCTGGTGCAGATGTGGTGCAGGTAGTGGTGTAGAGGGAGAGGAAGGAGTGAGTGTGAGTGCAGAGAGGGCTTGTGAGGTGAAGGTGGGAAGAGCTGGCTTGACATGTTGAAGTGTGGTGTGCAGATCAGAGTGGGTCAGAGTGTGGATGTTAAGGTGGTGGTTGCTGTGGAAGAATGTGTGCCTTGTCTCATCTGCCAGCAGTGTGGTGACCCAGGTACAGGAGTTATATTTTGTGCAGCAGAGTGCTGGTTGGCAAGCCCAATGGTGCTAATCTTGAGTAGATGATAGATGTTGGTCTACAATACCCTCCAAGTGTATGCATGAATTTTCTCTTTCCTTTTGGTTAGTTTTCACTTCACACACACGAAGTTTCACAGACCAATTCCCCAGCGAAGGAGAACAATAATCCGGCAAATTAGAAACACAACAACAATGGCCCGCCCCCTGCGCGATCGCACGCCACAGCCAACCGCAGCGACCACACACGGCCAAGGTCGAGTGTTCCGGGCGTGGGACGAGGTCTCTGGCCACGTCAGCCCAACACTTCTCCTCCACTGCCCTTAGCTCCGGCACACAAGGTGTTAAGCGCGTGGGACCAGCGGCCACACCAACCACAACCTGAGTACCCGAGCAGCGCCAGCTTCAGCAGAGAGCACCAGAAAGTACCAAGCAGCTTTCTCCTGCGACGAGAGCTCTACCAAGGTGAGGCTCCAACCACCGGGGGGTGTGCGTGTGCGGTGGTGTAAAGAAAACGCCCGCGTGGCCAGGACGGACCAGAATTGATGAAAGTATTTTCGACGGGCAGATCGGGAGGACGTGAATGGAGTGGACGGAGAGGGGGTGTGGCCTCTGCTCGCAGCTGTGCGGTGCCGGCAGGAGGCCATGGCGCGGCTGCTGGTGGACCAGGGCGCACGCTCCCAACGCGACACCACGCGGCTCTGCAACGAACTCCACGTCCTTGCCGTCATCCAGAAGGGCGGACCCTTCCCTACACCGGTGACACTACGCCCCTATCCCAGGGATGTGTTGTGAGGGTCGTGGTAGTGATGGAGCTGATGATCGTTTTGTGTTGGCTGTCCCCGTAGCCCGTGAAGGGGGTGCATTGGGTGACGCGATTCAACGCGTGGTCGTTGGTGTGGCGCACCCCGCCGCCCGCCATCCGCTGGTGGCAACTCCTGCTGGCCGCCGGTGCTGATCCTAATCAGTAACTCTCCCCGTTCGAATCCCTATATATGTTCTACATCAATGACTAGCAAGACACGCTTACATGCTCCCAATCAGAGGCGACGCCGACGGCGTGACACCGTTCCAGCTGGCATGTGGATATGGCAATTGGGCGGCGGTGGTGTTCATGCTGCAGGGCGGCCACGTGAACGATATCAGCCGCACGGATCACCAGGGCCGCACCGCCATGGACCACGCCGCCCAATCGCCCCTTATCCGCACTATCCTCGTGGCCTATGCCAAGCAATACAGCCTCACTGCGCACAGTGGCGATGTACTCCTTCCCACCACGTGTGTTGGCGCGGTGCGGATGCCTGTCATTGCATTCTGATGGTTTGCGGTTGAATGTGTGACCAATCATAGTTTCCGGAGGGGTATGAGCTGATGCGGGCGCTGCCCCTCGAATTGTTGGCCAACATATTCTCCCGGCTCGAACCCTACGACCTGTGCACGGCAGCCTCGGTACGTACCGATTCGGAATGAATGTTGACACTGTCTAACATCGGTGTGACATTAATGTTGTGATCGTATGATGTGTGCAGATATTCGACGGGTTCTGTAGCCACAACATCCTGTGGCAGCAGTTCTGTGACAAGAGGTGGCGCTTGGCTCTTGATGGCGGCGAAACCTGGAAGGGCCGCTACATGACATGGCTGCATCCACGTCTCAAGCAGCACGCCATCTCCCTCCGTACCACCGCCTTACCTCGCAACACACCGCACACCGCACACACCGCACACAGTAAAGCCGCGCGTGTTCGTGGAGGCAGGAAGTGCGCTATCTGCGCCGACCTATAAGGTCATCCTTGTGAGCGAACCAGGTGAAGCCAACCACCCATCGTTGTTGCGAAGGCCGGCTGAACGTGTCGTTCTATGCATGTGTGTGGTGTGCGGTGTGCGGTGTGCGGTGTGCGGATGATAGGGACGGCTGTGCTGCACCAGTGTCTGGTAAGGGAGGGATATCCCAAGCGGTTGATTGACGGCGTGGAAGTGCGCTTGGAGATAGTACACCACTCGATGTCCACACAACGCGACGATATATGCAAGCCCCCCGCACAGGCGGCAGCAGTCATAGCGATGGCCTATGACATTGCCAACCGTGAGGACCGATCGCGTTAGGCTGCGCATTGCCCATCTTAGCCAACAGCCGCTTCTTCTAGGTCCGTGCGACGTGTCGTGCGTGTGTGCATGTGTGTGCGGTGGTGCGTGTGCGGTGGTGCGTGCGCCTGCGTGTGCGTGAGCTGACTCCGGATGATGGTTTTATGGGGTCGCTGCAGTGGGTGCAGCGAGCGATGTCAACGCCGAAAGGAAGGTCACAGCGGCAGAGGCCTTTGAGCTGGCCAACGAGCTGGAACTGGAGTGGTTGGAGGTCTGCTGCACCGAGCCACAATCGCGTACGTTGTGGCGGCCGCGATTGCATAGCGCGTGTGTTGTGAGCTGTTGGTGTTGTGTTTATGTGATTTAAACCACGAACCATGCATGCAGTGTGCGAGTTGCTGGATCGGATAGGCCAGATGGCACTGGCGACCGACAGGCCGTTCACGCGAGTGGGCGACCTCGGGTGCCATCTTCCCACGCTGCGCACCCTGTCCACCCTCTTCCCCCCGGATGCCCACCGCCAATCACTGCCGACAACTGCCAAGCGCCCAACAAAACGACAAAACGAGAGCTGCCTCGTCCAATAGACACACTAGTCGCGTTGTGGGGTGGCAAACAAATAATTATTTCTGCGGTCGCGGCCAGTTTTCTTGGGTGGCCTTTAGCTCAACTGGTGCATGTTTCGCCATTTTCAACAAAAGCAAACATAGCGCGAGTTTTGAGTGGCGTGCAGACAAGCTTGACAAAGTCGGTTGGAGCTCCGCTCTTTTATGCCCACCGGCGACTTCCACACCCGCCACCGTGGCGGTGGTGCGCACAAGGCAGGCGGTACCATCCGCGATGGTGGCGACTTGGCGGGAGGGAAAGGTCAACTTGGCGGGGACGAGGTGCTCTGCCTGCGGGGTGATGATACATTGCACTCACGGCCTGCACATCCCAATGACAGGCTAAAGAAAACATGAAGGCTCTCCAATACCTACATTTATGCACATATGTTAGGTGGTGTCAGTTGGGGCCTGTCATTCTCCCGTGGGGTGAGATAAAAGTGATAAAGTGGGATGGAGAATGGTGATTTCCCGTTCCAATTGCAGGTACGATACTCAGCTCGAGAAAGGGGAGGTGGGGGTGGCACGAAGAAGACAACCGGGAAGTCCAGCGGAGTTAAGAGATGTAAATCGCCGCCCCATTGGCGTAGAAAATCCGGAGCAAGAAAAAGGGGCTTCTCCTATTGGTGCGATAAGTCGGGAAGTCCGTTCCATTACGCTATTGGTTGGGGACATCCACACACACCCACAGTACCCCAAGACAAGCTGCCCGTGGTGTCTTCATTGTCCACAAACCCCTCACTCCCACCCTCACACCACCTAGAACACCCCTCCCTCTCTGCCTGGGCGCAACCGCCACCAAGACCCATCAACCACCACCATCCCTGCCCATCGGGCCTTAAGCGCTCACCTCTTCAAAGTCAGCTGAACCCAACCTGGCCACGGTTGCAGCTGTTTATTTTGCTGCCGTCTTCTCTCCTTTGATTGATACCTTGAACCTTCGTTTTCGCCAGTTGTTGGTGCAATGCAGCGACCGAGGAGCTTCTCTTTCTCCTCCTTTTCGACCGGTATGCCCAAAGCTCTTCTTATCTTTCTTTGTTTGTTTCCTCTTTCCCTTGAGCTCAGGTCTTCCCATCATCGGCATTCCTCATTGCTCTTCTCCCTCAACTTGTTTGGTTGGTTGATAAACTAAATGGTGCTTGCACGCGGGATGCAGTGGTGTCCGCCGCGGTACTGGTGTGCCTTGTACTTTGGGGTGCCGCTCAAGTCGCCGATGCGCAGTCGTGCACCCCCTTCCAGGGTTCGCCTCTGACCAACTACAAGTGCGATGTCATCAGCGAGGGCACCAACATCCTCCTTCGCGCCAACCAGACCTACAACGCCGTACGGCTCTCGCTCTCCAAGTATTGTGTTTTTTATGTCCGACACAACACAGCAAGGGTTGTTTCGTCGTGGCGCTCCTTTTTTGAACTCTTTACCATAACTCGTCCGCAGTTTATCTCATTCCAGCTGGCATGTGGGAATTTTACCAAAATTAAGAATATAAATATTTCTGAGTTGGATTCTGATCCAAGAAAGCAGCTCGCCACCTAATTAGTTATTCATTCTGTGGATGTGTACGCGACAGGTGGATGCGGCGGCTGGCGCCAGCACCCGGCTGTTCGGCGCGTTCGTGCCACCGGCCTGCCGCACCGCCGCCATTCGCATGGTGTGCCTCTCCAACTTCATCACATGCACCACCAGCACCGGCCTCAAGCGTACGCCTCACTCTCTTCTTCTGTGAAGTTACAATGCAACAGCCCCGCTCACTCCCGGTTGGTTGCAGTGTATCCGCCGTGCCGGTCGGTATGCGAGACGATGATCCGGGAGTGCAGCGCCATCGCCGAGACTCTGGGCGTCAGCGCCCTCCTGCCCGACTGCGACATGATCACCAACGCCACCGGCACGCCCTTGCCGGCCTTCCCGCCCGATGGCACCCAGTGCAGCACCGGCCCGGATGACCCCAGTACGCACCCGGCCCACAACCTAGCTTGCGTTCCATTGCAACTAACTCAGTAAATTCATGTAATTCCAGTCATCGCCTATTCGCAAGCCGACTGTCCCTACCCGCTCCTCTACGACGCCGATGGCGAAGTTGGTACGCAACACTCAGTCGATACGACTCGAAACACGACACGACACGACACCATGCGCGGGCGAGAGTGTTATGAGCTAAAACTGCGTGTGGTTGCAGGCGAGCCTCTGGAGATGTGCAAGCAGAAGTGCCGCACGACGGTGTGGTCGGACGACGTGTGGATCGGGGGCTACGTGCTGCTCTACGTGTGCTCGCTGGGCAACTTCCTCACGGGCTGCTTCCTCCTCACCTCGTGGCTCCTCAACCCCAAGACCCGCCGCTTCCCCTTCAACACCATCTCCTACTTCGTCCTCTCCCTCTGGCCCGCCTCGTTCGTCATCCTCTGGGGTACGCACACGCACCACCGCACACACACCACCGCGCACGACAGACGCATAGGTGGTGCGTGCTGATTGTCGACATGTGGAATGTGGGGCAGGCGCATTCTTCAACATGGCCGGGGAGGACATCATGTGCACGTGGGACGACGTGCCGAAGCCCGTGGTGATGGACAACGCCGGCGACAACGACGGCCAGGGCGTGGCGTGCGTCTTCCAGGGCATCGTGGTCTACTACTGCGTGCTGGCGTGCGTCATCTGGTGGTTCTTTGTCAACGTCGACTGCGCGCTCCAGCTCTTCCTCAAGGTGCGCATCGAGAAGTTCCGCTGGCTCCAGGTCCTCTACCACATCATCGGTACCGCCACCCAACACATGCATTCCTCGCATTCCCGGACAGCTTGTGACGCATTCCGCCCAATGTTGCATTTCTGGTTGCAGGCTGGGGAGTGCCGCTGATCGGTCTGGCATTCCTGCTGGGCTTCGAAAAGATCGGCTACGAGAACACGTTCCCCGTGTGCCAGGTCTATCTCGACGAAGATCCCTCCTGGTGGGACTGGGCCTTCTTCTTCGGCCCCAGTACGTACCACCAATCAATGAAGAAATTCTGGCTGGAGTTTCACAGGGCTGACATAGGAAATGGTGGGCGCACAGTGATGTCCTTCACCCTGCTGGGCATGCTCCTCATGTTCCCCGGCATCATCTACCTCACCGTGGTGCGTGTTCCTTCATCACCGCACACACCGCCGCACACACCGCACACCGCACACTCACACACTACTCCGAACAACAGTTGATCGTGCGCCGGCTGGTAACGGGCGCGCGGTCGAAGCTGGACCTGTTCTCCTTCGTGCGGCTCTACGTGTCGCTGTTCATTATCTGGGCGTTCACCATCTTCGTCTACGCGTACCGGATTGACGTGGAGGCCACACGATCCGACGTGATCCACGCCGTGGAGGAGCAGGTTCGGTGCAGCCTGCTCACCGGAGAGGAGTGCGAGCTGGAGACCACCTTCAGCCACGGCCTTTGGTTCCTCACCATCATCGCCCTCACCAACATGATCACCCTCCTCTTCATCACCCTCGGCACCACCAAGGTTCGTTCTTTGCCCACCGCCATTTCAAACTAGATTCAAAACTCGGCTTGATTGGGTGATTTCTGAAATCATTTGGAACGCAGGTTACATGGGAGTTCTGGCTTCGGCTGTTCAGTTGCAACTCTGAGGAAAGCCCGGGCATGCATGTGTGGTCGGTCATCAGCGGGCGCCACCTCGAAGACGACGATCGCGGATTCGAGCTGCGCGAGTGTGACGAACGCTCGTAACACCACACAACACACACTTTGGCCGGGGGGGGGCCAGGAGGAACACATCTCTCCCCACCATCCCCCCTATGTACATTGTCAAAAAGCGAGTTGTTGTACAACAATTCTCAACTAGCCCGCCAATAGGGAGAATGTATCGCTGCCTTGCAACAGGTGAAACAGGCAGTTACACGCTAGGGCCATGCCAAGCTCGAAAAGAAGGGAAGGAAACACAAAAAAGGGTGCACGGGACGGACCTGGGAACATGCGAATTCACCTTATGCGGACCTAATCTCGGCCATTACTGTTCGCCTGGTCCCCACACTTGCGTTGGCATCAGAAACGGCGACAGCTCATTCTTCTTCTCGCGCCATCACAACGCACCATCATCCACTACCAACTCAACCACACACCAATGAACTACTATCATCAACCATCCGCTACCACTCCACCTCAACAACTCCAACTACCTGAACTCCCGGCTGAACGGTTAAACTTCGGCCTGCTCTTCCTGCCTGTCGCTTCATCTGGTTCAGAATCGATGAGCTCCTCCCCCTCGACAACCACTACTACTTCTCCGCCCTCATCTCCATCTTCTTCTTTCTCCACGACTCCCACTTCTTCTTCGCCCTCGCCCAGCCCAACACTGTCGTCATCTCCCGTGATACCGCCGACAGCCAACAACGCCGCCCAAGGGCTGGCGCTCTTGTCGGGCCTAACTCCCCTCTTCGCCGGCATGCCCCAGTGTCCGCTACGCGAGCTGGACCACCACAACGTGCCAGGGCTCTACGTCCACCACCAACACCACTTACAACGACCACCTCAACTTCTGCAACACCACCACTACATCCAACAGCACCAGCATCGTCATCATCAGACGTACTCCTCTCGCCAGGTACGGGCCTTATTCTCATTGATGGAAACGCCGCGCGCCTTTTTTAAGGGCGGCAAAGCAACCGTAAATTTGGATATCACTTTGCAAAAAAGGCAAGCCGGACCAAACAATTAAGTGCGTGCGCATGATAGGTACAGGGTTGCCAGTGGTCGGTCGCTCTGCATTTTCCTTCTCAGGACGTCGCCCACGTTCTCGAGAGTTCCCACTGCCGTAATAACCCGAAACTGAGCGGCCCGCCGGCTGCCACCCATGCCAGTCACAGCAGCGACCAGTCTGACCGCCGCACGAGCGTTCCAGAAGAGGCGCAAGTTACCCCGCCCGCCACCACCAACGCCAAGAGCAACAAGCGCAAACGCAACGACAACCGAGGGAGAGCGGTGCTGCAATGCGTTGCTATGAACATGCTCATCTTCAAGATGATCTGCGGCTGAACCCTCTACCTGTGCTGCGTGTTCTTTCCAGAAGGGGGAGAGGAGGAAGGCGATGCATGTATGCGACCATTGCGGAGCAGAGACTTCGCCGGCCTGGCGCCGAGGGCCGGTTGGATGGTACGCGCACGCAATGCGATCAACCAGACCCAGATGACCTGAACTGAAGTGTGGGCTGGTCTTCTGGTGTTGTTGGTAGGTTGTGCAATCGATGCGGCCTCAAGTATCAGGCGGCAGTAAAGGCCAGACGAAGGGACACCATGTCCGTTTCGTACATCCTGAACTGAAAAAAGAGTAAGGCAGATAAATAGGCATAAAAAGAAAATAGGGGTGGAGCCAGGAGGAGAGTCGAACTCCCAACCTCCGCGGTTTACTGATGCGGCGCTCTACCAATTGAGCTACCCAGGCCCTCAATTAAACGAACAGGATTTGCCGAACCTGAACGGAGTTTATTTTCCTTGTCTCTTTTCTTCACATTCTTTTTCTTCGACCTGACGTGGCACTGCAGCGAGCCTACCCAATCTTGTAAATCTACAATCTTGCGTCGTTTGCATTGTTGCGCGATTAAGAGCGAAGAATGAAGGCAACAAAGATTTATTGTGTGGCTGCGCTAGCACTTGTGGCCCTCCTTTTGGCGCTGCCCACTGCCCGGGGCTTCACATTTGAAGGTTTCCATTCTTCCATCTCTTTTATCTCTTTATTATCATCTTATTGCCCTCTCTTTCGCGTTCTTGATTGAAAATGATTGATCCACGAACGATTTGCAGTGGAGGCGCACAAGGTGGAGTGCTTCTACGAGAGCGTGCCCATCGGCGCCCCTGTCAACATCCGCTACCAGGTCATCAAGGGTACCCTTCGCTCCCACCACTGCGTTACCGCCTTGTCGTTTTCTTTCTTCCCCCCCCCCCAAACTATGCCTGTCGCTTTTCGGGTTGTGCTGCCAGCCGCAACCCAAAGCTTTTCTCGATGTGTCGTGCGTGTCGTATGTGGCTTGAGAAAAAGAGGAATGTGAGCAAACAGTCTTCATCTTCTTCGTGGGCGCGGTGCAGGTGGTTTTCTGGATGTGGACGTGAACATGTACGACCCGAACCGTAGGCTGATCTACGAGGCCGAGCGCGAGACCGAGGGCAGCTTCGCCTTCTCGGCCGAGAGCAACGGCGACTACCAGATTTGCTTCAGCAACCGCATGTCGACACTCACCCCCAAGACTGTCAGCATGTTCGTCATCGTGGGCAAGGCCCCCAAGAAGGGCGCCAACGCCGCGCTCGAGCCGCTCGAGGCCGAGATCCGCCAGATCTCCCAGGGCGTCGAGGAACTTAAGAACGGACAGGTGCGTGTGCGGTCCTGTGTGTCTGTGTGTGGTGTGTGTGTGGTGTGGTGTGTGTGTGGTGTGTGTGTCGTGTGTCGTGTGTCGCTAAGCCGAGTGTTGGGTCAATGCGTGCGTCACGCAGAACTACCTGAAGAATCGCGAGATGGCGAGCAGGGACACGTCGGAGAGCACCAACGGGCGGGTGCTGATGTTCAGCGTGGTGGAGGCCCTGGCCCTGATCGCCGTCAGCGCCTACCAGATCCACTCCCTCAAGAGCTTCTTCGAGGTCAAGCGCACCATCTGAGCCTTCCTTCCAAAAAGACACAAAGAACAGAAAATGAAGCTTCTCTCTTCACAGAATAAGTAAATAAATAATACAATAATTCATTATTCAAGTTTGCAGGCGCATGGAGGTGGCTACGAAGGAGGCGAAGTCGGCTGGTGGCTGGCTGGAGGGGCGCACCAAGTTCATCCTCCAATACGCCCTCGAAACATGGTATTACCATTTTTATAAAGATTAGATTTATTTTAAAATAAAAATAAATTAAATATAAATACATGGGGGGGGGAACGAGCACGTCTTGTTGGACTCAAAAAGGAATGGTGGTTGCGCAACGCAGGTACGAACCGCTGAAGGAGTACACGCCTCGCACGATGTTCGTTACGCTGTCGCGACCCCAGCAAGCCGCCCTCTACGCGCTCTGCCTCCAACAGCCCAAGGAGTCGCCCGAAGCACCGACCGATGAAGACTACGGCGCGCGCCTGGCTGCCACGATGGCCTGCCTTGCGCCCGAGCAACGCGAGCTCGTGGAGGAGGTCGGGCTTCACCCCCCCCCCCCTACACACGGATGCTCACTTGTGCTGATCTGTGTGTGTCGTGTCGTGCGTGTTGTGTTTCGTGTCGTGTCCTCCGCCGCGATCGAGCAGGTGGTGGCCGAGGTGGGCCGGGCCATTGCCGAATTCGGCGGCGAAGCCTTCGTCAAGCTCTCCACGCGCAGTCCCAAAGGTCACTTTCGCTAAAACGCCGCACACGCACACACCACCGCACGCACACGCACATGCACGGAACACACAGGTCCCCTTGTAAGAGTACACGCTGACACGAGCTTGCAGATGCGGTGACCGGGTGTGTAAACAAGCGCATGGAGGCGCATCTCACCCGCGAGATGGAGCGGAGCGACGGCACGCCCAACGGCGACTCGGTGGCCTTCGTCACGGCCTCGCGCCACGCCTTCCGCGTCACCTCCGGTACGGCCCCGATTACTGGGCGTCCTTGATGGGCATCACGCGATGACCACTCGAGTGGCGATGCAGGCGAGGAGGCCGTTGACCTGCTGGCGCAGAGCTCGCGCGTGATGGAGGACCTCATGAAGTTTCTCGACTTGCCCGAAGACCTGTACGACACGACACACGACGATACGACACGACATGACACGACACACACGGGCTTGATGCTGACGGTATGTTGTGTAAGGGGGCTGCCCTTCAACGTGATCGTGCGGGAGTGGTCCGACATGCGACCAGAGATGGAGTTCCGGGTCTTTGTAAAGAACAAACAAATCACCGCCATCTCCCAGTAATCTCGCCCCCCCCGCCCATTTGCGCTTACCGCACCCCGGAGCTCCCCCACTCTCTGTCGACACTCACCCGAATGCCTCCCATCATGTCGACAGATACTGCTACTACCAGTACTTCCCGGATCTGCCGGCGGCCAGAGAGAACATACGACGTCAGATATTCGAACTGTGGGCACGCATCGCACACCTCGTGCCCCAGGTACCCAACCAATCACGATCATTAGGGCCGGTGTTGATGCACGGTAACCAACACACACACACACACACAGGATCATTGCGTGGTGGACTTTGTGCTGTTGAACGGCGAACCGGTCATCATCGAGCTCAACCCTTTCGTAACCCCCTCCTGATCTCCGCTCAGCTTTGTTTTTCGTTGGCTGATCGAGGCCGTTCACTTCCCGCGTGTAGTTCGGTGATACGGGAGCATGTCTGTTCACCTGGCGAGACCCGGACCGGTACTACATACCACACACACACACACACCACTGCGCAACCGCACACGCACATGACACGCACCAGTATGTCAATGTCTGACGAAACACAGGAAAATCCTCCAAATCCGCAATTTCTTCCTTTTCCTTGTTGGGCTTCTTTAAAGATTGTTGTCGACAAACACGCGCCTGTTCGCTTGTTTGGGTTGAGCCTGGTGAAGACGATAATTTTTTTTGTTCAGACCATCCCCCTCCAACGGCGAGATGATGTTTCGCCCTCGCCCTCCTCTACTCGTAGGGTGTCTTCTCTTCCTCTTCGTTCTCCTCGCCTTCTTCTCATGGACCACCGACGCCACTTCTTCCATCTTTTCCTCTTCCTCTCCTTCTAAAAATCAAAACGCCTTCCGTGGTCATCTCGCTCAGCAGAAGAAGCAGCCACACCCCCAACCCGACCACCACCAACATCGCCGCCAGGCCAGTGGCGGCCGCAACACCCGCGGCCCGGCCGCCCTCTTCATCCTCCCCGCTACGGCGACCAACTTCACCAATCTCTCCCCCTCTGCCCTGGCCATCGTGTCCAACAGCATCACCGATGAGGAAGTCAACGTGACCTTCTCCTCCGCCGCCATCGCAAGCCTCGCCGGCGGTGTGTGGGTCCAGGACTTCAACTTCACCTACTCCAACGCGCTCGACGTCGTCGACAGCCACGCCGCGTCGGCCCTCATCTCGCTCCTGGTCGCCTCGGGCACCAAGCACTGCACGTCGGGCCTGTGTCTGCGCGACGTTCACGAGGCCTGGGCTCGCGGCGCCATCGAACGCGGGTACGTAGAAGCCCTTGCTTCTGATATATATGCGAACTATGCCGCGGTATAGCAGCGGATGACTAATTGGAATGACTCTCCCCCCCTCGCGGGTGACGACTGCACACACTACACACGAACGCAGAGTTGAGGAGCGCGAGGCAGGCAATGCGTTCTCGGACACGGCGTCGAACCCCGGCGGCGTGGTGCAGCAGCTGGTGGGCAACCTCGGCTGGGGTCAGTTCACGATGAAGAAGCGACCCGACAACAGCAGCGCCATCCTCTTTAAGGGTTCGTTCGACACACACACACACAACCAACCAATAACACAGCACAACAACATCCACCACTCAACAACGGGCGGGGACTCACACGGCTCATCCGAATGGCGTGTAGCGGCTACGGCGGTGGCGAAGACGGCGTTCAGCGACCTGGTCGCCCGCAATGCGCGTAACGTGGACGGCCTCATGCAGAAGAAGAACCTGCAGGGCCTGATCGACCTGTCCTACGACCTCGACGTCACGCCGCTCCTGGCCAAGCTCCAGAAGTACAACCTGGTGTTCAAGCTGGGCCTCAACAGGTTTGCGCCCACCGAGGCCCTCACCATCATCTTCACCCAGGCCTTCATCCAGTCCTTCCGATTCGTCATGCCCGGTACGTGCTACGCAATCTTCTTCTACGTTTCTTCTTTCTGACGAGCTGGTCGGCTGGCTCGCAGATGCTACGCTCAACCCGACTGGTGAGGTGCTTGAGGAGCTGGCGTGGAGGTACGAGCGCATGTCTGTGTTCTACGACCCGGGCTTCAAGAGCACCCGCCAGGCCTTTGTGGGCGAGAACAACTACTACCCGACCAGGTCGGCGTCGCCCTCTCGTTCGCACACGCCATCCCGCTCGCCAACCAGCTCGCCCACGAGCACTCCCTCGCCCACGACATCGCCCACGAGCACTCCCTCGCCCTCGCCATCGACCTCGAGCATCTCGAGCACCTCTTGACCTTTACTCTTCCCTCCCATTTTGGGTCCATAAAGAAAATCGAGGAAACTATTGTGAAAATAATACACGCCGGTTTTCTTTGTGGATCACAACATTGAATGAAGAAGTAACACAAGATGTCGGCGCCCCTCCTCGCCAAGCTCTTCACTGGTGCGCTCCATCCCTCAATGATTGCCCTCTCGGAGTAGAAATTTAATAATGCTTGTTGTCGGCACTACTCGCCCTCAGATGAGCAGCTCGTCCTGGCAGATGGCGAACACCCGGAAGAGGAGGACGGGGAGGTGCGGGCATCACGCTTGGCCATGCCCCTCCTCCAATGGCTGGCCGACCAGCACCACCGCAAGCACCACGCGAACGTTCACGTGCCCGGCACCACCGCTGTCTCAGCCGTCTCTTCCTCTGTGCCAGCCTACGGCGGCGACGCTGGGGCCGTGAGTCGACTGGTGGCGTCGGCGCTCGTGCGCGACTGGTCGGCCCTCTCCCTGCCGGCCCTCGCCGCCCTCGTGCGCGTCCTCACCACCGAATGCGCCTGCTTCCTCCCCGCCCACGCCGTACGCCCACCACTATTTATTTATATTTATTTACTATTATTTTTATTATGCACCTTTAAATGGGATTTTGCAATCATTTTAGATTTTTATAATTATTTTATGATATTAATATTTCGCGTGGGGCGAGAAGGCGGAGGAGGTGGCGCGCAGGACGGTCGACGTGGCGAGGCGCCACGTCGGGAGCGGCGGCGGCGGCAACGGCCGTGGCGGTCTGCTGGTGGACATCCTCGAGTGCCTGCTGCGCCTTGCCGAGCAGAACGGCGCACCCCTCCTCATCCACTCCGTCCGTGCGTTCTTCGCTTTGGTGCGTACACGACCACACACACACGACACACACTCATACGACACACACCACCGCACACGCAACTCGCCTGCCATTGTGGCCAACTGCGTGTGGTCGTGGGTCCCTACAGCTGGTGGATGAGGGCGGCCACGGGCCGTGCGCGGTGGGTCGCGCGTTCGAGTGCGTGCGGATGGGCCTCCGGGCGTCGCCCGTCCTCCGACAGATGACCAGCCAGCTCTTCAGCGAACACCTCCTCCCCACCGGTACCCCCCTCCCAGCCCACCGCACCGCACCGTCGCACGTTCTCACGACCCGCACCACCGCACACAACACGACACGACCAACGACACGACCCACGACGCGATACACCGACACGCACATGCATACGCATCACCGCACACGACAGATGGTGGGGCGGCAAGTGGCCAGGCCGTGTCGGACGTGTTTCTGCTGCTGGCGATGGGCTGCACGCAGGAGAGAACCGGCGAGGCCAATCGGATGCTGGGCCGACTGCTGCTGCTGCTGTCAAGGACCGGGCCGACCGCCGCGGCTCCGATGGTAGAGCGGGTGGTCGAGGCCGCGGTGCGGGGCGGCGGCGGCAGCAGCAGCGACGAGCTGGTGGGGCTGCTCCGCGGTCTCGCCCTCCACCTCGTCAACGGCGACTCCTGGCGCCCGCCGGCCACCACCACCAAGGGCGAGCCGGCCCTGCAGTGGAGCGACAGCCTCTCCGTGGGAGACGAAGACGAAGACGAAGACGATGGCGGCGATGAAGGCGATGTCGACCATGACCACGACGACCACGACGACGCAACACAGGCCGGAACCGACCAGGCCGAGACCCAGATCGAACTCGGCAAGCTACTCCTGATCACGGTATGCATGATCTCCACTCGCCGAAGCCTTTCGGACCCCCCTCATAGTCGTGTGTCGTGACGCATGTCGTGCGCGTATTTCGTGTGTGTCGTGTGGTCCATAGATGTTTGGGCGGCACGAGGCCTCGCGCGGCGCGGTGTTCGAGGCGGTGCTGGGGCGGGCCACCGACACGAGCCAGACTCGCGACGCGCAGGCCGCCTGCACGTCGGTGCTGGCCACCCTCGCCCTCCGCCACCCGCAGGCCCTCCTCGCGCTCCTCACCCGCACCATGCCCCACTGGTACGGAATGTCACGCACGCACACATTCCACGCACATTCCCTCTCTCGACGCTGCTCATTGACACACTCGGGGCAGGCCGGAGTACTGTGCGCAGCTGCCGAACGATGTGTCCCACCGCATCCTGGGCGCCTTCCTCCCACTGGGCCGCCACGACGCCGCGTTCAGCGTACGCTGCCCCCCCCCTCAACACACAACGACACACGACACACGACCAACGACACGCGTGACAAGGGAGGCTGACGTGGCCTGGCGGTGGTGCAGCACCACCTGCTCAAGTTCATCATGGCAGCCATGCTCCCCGGGGAGCAGAACGACAACGCCGCCTCCTCCTCCCGCCGCTTCGCCGTCCACGGCCTCTGCACCCTCCTCTCGTCGTCGTCATCGTCGTCTTCACCATCTTCCGCCTCCGCTGCGGTGGCCTCCCTCGCCTGCATCACCGTCGATGGCGGCTGCGGTGATGACGATGAGCGTCGGCCGTCACTGGTGGAGCACGCCCTGGGGCTGCCCCTCGACTCGCGTAAGCCCTTCTACGACTCCCTCCACGCCATGTTCCTCGACTACGCCCACCCGCGAGGCGACGACGGCGACAAAGGCGACGACGACGACGACAACAACACGACCGAGGCGGCGGAGAAGGCGGCGATGGGGCGGGTCATGTTGTCGGGCGGGCTGCACGGGCTGCTGCTGGAGCGGGCCGGCCGCCACTTCTACTACGCCGAGCCCCCCGGCCCGCGCGTGGCCCTCCTCTCCTGCTTCGAGCCCACCCCCGACCCGCCCACGGCACGGCCGTCGGCGACGACGTCAGCGGATTCGGCGGCCGCCACAGCTTCGGTGCCATCGGAGTCGACGTCGACGTCGGCGGGGTTCTCCCTCCACGTGCGCCTGCGGGAGCTGCTGCCGGAGCTGCTCCGCTGTCTGGCCTGCTGCGCCTCGCTCCAGCCCGACCACGACCACCCCAACTACCGTACGTGTGTCGTGTGTCGTGTGCCGTGTGTCGTGTCATCAAGCTCAACTGGGGGGTTGCAGAGCGCACGCGAGAGCTGTTCGGGGC